AGTATAATTTTTCAAAACAAAAATCACAATTACAAAAGCAAAAAATAAAAAGATTGCAGCTGATCAACTTATGGATTTTGAGAGCTGTTTCACTTGTAAGTATAAACAAGTTTCTCATTGACTCGGCCAAACTTTAATTCATTACTTTCCGCTATGATTGGCAGAAAGACCACCAACACGAGCTCATTTATTATGAGCCGGGCTCTCGTGGGCCTTTTCCAAAAATAGAAGGGGAAAAGATTGGGAGGAGATTTAAATGAAAGAAAAGGGTATAAATGGAAGAAAAATTTTCCTTTTTAATAAAGGACCATCAATTTTTATTGTGCACCTGGAGCACAATAAAAAAATCCCACCAACACATACATGTATTTTACTTGAAAAAAGTGTGAGAGACCAATCTTGAAACTTGTATGTATCAACACCCCTAGAAGCATCTTCATTCAGCCTCTTCTCTCTGCAGGGATACTCCTCACATATGACCCTTCCACTCAAAACCTTCTACTTAATATCTCCATCCCTCTCCTCTCGTTTCTGTTGCATTTCATGATGACTCCTCAATTGATTCATCCATTCAAAAACTAAAATGGGAAGGGAAATTAATTAGTGAAACTATTCGGAATCATAAACTTTTGTGTTTCTGACTCCGAATGAGTTTCATTAAATTTTCCTTCTCATTTTGGTTTTTGAATGGAGAACCAATTGACGAGTTCAGGAGAAGAACAAGAAATAACGGAGGGGGATAGAGCTGCAAGGAGGGGGCTTAGAGAGGAAGAGTCATATGTGAGAAGCATTATCTATATGCCCCGTAGATAATTAAGAGGCTGAAAGAAGGTGCTTCCAAAGGATGTTGAAATAAGATTATGAAGCAAGACATTTCTGGGGTTGTTTATATAAGTTCCAATGTTGGTCTCCTACACTTTTTTTCATGCAAAATACATGAGTTGGTGGACCTGGAGAGAGTAATGAATGATAATATGGTCATTTAATGAGAAGCGTTTGACTATAATATAGATGTATAAATTAATGGATTATAATGTAGTCATTCAATGAGAAACCTTTGACTATAATATATTATTATATATAAAGTAAGGGAAAAACATTTTTCATGTTGCATAAGAAGTGTTTTCTCATGTTGTGATTCAATTTGCGTGCAAAACTTTCTTTTTTTTTCTTTTTTTAATAAGTGTGGGATCCACAACAAGTTGAATCACAACATGAGAATTCAATCCTCATGCAACATGATAAAATCAAAGCCCATAAAGTAATGGATTATAACGAGGTAATTGAATGAGTAACCTTTGACTTACACGATGGAAAAAGTTTTTCCTGCACACACATTGAACTTCGGGCCTCTTCATTTTGATTTTTGTTTTTAAAAAAATTATTAATCCCAAAAAATATATGTATCACTAGGACAATTTGAATCTTGTCCTGTCAGGTGACGAATGCAACCCCCTGTTTATATATAAGGTAATGGATTATAACGTGTTCATTGAATGAAAAACCTTTGACTATAACTGGAGAGTGGAAGAGAGAAAATGAGCTGTGTTTTTTTTTTTTTTTTTTTGGAATTAATTAGCAACCATGTTTGAAAATATCGATTGTGGTGGAAAATAGACAGATACCAAGTTACTATGACCCAGACACAAACTTCTTTAACCGGGAGATTATTAATTTTTGCTCTCTATCTCCCTATATATAGAGTTCTTAGTTTCTACATTTTTATGGGGAAAGTAAGCAATTTTTTTATTTTATTTTGAATAAAAAATAATTTTTTAATTGAATAATTGAATAAACAAATTTAACTTAAGAGATAAAATATTCTAGTGAAGTGCTCAACCATTTAATGATCAGTATCCATTTATTGTTCTAGATTCATGAATTTTTATTAACCTGCCATATTCATCATGAAAAATATAATAACGATATAACTGCACATTTAAAATTATTATTTTCAAAAGATGAAAGATTTGAAATTAAAAACAGTCAAATTATTATTTTTCACACTGTAGTAATTATTTTTTATTTTATGTTAGTAAAAAGAGAGTAAAGTGTTAGCAGTCCCAACCTATTTGGGATGTTTATTACTTCACTCTAACATAATTGTGTGTGGGCTTACTCTTTTTAAATGATTGATGCCATCATATATAAATGCTCAAACGTTTATTCTTGTTATCGCATTGCGTGAAAACATTGACACCATACTTGAAACGTAAAGAAAATGGTCATGCTAGCTATATGTTTGTGTCTGAACAAGTAACGTTGTTTAGTTTTTTCAAGAAGAAAAAAAGAAACACGATCACTTTGTCATGAAAAACTAGAACTTTTGTATATCTTTGTGTTCTGGTCAACTCAGTTAACTAATCTAATATGGCCGGCTCAATACCCAATGACCCATGCCACTTTTGCTACACCTAACCAGCAACATCAGAGCAGCATCAATAGCGTTGTCATCCTGCTCCCATGTAGCAGAATTTCCAACATAAGACATCAGAATGTCTTGGGGTATCCCCCACTCCTTTTGTGACCTGCATTGGGACCAAAATGCCTCCCTTGTTATGATTTTCCCTACATAGCAGATGCTACAATACTGACAGCAGTTGCTATGTGCCTTGCCTGAGTAAGACACAAGTTACCTTGGCTCTTCCTTATAATAGTTGACTTATCTCATTCTCTCACCAGAATAGAACCTATAAATAAATACACCTTTTTTTTTTTTTTTTTTTTTTGATAACAAATAAATACACCTCTTTATCTCTACCATAAACACACACAAAATCACTATTTCATGAGCCATTATTCTGTTTACTTGGAGAATCATTGTAACTATTCAAACATCACCCCCATTGATACACACAACATCTGGGACTGCCTTACATAACCTTGGTCTATACTATTGTTGTTAAAGATATCCCTATAGTGATCGTAACACCCTTCTGAGTTACATATATGACTCTCGTGCCTCACTAAATGTTCACATTGTTCCTGAACCATTCTTTTTGAAAAACCAATTCTTTCTCTCATTTGTATGTTGTAAATGAATCCATGTGAAGCTTATCTTCCCATTTTATTCTTCCAAAACACAAGCTTGCTAATTGATATCATTATGTTTTCTTAGCTTGAGCAAAATGACCCATTCAAGGATGGGGTGAAGTAAAAATATTATGTGACTTTTCTTTTCTTATGTTATTATCATTATTATTTACAAGGATACTCTTTTTAGAGCTTGTATAATTCCATTGTGTGCTAAACTAATAACATGCAATTAATTGGAAAAAGCATTAGATGCTGTAACTCAAAATAAAAAATGAAACGAATTATCAATTAAATTTCATTATTCAATTAATTTTAATGGGACTAGCTAACTCAGCGTCATTAGATTTATCTTTAAATGCAACATAAGATGAGTAACAATACTTCAACAATATTTATATAAATTTACAATTAAATTCTCCTCACATATTCACATGAATTTTTAAATAATCTAAATTATACATATACATCATATAATATGTACAAGTATTTTTTTTGTTTTTCAAAACAACAAATAGAAAGATTGCAGCTGATGATCAGTTTATGGATTTTGGGAATGCTTCACTTGTATCTATATGGTAAGTATAAACAGACTCATTGAATTGGCCACACTCTAATCCATCACTTTCTGCTGTGATTAGAAAATGGTCACCAACACATGTATTTTACTTGGAAAAAAGTGTGAGAGACCAACCTCATAACTTTTATCAACACCATTAGAAGCACTTTCCTTCAGCCTCTTCTATCTGCAGGATACTCCTCACATATGACTATAAATTAGGAATATTTCAAGTCTTCCTAATTACTTTAACCTTAATCTTCTACTTCTCTTTAGTAGGATTAAGATCTTTTATAAAATCATATTTGAAATACATAATGCAAAAGAAGGACTTGAGAAGAAGAAGAAGAAAAATAGACAAAAAACACAAGAAATATGTATACAGAAGTCAATTACCAAACAAAAAAAATTCAGTAACATATCAGCAAACTTTTCAAAGAATTTAGTAATTTTCAGCTAGAGTTTTAGATAGAGTAAAATAAGAAAAATATCTCCTTAAATAAGAAAAAAAGAAAACTAAATATGATGGCTAATCAACCCTTTGATTAGCGTCCAATCACTTCCTAGTTATATTAGGTAATTTATTTTTTTTATCTAATCAATCCCATTAATTGGTTTACCTAATTTTAGCCAATTAATCTAATTAATTGATTTCTTTAATTTTTTTCATTGTCATCAAATCTAATTCCATGACTATATTTAAATTCAAAATTTAAAATTATAATTTAAATTAATTTTATTAATTTAATATTTAAATTAAGTAAATTGCACCATGAATTAAGATTCAATTAGCCCATGAAGATATAATTTAAATTTTTTTAAAAACTTACCTAAGATGGAAAGTTTATATATATATATATATATTTTTTTTGGAAATACAATGAAAACGAATCCAAATTATTATATAATTATACATGGCAAAATTTTGCCCAAATGACTTGAATTATAATATAATATATATATGAAAGTTTTTGAACTTTTTAATTACAACAATTTAAAAAAATTAAAAAACTTGATACGAAGAACAATGTGGAACTCAACCAGCTAATAAGATATCATATCACCATTGCAAATAAATGATATTTTATTTAACATCATCAACATGCGTGTTTTACGTTTGTTATTTGTATGTCTTTTATATTTGTTGGTCGTTGTATATGAATACATTATACGTAGATGATTGTTAAGGAAAAAACAATAATAATTGAAATAGTTTAATTTCTTATTTTAATTATATCTATTAATTTTTAATAAATTAAAAATAAATATTTTAAAAATATAAGACTAAAATATAAATAAGTGAAAATAAAACCAAACAGTGTCTGTCTCTGTTTCTGCTGTTTTCCTCTTCCCCGTTCCGACAATACACTCTCTTACACAGTGTTCTAAGCTTACCCATTTTGACATTTTTCTTCTTTCTAATTTCCCATTTGTGCGATCATCCAAAATACAAATGAAAAAGCCTTTCATTCAGTTGCATGCAACACTGATTAAACTTCATTGAGCAGCACCCCAATCATACCATCATTTTTGCACCTCTTCCTTATCCATCACTTGTTCTTTACGCAGCAGGTTCACACTCTTCATTTTTTTTTATATCTATTTTTGTGTGTGTGTCTGTGTGTTCATGTGTGAGTGAGAGACCGAGAGAGTTTATTTTTTTCCTTTTAATTTGAATTGTGGAATTTGCAGTTCTTACTTTGCAACTGTGAAGCATTTGGATGGGTTTTGGTTAGGGATTGTTTGTATCGTTTTGGTTTCGTTAATTCCTAGGGTTTTCACTTGTGTCAAGTGTTTTCAATGTGTGACTGAACTGTTGATTTCCTTTCTTTTTTGAAAAAAAAAACTGAATAAACCTGTTGAAGCATTTGATGTGATTTTTTAACTCTTGCATATACTCTTTTTATCTATCCTAGTATTACTATAATGTAGAAGAATTGTAGTGTAATGACATTATTTCTGGTTCAGATGTAGCTATATATAGATACCTCACATCTGTCAAGTGTCAAATTTTATTCTTTCAACTTCTTGTATGATTGCGAGGTGCCGAGAGCCTTTCATAGAAAGGAAAGAAATTGATATCTCAAATTTATGGTTTTATATGTATGTATTGGAGACTTAAAACTATTATTCACACCTTCATTTGGCTTAGCTGATAATAGAAGTATTATCCAGTGCTCTTACTACTGCAATAAATTTTTCTCCTTATGGAGGTTGACTTAAATGGCCACTTCACAATTAGTAACCAAAATCTGGGTCAAAATTGCATATGCTTTCTTGTTTTGAGTATTGGCCTTCATTGTTCCTTTCACTACAGTCTTATTAAAAATGCTGAAATTAATTTTCTTGTTTGCCTTTTTATTTCTTGCATCATATTTTGGCTTCATTAACCTACTATATTACATGGTGGTGAAGAGGCCATATTGTGGCACTAAATTATATATATTCATTGTTTTAAGATTTTTAAACTCCATGGATATCGAGACAAATCGTGAATATTCTCTAACTCTCTCCTTCTCCATAAGCAGACACTGTGGAAGGAGGTGCTGAAGGCAGAACATTATTACAAGGGAATAATCTTTGCATGGGTTGTCATCAACAAGCCATGGTGAGTGGCTTTATGCCCAATGGTCTCTTGCCCAATGAAGCAACTTCTGCTAATCTGGTGCTTGACCAAGGCAGATGGTCACTAGCTGAAGAAAGATCTGCGCAGCTCATTGAACATATTCAGCCCAATCAACCATCGGAAGAACATCGAAATGCTGTATCATCTTATGTGCAACGCCTGATTATGAAGTGCTTCTCTTGTGAGGTGCCAAACTCTGCTTCATCTTTTCCTCTAGTTGATTCTGTTCAAATTTTAAATTTGTTGTTTCTTTTGATATTAGATCTCCTTGCATGATTAGTCATATTAGTTGTTAAATAATTTTTGGAACTTTATTGTGTTGTCACTATTTAGACTTAGTATATTAGTTATTTAGTATCTTTGTACATTTTATGGCATACTATTTTTGGAGTGAAGTCATACCAAAATATAATAGTTGTCTATTGAAATCTTAGGCCTCTATTATTATTTTAGCACTTTGAGCTTATACATTTTATTTTTGTTAACTATAGCTAATTGATGGAAAGAGCTATCTTGTTGTCCCGAAGAAGCATGACCAAATTAATTTATTTGTTATCTAATTAAGGCTATCCTTGGCAATCATTTTAGAAATATTTTCCCCCCAGTTCCCTTCCAATCATGAGTTGTTCTGAAGCATTAATTTATTTCAGGAAACATTTGAGTAAGCTTAAGTACAAAATTTATCTCAAAGTTTCATAACACTATTACTTAGCATTGAAGTTTTTAGAAATAAAATATAAAACCTTTCATCTGCCTTCATCTAATAGCTTAAACTTTTGGGTTGAATAGGTTCATGACATTGTATCAGAGCCTCGTTGACCAAGTGGTCCAGAGTTCGATCCTTGCCGCCTCCATTCTTCTAATAATCTTCTAATAAATATTGTAGAATTTCTTAACATGGGTAGATAGCCTGTGCATTGTCTATACATGAAATGAAAATGGGAAAAAATAAGTAAATAAACTTCCACAATGAAACTTTATACTGCCTAATGCTTGCATAATAATATCCTTCCTTTTGCACTGCAGGTATTCACATTTGGGTCTGTACCATTGAAGACCTATTTACCTGATGGGGATATTGATCTAACAGCATTTAGTAGCAATCAGACTTTCAAGGACAGTTGGGTTCAAAAGGTACGGGATATTTTTGAAAGTGAAGAGAAGAGGGAGGATGCTGAATTTCGTGTGAAAGAGGTTCAGTGTATCCAAGCAGAGGTATGTACTTCTTATCAGCTGTATCTACAGTCCTCAAATGTATTTTCTTCATGACAATAATGTATATACAAAAGCTGACAGATTTTAGAAGGGCCATTTTATGATTTCCATATTGTATTGTGATTGCAAAAATGTTTTAGCATTCTGGATATTGTTAGTGGTTTCTAAAATTATTGCAAATTTTCCAATTCTAAGCATGTTGGCATCATATTTTCTGCCTTCAGATCACACAAGGGAGCATTTGTATACTTATGATTGTGGTAAACTTGTCAGAATGAAGAATGCAAAATACACAAGCCACTGGAATTAGGATTTCAAGTTCTTTTTTGTGTGAGATTATTCTGCTATGCCAGAGAAATTTCTTGGTGGTATGCTAAGAAAGTCCATAATACAATGTGTCAATATTCAACCACATTCGTCATACATATGCTGATTTAGCTGTTTGTAATCTGCATAGGTCCTTAGATCTTTGTTGGCCAAAGCTCATTTTGGCCACTTTTAAGTTGGACTGTCAGCTGATAAGATAAGTGGGAACTCTTAATCCTTTTGCTGTGGTTTAGGGCAGATTTTAACTTTTACTTTTTGATGCTTTGACCTAAAGGCACTTGTAGCTCCTAACATGTCTTGTTTCAGTTGACCGATATAATATGCTCATACATTTATTTGTAGAATTGATTATATGAAGTGTGGATCCATGTCTTAAATGAAATTAATCGCCCTTGATATTATCGCTTTTTTCATTTGATCATTGATAAAATTAAATTTTTTCTACTATCTTGTTTAAATGCTGCTTGACTGTTTTATTTCTGATGTAAAATTTTACAATCTTACAAAATGCTTTGTCTTATTGTCATTCAACGGCAGGTGAAGATCATAAAGTGCTTGGTGGAAAATATTGTAGTCGACATATCTTTCAATCAGCTTGGTGGTTTATGTACGCTTTGCTTTCTTGAGGAGGTTATTTACTCTGATAGAAGTTGTGATTGTCAAATACACTGTTTCCCTTGTAGAGATCTCTAATAGCTAGTTTTCCTTTTCTAGGTTGACAATCTGATAAGGAGGAATCATATATTCAAGCGCAGTATTATATTGATAAAAGCTTGGTGTTACTATGAGAGCCGCATCCTGGGTGCTTCACATGGACTTATTTCGACCTATGCACTGGAAACTTTAGTCTTATACATATTTAATGTTTACAATAATACATTTGCTGGACCACTTGAGGTGACAAATTTGTTTTCTTTGGTATATATATTATTGTGGCATCTGTAGGGTGAAAGTATAATTTATGTTGTTACCTTTCCCATCTTCTTATTTCCTATTGCTGCCATACCTCAGGTGCTCTATCGATTTCTGGAGTTCTTTAGCAAATTTGACTGGGATAACTATTGCCTTAGCCTGTGGGGACCAGTTCCCATACGTTCACTTCCTAATATAAGAGGTACATAAAATGTTTTCTCGAGTTCCTCGCATCTCTGTGTTGAATAATATGCTATTTTCATTGTGGCTAATAGGTTTTTCTTTTCTTATTTTTTACTGCATTCAAAATCTTGACAGCGGAGCCTCCACTAAAGGATTGCAGAGAGTTACTGCTTGACAACTCGTTTCTTAATGCATGTAACACCTTTTATGGTGTTATGCCTAGCAGCCAAGAAAATCAAGAGCAACCTTTTGTTTGCAGATATTTTAATATTATAGATCCTTTGCGTGCAAACAACAACTTGGGGCGTAGTGTCAGTAAGGGTATTCCTCTTTTAAACCCTTACACAGGAAATAAGTAGCCAGTGAAAAAAATACAATTTTTAAGATACATAATATGTTTATTTGTTTCCCTGAATATAGAAGCTTTGTGATGTTAGGCTACAATATAGACTCCATGCTCAAAGATAATAATATGGCGCTATGAGATATCAACACATAAAGGACAAACAAGGAAAATAGATTAAAGCTAGAGTTAACAAGACAGAAAAAAAAGAACAACCTGATTTTATAAAGCTTTGCAATGCACAGGGTCTAGGTAGGAACCGATATTGGTGAATGAGTTGGGAGCTTTTCTTGCAAGTTTTTGGCAATGTGTTTCCGTGTGGGATACTGAAATCGTAAGATCTCGATGCTTTGAGTCCAATGGTGGCCTTAAAGCACATAAATCCTGAGAATTGAGAACAACACAAGGTGTGGAAGCAGAATTGAAATATGTCTTTGATGCCAAAATTGATGTAGAACAATCCCAGAGTACTTCTCTTGACAAGATACTCCCTTGACAAACCTAGAGTACTCTTCTGCGCAACATAGCAGTGTTTAAAAACCCGACCCGGCCGAGGTCAGGGGTCACGGGTTCAACCGGGGGTCACGGGGTCACTACGTTCACCCGGTTTTATATATTAAAAAAATATAAATATATATATCTTATATGAAGAAAATTAAAAAACAAATCACCAATCATTAAAGATTCAAAATATATTTAATATAATTCACCAATTACAACCACAAGTCAATATTACACAACCTAATTAAAGTATCAAGATACCAAAGTACAAAACTCATATTCTAATGATACCAAAGTATCAAGATACCACAAGTCTAGGTCGCTGGGAGAGAAGAGAACGATTAGATTTAGATTTGCAAGCATTTTTATTTTATTTTTTTTAATAAAATGACGTTGTTTCATGGAATTTTCTTTAAAAAAAAACATGCAATGACCTCCTTTGAACCCTCTGACCCGGGAGTCACTGAAATCCGGCCGGGTTTTGGGGGTCGGAGGGATCGATGTGCATATAGGGTCCAACTTGTGACCCCAACCCTCAGAGGGAAGGGGTCAGGGTTGACCCGGGTCAACCCGGGGGGCGGGTTAGGGTTTTAAAACACTACAACATAGTACTCCTCTGATTGAAGTATCATATATTCCCGGATTAAAGGGAGTATCAATTAATATAATAATCAAAAGTGTCTCAAATGTTTAAACTGATGGTCTATTTATAGACCCAACATAGCTAAACTTCCTGATAAGTTATTCCTATTCTAAGTTGGAATAAGATAATCCAAAGTGGAATAAAATCCTTAAATAAATTAACTATAAATAATCCCAAATTGAAAATCCATATTCGAAATTAAAGATCCTAAATTAAATAAGAAAACTAATAGCTCAGTCTACATCACGCTTGCTTGTTTCATTTAACCTTCTGTTTTTTTTTTTTTGTGATGCATATTGTTTGCTGATGTGAGATATTAACTTAAAGCTTCCCCTAACTTCTCTATGTCGGATCCGGAGTTCAAATTTCGGATGCTCTTTTAAAATCATGATTAAATCTGATTTCAAGAATGAATTTTATCTCTAGGGCTAATATAGGCAAGCAGATATGATTAATTTTTTGGCCCCTCATTTGTTCTGTGCCCATGTTCTCATATAGAGTTTAATACTACTTAAACAGAGGTTAGATAGCTATATTGTTCCTGTGTTTTATGTGTGTCTTTGCTCAAGAGTAAAACTTATTTGCAGTTTTACTTGTACTCTCCTTCCTTTATAAATTAATTCTTCATTTATCGAAAACCATCCTGGCAAGCAAATCTACACTATGTTCAGCAATTGAATTGTTTCAGCATCAATTTTTTCTAAACTTCTAGATGGTACTCTTTCATCTGAACTTTCGGCAATATAGTATTTAACTATCAACATGTATACATGCGAATGCTATTTAAGTCTTTTATCTGATTTTGTTATTATAATCTACTTTACAGGTAGTCACTTTAGGATAAGAAAGGCATTTGCTTTTGGGGCTCAGCAGCTAGTGAGATTGCTTGATTGCCCAGAAGAGAACTTAATTGCCGAATTTGATTTGTTTTTCAGAAACACATGGGATAGGCATAGGAATGGCCACCGACCCGATGCTCCCAGTTCTGGTCTTAATTCAAGAAATAAATATGTTGTAAAAAATTCAGCATGTAATGAAGCTGAGGATGAGCATCCTCAAGCTTCTCATGCATCACATGATATCTACAAAAAAACTGGTGATCATTCGACAGGAGCAAAAGAGATTTTTGGAACCTCATATATATCTGCTGTTTCACGAACTCAGAGCCCAAACACTAATGGCATCTTCACCGGTACCATGACCTCAGATATAAAACATGAAAGTTCCATGAAAAATGCACATCCTGGTAAAAGCCAAATCCCTGATTATTCATCAAATGAAGTTCATGTCACGCATCACTTTGATAGGGCACTCTCTCTTCCAGAGTTTGCACATATATCTGTTGAAGGTCCACCTAGACATAGGCATATTGGGGTATCAGAAATGGAAAAAGGACATAACCATTCGAGATCTAAAGTTTTAGCCAACCACAATGACAGTGTTTCAGCTGAAAATCAGCAACAAACTTTATATGATTGGAGAAGCAATGATGCTGCTGAATCAAAAAATGCTTCAAATAGTTATAATGCTGAATTTGGCTTAGGTGTCATCAAGGAAGATGGTCATTCTGTTGATAAAGCAATGTGGATGCATCAAAAAGGGCAGGATTTTATGAATATTACAGAAACTTACAGAAATTTTAGTTCCAATGGATATTTGCAAGCACCGGTGAATGTAAATTTAAGTAATGTACCTTTTCCAGTTCCATCAGCTGTTTCAGCTTCGGGATTTGCACATGCAAACTCATTTGCTATGCATTCTGCAAATGCTCCTTCTTTTGAGTCCTTTTGGGGTTGCAATATGCCTTATTCTCAGGATTTAGTTCCTTTTCCTGCATTGCAGTGGTTTCCAAGTGTAGGAGTGCCATTAAATCAGGAAGAAATTAATGAACCAGTTGATGATAATGTAGTATTAGCTTATTTGGATCATGATGATAGTGATGGAGGTTTCTGGTCTAATGATAACATGAATGCTGTTGGAGGATATGACTATGAAGATGGGTATATCCAAGCTCAACAACAGAGAGATAGGAAAATGGTTACTACAGAATGTTCCAGTACTGGTAATCCATCTTGGCTGACTAGTTCTGGAAGTTACCTGCCAAAAGATTATGAGCCAACTATCGAACATAGAATGTTGACCAGCGAAAATACTAGTGATGGTTTACTTGATAAAAGAAACATGGGTAATTGTATTAACTCTACAGCAAGCTCTAGATCAATGTGTTCAACCTCAAGTTCCAAGCTTTCTTCCTCTACTTTCTCAAATAAATCTCCTTCCAAGGCTCCAAAGTTAAAGAAGGACCAAAGAGCGTTAAAGTCAGCCTTTCCTACACCACCATTTTCTGTATATGAAAGCCAACGTGAAGGAAAACACATTGATCATATTTCTGCTCAACCAGATGATGACAGTGGAGAGCGGATTTGTCAAGCAACTATAGGAACTGACTTGGCTGAGTGCACAACAGCTGAAGCTGTTACTTCAGATGTTCAGAATCATCAATCAGCCAATTATAGGCAAGGACCAATGAATGTGTCTAATTCAAATGTTCCCAACATTCCTGTTCTTGTTGGTCCTGGTTCAAGCCAGAGAGCTGTTGATAACCAAGAGTTATTACCATTTGCATTTCATCCTGCTGGATCACCAGTTCCATTTAATACCATGTACATGTTCCCATTGTACTATCTTCCACATGAGACTGGTACTCCTTATACAGCTACCAATTGTATGGATATGGAGGCAGAGCTAGGTAATCTTCATGCATATCAATCAGTTTTCAGTTTGGATTCTACTGAGAGAATCAAACAATTAGATACCTTCCATAAGTCTAACAATATCATTTATGAAGAGTCATTGGTAAAACAGAGGCCCGATATTTTGCATGGCGATTTTAGGAGTTATTGGCTGAATCTGCAATATGGACGGTTTTGTCAGAATGCACAATTACTGAGGCCTTCATCATATCCTTCCTATGATGTTCCACCAATTTACATACAGGGACAATTTCCTTGGGATGGTCCAGGGAGACCTTCATCAAATATGAACATGATGGCTCATGCTCCTCCTCTTGTTCCTATGATGTCAATCCGATGTGGTTCTGATAGCCATGTAGGAGTTAATCAGCTATATGCTGGTGAACTTCCCAGATATAGTGGTGGGACTGGAACTTACCTGCCAAACCCAGTAAGTTTCAAGGTTAATTTCTATACCGTCATCTCCCTGGTAGTATGCTATTTATAATTGTGATTTTTTTGGTGCCATGATCAACCTATAAAAATCTAAAATGAAAGATGCCAAGTACCAGCTGAAGCTATATTCGAATGCCTTTATATGGTTCAATTCCATTTTATTAATTCTAGAGGATTTGAGAGGAAAATGTTCTTGTAAGATTTATCCGTTGAAGTATTTTACATTGCACAATATAGAGAGCAACATATGCTTCTAATATTTAGATTTCAGCAGAAATATTACAGGTGCATGCATTCTAATAACAGAAATCAGAGAGGAAATTACAACTTTGGCCAGAAGGACCGTCCCTGGGAAAGGGAAGGGAATTGGAATTTTAATTCTAAGTCTAGGTTTGCCAGCCGTGACCAGTTTTACTACCAAGTTGAGAGGCCTGGTATAAGGATGGATAAATCCAATCTGAGCAACAGACGACCTGATAGGCCATGGAATTCATTTAAACGTGGTTCTTTTTACAGGGGAAAGTTGTATAATGATTCACATAATACTTCAACACCTAACGATCATGTTGCTGACTTGCCATATGGCATTCGTCCACCTCCAGTTAGTGCTGGTGAGATTTCTACTGAATCTACCTTTCCATAAATTATTGTGATGTATCCATAATGATTAAAATATATGTTATGATCATAATGACTGGCTTAAGTTTGATTTTCTTGGATCAGCACGTTTCTCAGGCACCAATGAAGCGACGCATCAAGGTAAAGATTCACACAATGCTATCAATGGGCTAGCAAAGTTTAAAAGAGATTCTGCAGAGTCTTATCTAGATCGTCACTCATCATCACATAATTTCGGGGGGTAATTATTTATTTTCTTTCCTATTCTGTTTTTTCCCATTACACTTTACATGCTGATTTATTCATTGAATGGTTAATATCAATATTAATATGACCTTTCAGTTTGAGTCAGCTGTCGATGGATCCAAATAATTATTCAATGAATGGTAAATAAAATTGTAATGCACCAGAAAATCTGTTTTCTCGAATTTCATTGATGTCGGCTATTTCCTTCTGTGACTGTATGGAAAATAGTTAGATGTTCAACTCAAGCTTGTAAAACTAACTGATCTCAAGTAGCTTGGTTTCAGATTTGCTTGATCAGTTCAATCAAATATAATTATTTCCCCTCTGTTTCTTGGGTGGTGGGGTTTAGGTCTGTCAACACTAAAACTCATTCATTATCACAGTTGTCAGACCCAGTCTGGACCAGCTGGTCAGTCCAGAAGAACCGGAACCGGTTTTCTAGCGGGTGTAATTGACCCACAAAACAGAATTTTCAAAAAACCGATTAAAAAAAAACTAGAGAACCATTTTTTAAAAAACCTTTTTTAAAATTTCTCTGACTTAACGAATTATTTGTTTACTAATTTATAACCAAAAATCGTAATTTTTTTTCTTAATTTGTCCAATGTAAGACAAATAGGAGATTGTAATGCAATAAGAGTTTGGCTACTATTTAAAATGGGAAGTTTTATCTGTTCCCCTTTTACTTATTCGGAAAAGGCTCATTTATCTGTTCCCCTTTGAGCGATGTAATTTAAATTTTATGATAACTACGCCCTTATTTATTCACTTTAGTTGTTAACTCACTTTACAGGAGTCTAATCCTACTTATTAGCGCTATTATAGTTATAAAATCATGCAACTTTTAGTATAATATTTTTAGTTTAATAGTTAATGTGATAAATCAAGTTAATTATATTAGGCATATAATTCTATGTTGTTTCTTGGTTTTATTTTAGGGATAGGTTATATTTACAAATTTTTTTGTTTACAAACTACAATATCTTCTCTCGGGAGAACACTAGGTTTTACTATGTTCTCCCAGGAGAAGATAGTGTAATTTGTAAAAATTAATCAAAAAAGTTTGTAAACGGATCATTCCCCTTTATTTTATACTCTTTAACATATGGGTATATTTTTCTTACATATTGTTATTGAAGAAAAGAAGAAGAAAAGAAGAAGTGGAAGAAGTGTTTTATCTGAATAATACTTTCTTGATTCATTGAGAGACCCAATGAGTCCTTTTTATATTGAGTACATCCAACTACCTCAACTACTTTAATAAATATACAACCACCAACTACATCAATAAATATACAACTACCAACTAAATATACAACTACCAATTACATCAATAAATACTATCTAGAATATTCTACATATTCTACACTCCCCCTCAAGTTGGGAGATATATATTGATCATTCCCAACTTGTTGATCAAATTCTCAAAGGTCGGCTTAAGTAATCCTTTGGTGAGGATATCCGCCGTCTGTTCCTTGGTAGGTATATATGTCAAGCATACACTACCGTCTTCTAATTTCTCTTTGATAAAGTGACGATCAACTTCCACATGTTTTGTTCTGTCATGATGAACATGATTTTGAGCAATGCTGACAGCAGCCTTATTATCACAATATAATCTGATAGGTAGGGAATAAGAGATCTTCAACTCCTCCAGAAGCCTTCGTAACCAAATTCCTTCACAAATACCATGGGCTAGAGCCCGAAATTCCGCTTCTGCACTGCTTCTTGCAACAACAGTTTGTTTCTTACTTCTCCAGGTCACAAGGTTTCCCCAGACATAAGTACAATATCCTGAAGTAGATCTTCGGTCCATTGCAGAGCCAGCCCAGTCTGCATCTGTATAGATTTCAATCATCCTTTTGTGCCCCTTTTTAAAGAAAATTCCTCGACCAGGGGTATTTTTGAAGTATTTGAGAATTCTATAAACAACACTAAGGTGTTTTTCCTTAGGAGAATGCATGAATTGGCTAACCATGCTCACAACAAAAGCAATATCAGGACGAGTGTGAGACAAATAGATTAATTTTCCCACTAGTCTCTGGTACTGCTCCCTATCAACATCTTCCCCGTCCTCAACTCCCATCTTGATATTAGCTTCAATTGGAGTCTCTGCCGGCTTGCACCCAAGCATACCTGTTTCTTGCAACAGGTCTAGAATGTATTTTTTCTGAGTTAAAGAAATTCCTTCCTTACTCCGAGCAATTTTCATGCCAAGGAAATATTTGAGAGATCAAAGATCTTTTAGTTCAAACTGGTCAGCTAAATTTTTTTTAAAGAAGTTATCTCCTCGCTATCATTACCAGTGACAATTATGTCATCAACATAAACGATCAGAATAGCAATTCTTCCTTTGTCGGAGTGTTTAAAAAATAAAGTGTGATCAGTCTGAGCTTGGGTGAACCCTCTTCCCTTAACAGCTTGAGTAAATTTCCCAAACCATTCTCTGGGATATTGTTTAAGTCCATAGAGAGACTTTTGCAAATTGCACACAGAACCATCCCCTTTTTCAAAACCAAGAGGTAGATCCATGTAAACTTCCTCATGGAGATCACCATTCAAGAAGGCATTCTTAACATCTAACTGTTGCAATGGCCAATCAAGGTTGGCGGCAAGAGATAGCAGAACGCGGATAGTGTTAAGTTTGGCAACAAGAGCAAATGTCTCCTGATAATCTATCCCATGAGTCTGAGTAAATCCCTTAGCAACTAATCTGGCCTTATACCTATTGATGCTATTGTCTGCATTGAATTTTATTGTGAACACCCACTTGCAACCAACAGTTTTCTTTCCTTTAGGTAATGTCACAAACTCCCATGTTCCATTTTTTGTAAGTGCATCCATTTCTTCTAATACTGCATTCCTCCATTTTGGGTCATCAAGTGCTTCTTGGATATTTTTGGGTATCCTGGTACTATCTAACATAGTGTTGAAAGCACGAAAACCTGGAGACAACTTTTCATATGAGATATAATGGGAAATAGGATGAGCAGTGCAAGATCTAGTACCTTTCCGAAGAGCAATAGGCATATCAACGTTGGCTGTACTAGTACATTCAAGTGGGTTGCTGGAACAAGGACTCGAGTCAGGATCCTGGCAGTCTAGAGTATCTTCATGTGTTTTGCGCCTGCTGTAAAATTTTCCCCATTTACCAGGAGGATCACAAGGAGGATCATTAGATTCAGGTATAGTTGCTCCCCCTGTTTCCTTCCCAATAACTCCACCTGTTTCCAAAGGCCAAGGTAAGACAGCAGCATCATTTGGTTTCCCAGGCTTATCTTCATCCATACCAATACCAATAGACTCCCCCTGAAGAGAAGTCGGGGAAAAAAAGGATTGTGTCTCATAAAAGGTAACATCCATGGAAACAAAAACCTTACGGAGAGAAGGTGAGTAACACTTATAACCTTTTTGATTAGGGGAATATCCTATGAAGACACATCTGATGGATTTAGGGTCAAGTTTGGACCTTTGATGTGGAGGAATATGTACAAAAACCACACAGCCAAATATTTTGGGAGGCAGAGAAGAAAGAGCACTGAAAGAGGGAAAAGATTTAGTAAAACAGGATAAAGGAGAATGAAAATTTAGTACTCGAGAAGGCATCCGATTAATGAGATAACAGGCTGTCAAGACGGCTTCCCCCCACAGATATTTAGGGACATGCATCGTGAATAAAAGAGCTCGAGCAACTTCAATTAGATGTCTATTTTTCCTTTCAGCCACCCCATTTTGTTGAGGGGTGTTAGGATAAGAACTTTGATGAATAATTCCATGCTGGTTTAGGTAATCTCCAAGAACTGAATTAAAATATTCAGTGTCATTGTCTGTTCGCAGAATTTTGATAGAAGTCTGAAATTGAGTTTGAATCATAGCATGAAAGTTTTTAAAAGTGGATGCTGCCTCAAACTTATCTTTTAAGAGATATACCCAACATACCCTAGAATGATCATCAATGAAAGTAATAAACCAACGAGCACCCGAGACATTTTTTTCACGAGCAGGTCCCCAAATATCACTATGAATCAATGTACAGGGAGAAGATTCATGATATTTCTTAGGAGAATAAGTGACACGAGAGTGCTTTGCAAGCTGACAAATATCACAAAGAAGGGAACTTGGCTTTTTATTGATAAATAAGTTCGACAATAACTTCTGGAGATAAACAAAATCTGGGTGTCCCAACCTACGATGCCATAACAAAACATCATTACAGTCATCTGATAAACATAGAGAGTGGTTCGAAAAAATCCTCTTTTCACAATGAACATCTGTAAAATAGTATAGCCCTTCTTCCTCTCTAGCACTGCCAATCATCATCCCCGAGTCCTGTTCTTGAAAGATACAAGCATTTGCAGAGAACTTAGCAACACAATGCAACTCAGCAGTAAGTTTGCTAATAGAGATGAGATTACAAGTAAGAGAGGGAACATGAAGTACTGAGTTCAAAATAATATGCTCAGAAAGTTTAATGGATCCCTTTCCCGCAATAGTGGAGAAATTCCCATTAGCTGTTCTTATTCGTGACGGGTGATAGTAAGGGGTATAGGAGAAAAATAAGGTTGCATTACTTGTCATGTGATCAGAGGCCCCTGAATCAAGGATCCAACGATTACTACGTTCAACATGGAATGCCATACCTTTTTGAGCAACATGACTAGTTGCCTCAGCAGGTTGAGACATCAATTTCTGAAAAGACGAATTTTCAAAATTTTCAACGTCCATGGTTTTCTAACAACAGGTACCCAGAAAAAAGTTCCTCCAAATACGATTTTGACCCTCAAAACAGGAAGAGAGTTGCTCGCAAAAATCAATGAATGAGAGCAATCTTGGCTACAGTGAAACAGTAATTGCTACATTAATGAACAGTACTGCTACGGGTCTTCTGTGGGCTGGCTCAGAATCTTGTCCTGAACCTAATGGTGGCCTTGGTTTCGTGGTTGGAGGTGTCTAGGTAAGGATTCTGGCTTGGGCAGTGGCTAAAACGAAAAAAAAAAGGAATAGGAAAATGACTTACAAATAAATCAGAACGGGGAAGAGACTGGAATATAACCAGCTCTTGATACCATGAAGAAAAGAAGAAGTGAAAGAAGTGTTTTATCTGAATAATACTTTCTTGATTCATTGAGAGACCCAATGAGTCCTTTTTATATTGAGTACATCCAACTACCTCAACTACTTTAATAAATATACAACCACCAACTACATCAATAAATATACAACTACCAACTAAATATACAACTACCAATTACATCAATAAATACTATCTAGAATATTCTACAGTTATATATATAAACCTGGTTTAATCCCAGTCCAATCTCAGTTTTACCTCAAAACCTTGAACATCTATGGCCGATCTGGTTCCGTAAACAGTGTTCATTATCTTATTGTTGGGCTTAATTAGGTTTTGTCATTGTTGCTGTGTCCAATCTGTATTCCTTACGACCTGCCACCACAAGTCCGTTCACTTAATTACTCTTGGCGATGTGTTATTATTTAGTAACAACATAGTTCGCCTGGTCTATTGAACCTTTTGTTATGCTTCGCATGGCAAAAAAGGAAATGAGCAGAGAACAAATTAGATATTCCATCTGTACTATTACATTAACTTTATTACCTTGGCTGATATTTATTACTTGTCTTACGATCTTATCAAAATTTGGTAGTATTGTGATGATTTATTGTATTTAACAGGGTTCAAAAAGATTGACAAGCTTTCAATAAACAGAGATGCTGATTTCCTGCTGTTCTGGCCAGAGAGTTCATTTTTGTTTGTTCGTGCCACCCCTCTACTAGGGTGAAGCTTGGACTTTGTGACCCTTTTGTACACAGAAAATTTGTAATAGTAGTGAGAATAGTACTCTTTACTTTCCTACAGTTAACATTTTGTGTTAGCGTGAAGAGGGATTCTGGCTGTTGAGAAGAAAGTGGTGTATATTTGTATATACTACCCCAAGTGTCACATGGTGCCTTTTTGAGTAAGAAAATGACTAGATTTTGTTCCTTTCAGGTTCCTTTTCTCCAATTTTATATTTGTCTTCATGTAAGCTGCTGCTTTTATTACAGGTTACTAAGTAATGGTGTTTTCATAAGACAACTTCAGATATGAACTTAATTACTTGTGTTTTCAACTGATGACCTCCTTTAGCTGAAAACCGCAGTAAATTATTCTTGCTTGAAATCTATTTACAGGCTGGAAATATGTAATACAAGGTTATCTTACAAATCAACTACTCTATCAGAATTAACAATTATGCCACTTCACCAAAGCCATTGTAGGATGTAACTCGTGCGTTGCCAGACTCTCATGTATCCTTTTAACTAAATTTTAAAGGCCTGGTTATAATTGGATAACCTTGTCGGCTTGTCCTCTACTCTATGACTGTGCTGCTGTGTAGATAATTAGAGAAACCGTATAACTATCAACTATTGGAATGATCTGGTATATATGCACTTCAAAGGCGAAAGAAATTATTTTGCTATAGATATTGTAGTGCTGTCCTTATTACACTTAGTCTTCCTCGAAGATTGAAGCACTCAATGTGCTGTAGTGAATTACGTTTGCAGACAAAACAAACCATCCATAATCCATGATACCATATGATAGTGTAATTTTCTTTTCCAGGTATCATAATCAAACTCAATTATTATTAGCAGAATTAGTTTTCCAATTAATATCGTTTATTTGATAATTGTAAATCAACATGTGAATCGTAAGATCCATCTTGTACGGAAAATGCTCAACCTCATGAGAGTTTTATCTTCATCCCTGCATATAAATTATATATCCAGAATATCACCCTGATTTCAAAGCAACATTCCACTTCACAAAATACGAAGGAATTCTTGATTTCTTAAGATTAAAAACTACATGAATATAAACATTTTCCCCTTTATTTTATCACAAACGGGAAGTTAAGAAAAACAAAGCAGTGCAACGTTAAACACGCAATAGCATCATTGTATTAAGTATCAAACAGCAAGTAAAAGTTGAATCTTATGTCTAGTGTAAGTAAACTTCATACATGTAACAAGACAGAAAAGGCATGTCGATCAACTGGAATAGCAAAAGCACCAGGCAAGGAAGAGATAAATGCAAGAACTATAGCCTAATCATCTAGCATGTCGAAGATGATAACTACGATTAGCTTGGAGTATATCCATGCCTAAATGAATAACAAGTCCCAAAATTATATAGCAAAATCCAAATGCTGTAAATCCCTTCTATCCAATTATGACACCAAAAAGTACTTTAGGCTTACAAAATCAAGAGTAACCTATGAGAGTATTTTAATCAATATTGAATTCAATTTCTAAGCCTATTTGCATTACTTTTCTATACTGTGCAGTGTCATCTATCATCCTTTCTCTGTTTTCCATCCTCGTCTAACGTTACTGCTCTACTAGATTTTGAAGCATTCACTCCTTCACCAGATGCATGGTTTTCAGGTGGACTGGACAATGTGTCTTCCTTAGATTTTCCAACCAATGCCCCATTAACTTGTGTTGTTAGCTGCTGGATCCAAGTCTCGACAGCCCTTTGGAGCATTATGAGCTTCTTGCCCTGTAAGCAAGTGATTAGGAACCTGATGAGAGAAGCGAAACATCTCCTCTTTAGGAATCTTCCTTACCTGATCATGGCTGTGCCTTTGATACACTGTCCTAAAACCATCAACCTTAACAAGTGGTGTAACTAATATACCTTCCTCCTCGCTGAAATCTTCAAGCACCTCCACCATATCATACTTGTGTATCACTTCATCTGGAGTATTTTCATCCCAGTCAGGAGACCAGTTTCTATAGAGAGCCCAAACTTGCCCCTTTCCAGGAAAGATGCGAACGACTCCTCTGGTGCCTTTTGTCCACCTAACCTTATGTGAAAATGAATTTAATGATTCAGTTATTTCATGCCTGCCAATCCTGAAATCCCCACAAGTTTTGTAAAAACCAGAACCTATCCAATCTATTGGGCCCAATTCACTGTTGCTTCGAGAGTTAAGCCAACTAATACGCATTCTAAATGGCTTCAAGGAGATCACCTTCTGAATTCTAGCATAATATCTAGGCATTCCATCATCATCATCGTAAGCAGCCCAGACCTGGTCCTCCTCAAAGGAATTTTCAGCTCTATCCAAGTCAAAATTGTGAAAATCAGAATCTGGAACATTGATTGTAAAAGCTTGGTTCTCCTCTACAGTGTCATCAGATGTGACTGGGATAGAATCACTGTCCACATGCCTGTTACCATGAATACTGGAACCTCCATGCTTCTCTGGACCAGTTATTTTGTCACTAAACGTGCTCTTTTGTCTCTTATTTCCTTTGTCCTTATTTGTAATCTTAGCTTCAGCCATAGATCTCCATTCTTTAAGTTTCTTGCGAATTTCAATCCGAGCCTTATCCATCAACATGATTCGTATTTCAAACATTGACAACTCTCTCTTGCTAGTAATACCTGAAAAACCATAAATCCTTTCTGTTCCCATGTCATCCTTTCCTAATTCACGAAAACAGCCCAAACTGGTTGCTCCATCTCTCATGCTCATGTGAGTATCATCCGCCCTTATTTTCTTCATAGGTTTTTCAACATTACTAAAAGAACCATCAGATCTGTTATACATCTGAGTCCTCTGCCATGCAGCAATTGATGCGGCTCCCTCACATTCTCTTCTTTTCTCACTTGACTGCTGCTTAAAACTTGCACCAGCAACAGATGATGATCCACCTGTGCCAACAAAGCCAGCCATTCTTGAGTGAGGAACCCCCTGGAAGTTTGTGTTATTAAAATAAGTCATGCCTGAAGAACCGCCAGATTGTGAGTTTTGAGAAACTGCACAAGTTCTTCCTGGATTACTTGAGTTATTCCATCCAGCATGATGTCGGGACTTCTGATTATGTTGCGGAGAAGACCAATTAGAAGACCTAACAACATTGGGAGGTGGACATTTCTCTATAGCTATAAAAGCTTCATTACAATTTGGACATAAAAGGGAATGATTCAAATAAATCCTGAGATACTCATAATGTGTCTTGCACCGGTTACAGATAGTCCAAAAGGTACCATCCTTTTTATGTGGAGTAGGAATGGAGGTTGAAGGTGGCCGAACACTTCTATTTCCAGTTCTCACATTTGAAGTTGCATTCTTGTTAATATTTTTAAAACCATTTGAACTGGGTGCTTCTGATTGAGACCCAACATGGTTGGGAGCATTATGCTGAAATCCTTGCAAACTCCTTTTCTGGTTATATGCTAGTTTCCTGAACTTATCTGATAGTAAACTCCATGCCTCTGAAACAAGCTTAAATGCACCCTCTGAACCTAAAGACTTGTTTTTGTCAGGGTGAAGAGTGAGAGCCAGCTTCCTGTACTGCTTTCTAACTGTCTCATCATCAGCAAAGGGATTAACTCCAAGAATACCATACCAATCCATTTCTCCACTTATTTTGTTCCCGGCAGAGATATAAACATCGAGTGTTGTCAAAAACTGGGAAAGACCCTCCAGTGCAGGATACAAATTTAAAGCCTTGAGAGCAAACTTTTTTGCAGTAGCATATTCCCTTTCAGAAAATTTCCTCTCTGCTATTTCTTTGGCCCTAGCTGCCTCATCTTTGTTGCACTCCATATTTTCCCAGTTGTCTCAACTCTTAATATGTTGCTTCATCACATAGCTAAATGACGAAAAAGAATTTAACCATCAGTTCAGGACTCTATAAACATGCCACCTTTGCTTGATGATCCTTCAATCATGTACCTCACCCAAAGTAATAAAAAATTGAGACATACCACTAAAATTCTTACGATTCAGGTAGTGGATCAACAATTATTCGAAAACCAGCATTTCAAAGATACGTGGCACATATAGATATTAGATATTCAAAACTAGTAATGACAAAAGCTATAGTGTGAGCAATTCCACATTTTCTTACCATATACGATAAGCCCCATAGTCAAGTTTTCTATAATAAGATTCCATGCAATCATATAGACTTTCCAAAACCAAAAAAATATATATGGCGTATTTCACAAAGTCATTTTTACAAATGAGGTCCTATACAACTTCTCCATACAAAGTTTTTTCCTCAAGAAATGAATTTCTTATGTGCACAATATAGTCTAAACATCTTGGAATTCTAATGAGCTTTCCTCAAAGAATATGCTCAGCTTGTGTAGACAAACTAGCTTGAACGTCTTGGAAAGTAAATGGACAATAAGTATTCCATTTTTTATTCTCTCTAAATATCTTGATGAGCCAATCCCCATCCAAAACTCATGAATATAAAGAGAAAAGGAACGTTCCCAAAGATTTATTGAACTCTACAACCAGAGAGGCTAGATACAAATAAAAACTTAAGTTTCCAAAGAACAGGGTAAAATAAAATGACCAAAATTTATTAAATTAATAGAACAATATATTTTATATTATTATATCATACATGTCTTTCAACAAAACATGAAACTAGAAAATGTCAAATGTAAGAATGGGTAAAAATTGACACTTGTTTCTGTAAGTTTTCTCATGTTATTAAAAAAATACCATTTATTAAGCAGCTCTTTCTTTCTTCGGTACAATAAAAAGAAAGACAAACAGAATATTACAACGTCTAGCAGCATTTTAAAGTGTCATCATCTGTTATTACATATATTTCAAGGCACAGCAACTAAACAATCCACATATTCAAGAAAACTCTATTCATAGACTAGCATGAAATACTTTTAAGGAATCTATTGACACATCCAATAACAAATGTCTACAATTTCCTTCCTCCTCATGCTTACCAACAGTGACAGTAAGACTGAGTTTAACAAACTTCTAAGCATGTGTTACACATTATAATAGTATAATACTTTATGCCATAATGGGGAAGAAACGAAAAAACAAAATAAAAATAAAGAGTAGGAAGGACAGATATAGATAAAAATGAACTGTTAGATGCCATGAATATATAAAATATTTTTTATCAGCCATATCAAGATGCAATTAACAGTGCCATTTCCAGCCTCACTAATAGTAGAACATGGTAATGTAACATTCTTTCAACAGGGAAAACCCCAGTGCACAAGACTCCTGGATTTGCACAGGGGAGATAAGGGTCGATTGCACGGAATTGCAAAAGGCTGTAATTTAACATTCTTTCAATAATCATTAGTGTTGAGCTGTATAGTATCCGTAATTAATTTGATTTTGATTGTGTTAGCAATCATAGGAATTAATTGTAAATAGAATTGATTGACGGGAGACATCAATTCTCTGAGTAATTAATTTCATTTTGATTGTGTTAGCAATTATAGGAATTAATTGTAAATAGAATTGATTGATGAGAGACATCAATTCTATGATTTTAACTTTATTTTTTAGAGTGATTAGTGGCTTGATTGAAGCCCAAAATTTGTATATATAATTACCTCTGTACAAAGGAAGAAATATACATATTCCATTGTTTGACATGGTATCAGATTTTTTCCAGGGAAAAGAATTTGTACATCTATTTCTCACATAGTGATCATATCCCCTCTTCTGTAAAACCCCAAATTTCTAATTTTTCCTCGACAATATGGAAAACATTGGACCTGCAACCCCTACCCCTATCACAAATTTCTCACCCCAGAATATAATCATCCAACAAAACAATTCATCCCTCCCTGTGTCTGTCATTCTAGATGAATCGAATTATCCTTTATGGTCTCAACTTATGGATATGCGTATTGGCGCTCGTAACAAAGCTGGTTATCTCACTGGTGCTGCGAAGAAACCGAAAGCTGATGATCCTGCATATGATGTGTGGATTACTGAAAACAAACGGGTCAAGAGCTGGCTCATTGACTCTATGACCCCCACCCTTATGCATCGTTTCATCCGACTCGAAACAGCCAAAGAAATCTGGGATGCCTTATCCAAAACCTTTTATGATGGCTCCGACGAGACTCGCCTATTTGAACTGAACCAAAGATCGTTCTCCACCAAGTAACAAGGACATCCTCTATCCGTTTATTTTAATGAACTTGTGTCTATTTTTCAGGAAATCGATCATCGTTCCTCTTCTCAGGTTGACACTGTTAATGGTGTCCTTCAAATGCAGTCTGCCATGTCTCGCCTTCGCGTGCACATCTTTCTTAGTGGCCTCGACTCAGAATTTGATCAAGTACGTGGAGAGATCCTGCGTAAAGATCCCAAATTGGACCTTGAAAGTGCCTATGCATATGTTCGGCGGGAGTTTCAACAGAAACAAACCATGAGTACCACCAACTCTGTTCCTGAACATTCAGCCCTTCTCACTCAACCACCACGCCAAGGACCAACCTTTGCACCTGGCAAGCCTCGCTGGGACTCCTCTTCTGGAAAATCCAACACCTTCCTTTGCTCTCACTGCAGTGAATCTAGCCATTCTAAGCAACGAATCTAGCCACCTGCCGAAGACGCACCTTCTCCTATTGCTAATGTTGCCCAATCAGGTATTATTGGTAAAACTCTTTCCCTTTCTACAATTCCAGGAACAATACTTGGATAATCGATATCGGTGCCTCATATCATATGATTTCAGATTCGAATAACTTGCATTCCTTATCCCCTTCTTCTCAATCTATCATACATACTGCTAATGGTAGCACATCTGTTATTACTGGTGAAGGGTCTATTATCTGACCATATTAAACTTGATTCAGTTCTGATTGTTCCATCTCTTGATTACAATTTGTTGTCTGTTGGTCAACTTACCGCTTCACTTAACTGCACTCAACGTCTAGGAGTTTGAAAAGCCAAGACCCGAGAGGGAGTACGATTAATCAAGTATGCAGCTGATTTCACAGCCTCTCCCCAATAAGTTCGAGGCATATTCATGCCAAATAGGGATGCCCGGACTACTTCCATAATTTGTCGGTTCCTCCTTTCAGCCAAACCATTCTGCTGTGGAGTGTAAGTGCAGGAAGTTTGATGCCTTATGCCATGGTGACTAAGAAAATCAGTAAAATTCCTATCAAGATATTCCATGCCATTATCAGATTGTAAAACACGAATTTGGCACTGATATTGGGTACTAACCATGCTAAGGAAGTGTTTAAAAGCCATAAAAACATCCCTTTTTTTCTTTAATAAGCTTACCCAAGTCATCTTGGTGCATTCATCAATAAAAGTAACATAATAACATGCCTTAGAGAAAGAAGGGACCTTGGCAGGGCCTCATACATCCGAATGAATAACTTCAAAAGGAATAGAACTTTTATTACTACTTGGGAAATAAGGAACACGATGACTTTTAGCCAATTCACAAGTACTACAATGGAAATCGTAGGAATTCAAACTCCTCAACAAAAGTTGCAGTCTTTTTTTTCTATCCCTCATATTCCAAACTTGGAGCCTAGGGTCTTTGGTTGCACCGTGTATGTTCATATCCCCAAACCTCTACGCACCAAGTTAGATCCTTGTGCCAAGAAGTGTGTATTCGTGGGTTACTCAGATCTTCAAAAAGGATACCGGTGTTATGATCCCATCCTTCACAAAATGCATATTACTCTGGAAGCATCTTTTCAAAAATCTGAGCCTTATTACTCAGGGGGAGCCTCCGAGACTTCTCCTCAAGGGGAGAGCTATAGTGGAGAAGAAGTCTTCTTTGATGGATGGAATTCAACCAAGAGCAACTCTTTCCCAATAACTGAAAATGCTTCAGCCCTTGATGAACTTCCACCTGCTATCACTACCCTTGATCATGCCCCTACTGATATGGTGCATACTCCATCTACTGAACTTCCAACTTTAACACCCATAACAGAAGACTCATCTAGGGATGTCACTGATACCTCACCCAAGGAAAATACTGAGGTACCTTCTTTCTCAACTCCATTTGATTTACCTGAAACACATATTCCTACTGAAAATATCTTAGATCCTCCACATATTAATATTAGGTGTTCCTTGAGACCTAACAAAAGTGTGCCAAAAAATCAATATGAACCAGACCCAAAAGCAAATGTTAAATATCCAATTAGAAGCTATGTATCCACTCATAGGCTATCTGAATCATATGCTCTGACGGTTAATCAATTGTCTAGTGTATATGTTCCTAACAATTTGCAAGAGGCCTTACATGATCCAAGGTGGAAGAAAGCAATGAATGAGGAAATGGAAGCATTACAAAAGAACTCAACATGGGAGCTGGTTCCCTTGCCAAATGGAAAGAAAACCATAGGGTGCAAATGGGTGTTCACAGTTAAACTAAAAGCAGATGGAAGCATTGATAGGTACAAAGCTAGACTAGTAGCAAAAGAATACACACAGAAGTACGGAGTAGATTATCAAGACACTTTTGCCCCGGTTGCCAAACTTAATACTATTCGAATCCTTTTGTCTATTGCTGCAAACAAAGATTGGCCCCTAAAACAATTTGATGTTAAAAATGCCTTTCTAAATGGAGATCTTGAAGAGGAGGTCTATACGGAGATACCACCAGGTGTCAAGAGGAGCTCCATGGGAAAAAATGAAGTTTACAAATTGAAGAAAGCTTTATATGGGCTCAAGCAATCACCTCGAGCCTGGTTTGGAAGATTTTCTCAAGCAATGAATAACTTTGGGTATAACCAAAGTAATGCAGATCATACTCTCTTCATAAAGAACAAAGATGGAAAGGTAACAACATTGATTGTGTATGTTGATGATATGGTTTTGACTGGTGATGATCCATGCGAAATGAAGTTATTACAGAAGTATCTAGCAACTGAATTTGATATGAAAGATTTGGGACAACTCAAATACTTCTTAGGCATCGAGATTGCTCGATCTAAACAGGGAATCTTTCTCTCTCAAAGAAAATATATACTGGATCTTCTTGCTGATACAGGATTGCTTGCATGCAAACCAGTGGAAACACCTATAGAGATGAACCATACACTTGGTATCTTCCCTAATCAAGTCCCAACCGATATTGGCAGGTATCAAAGGTTAGTTGGTAGACTAATTTATTTATCGCACACTAGGCCAGATATAGCTTATGCCGTAAGTGTTGTGAGCCGCTTCATGCATGCTCCTAGTGTGGACCATATGAATGCTATATATCGAATTCTTAGGTACCTAAAGGGTGCCCCCGGCCGAGGTTTGTTGTTCTCAAAAAATAATACTTCCTGCATTTAGGGATATACAGATTCTGATTGGGCTGGAGATCAAACCACCAGGAAATCCACTTCTGGTTATTTCACCTTTGTGGAAGGCAACTTGGTGACTTGGAAAAGTAAAAAACAAAAGGTTGTAGCAAGGTCAAGTGCAGAAGCTGAATTTCGAGGTATGGCTCATGGTGTGTGTGAATTATTGGGGATCAAAAGTGTCCTAAAAGATTTAGGAGTTTGTTATGACCATCCTATGAACCTGCACTGTGATAACAAAGCTGATATTGAAATTGCACACAACCCAGTTCAGCATGATCGGACTAAACATGTGGAAGTAGACAGACATTTCATCAAGGAGAAATTAGATCAAAAAATTATACACTTTCCTTTTGTAAAATCTGAAGATCAACTTGCTGATATATTGACTAAAGCTGTGTCCGGGAAGGTGTTTCAAGATGCTATTGGCAAGTTGGGCATGATAGATATTTATGCTCCAACTTGAGGGAGAGTGTTGAGTTGTATAGTATCCGTAATTAATTTGATTTTGATTGTGTTAGCAATCATAGGAATTAATTGTAAATAGAATTGATTGACGGGAGACATCAATTCTCTGAGTAATTAATTTGATTTTGATTGTGCTAGCAATTATAGGAATTAATTGTAAATAGAATTGATTGATGAGAGACATCAATTCTATGATTTTAACTTTATTTTTTAGAGTGATTAGTGGCTTGATTGAAGCCCAAAATTTGTATATATAATTAACTCTGTACAAAGGAAGAAATATACAGATTCCATTGTTTGACAATTAGTAAGCTCAGCTCAATACAGAGAACCGATTTTTTCCCCCTTTGGAGACAGTAACACAGTAACATCGCTGTATTTCATGACTTAATTAGCTGGCATCCATGGATCACAAAATTAAAAGCACCAACATTGAATATTAAAAATAAACGAATAAAAATCAATAAACAAAACCTCAGAATTTAAATTGTTGATAAATATCACAAATCACCTAATTAATACATATCATGGCGACACACAAACAGAATATACAGGCACCACACGGACAAAGCAAGAAATTCGGAATCGGAACCCATATCCTCTTCCCAAATGTATCTAGAGAAGAACGAGTTTTCAAGCCAGTATGCACTTCGAAAATTGACACTAAAGAAACCCGCCAAGGATCTACAGGGCATGCATTTTCAAACAACACACAACGGTCAACATTCATAGTTTCAAATTCTGCAACTAAATTACTGAAACCCTAGACTCTGAAGCAAGGCGAATCTAACGAACGATGTAACACAAGATTTCGGTGCAGCACCAATGGCAAAGTAATGAATTGAGTAAAATTACCAAATTGGAGAGAGGCTATGCGCTACGGTTTGAAATTTGAATCTGAGAAGACCATCACCATGTACAATGACCCATCTGTCAAAAGACTCACCAAGAATTTAACTTCCCCAAAATGTTGGTGAAAATGGCAAGTCTTGTATCTATTTTCTAGCTTTCATTTCCACTTTTGTAATGCATTGGGACCCAAAATGCTTAACTAGGGTTAATTTTTAACTCATGGTCCTTAGACTGGTTTATACCATGAATTGCCCAAAATAAATTTAATAATAAGAGTGAGATTATCTATGTTGCACCGATACGATATATGATATAATACGATATTCTGATATGTTAATTCTTAAAATTATTAGATTTTGAATAATTAGGACATATTTTGATATTAAATAATATTTTTAATTTGTAATATTCCAGAAAAATAATAGTAATTTAGAATAATAATAATAATAATGAATTAATAATAATAATAAACTATAAATTAGTAATATATATGTATATTTGATGGTGATAGATAACAAATTATAATATAAATTTTACCTTTGATAAAATGATGTGCAATATTTGTGCGATATGACTCCTATTGAATAATTGAGAAAATTGATTTTAATACCATGTAAATTATGTTGATAGACATTTGAATTATGATAATGGATATTAGTTGAACTTATTTTGAATATTTTAATATTTTTGAATAGTATGGAAAGTTATGATGACCTTGAGCAATAGATATATTGAAAGAAAAAAATTTCAAATATGATAATTGTAATATGATTGAATTTTGATGATTGTGTGATTGTAATTAATTAATAGTGGAAAGATAGCTTTGGGATAGTACCTCCCAAAGTGATGAACACAACCTTTGGGCTTTATGCCTCCGATATATTTATACGATGTGAACAAAGATTATCCATTCTTCTCAAAGTGGTATTTGGCAGGATATCCGGATACTGGTAGCAACTTTGGGAAGAGATGTTTTTGATAATGGCCAAATTGTTGATATGTGACTGGCAGGATATCCGGGTCACAGGTAGACTGGTAGGATCTCCGGGTCTACCATGGTTCTCTTCCCACTAAATGAATTTAATAAAGATAATAATTGATTTAATTTTTATATATATATATATATAATGAATATTAAAATTGGTGTTGATTCAATTGTTATGTGATTACAATTTTTATTTAATTATTGTATTTGAGTTATATAATTGTGTTTTGATTAGGATTACTAGCTTTGTTGACTTTTGTGTTTGTTTGACTGCAATGATTCTCTGGGGGAGCTGATTTTCAGTAAAAAATCAGGTTCCAAGGAATCGGGCTAGCAGTAGGCAGTGAGTAGGGGTGCTAAACGAGTCAAGGGCCTTACAGGGACCTTTGGCTCGGCTCGTGAAGGTCTGAGCTTACATGTCTAAAATTGATTGTTAGACTCAGGCTTGAACTTGTATAAAAGCTCGTCTAATAAAAAGGCCTAAGGCTCCAATTCAAAGGCTCGGCCTTATAGCCTCTCAGGCATGCCTAATATATTAATTTTTTATTTTTTTATATTTTTTATACTACTTGTGATAACCCCTCCTCTCTCTCTCAATCCATTTCATTCCATTTTATTAATTAAATAGACTTTTGAATGATTTTATTTTATATTATGCTATTTGGATATACATTAAATTTATGAATATTTATAGAATTACTAGTGCTGTTGATTGTATATTTTGTTTGAATAAATTTTTGTTGTCTTATTTTTTTTTTTTAAACAGGCTTAACAGGCTAAAGCAAGCTTTTATTTTTTATAAATAAGACAGGACACAGGCTGAAATTATATTCGTGACAGGTAACAGGTTTGGCCAGGCTGACACATTTAAATACAGGCTTAGTCTTTTAAGACCAAAGTTCGGCTCGGCTCGGCCCGTTAACACCCATAGCAGTGAGGATAACGACTCATGATTTCTAGTTAGTCATAAATATTATGTATAGAAATGTAGTCTTAGATTTTATTTGAATGTAATAGAATTAGCCTTGCACTTGTCCCTGTACAGGTGCGACGGTAACATTTTTCCAAATTAGTTTTAGATTAGCTTCTGCAATATTTCTTTTATCATAATTATACAAAACGTAAATTTTGACAATTTATTTATTATAAGAATGTTTTATAAATTGTTAAAAATTTGGGGGTGTTACATAATTTATATTGTATATTATATTTATGGTATAGTGTTTGTCATTTTAAATAATATTTTTTAAATGTTTTAAATGACACAACTTTGTGTCATTTTTAATGAAATTACATCGCTTTGGTGTATTTTGTCATTTTCTCTAATTTATAAAAGGGAAAAAAGTATCTAATGTTACTTTAGATAACTTTGCCTAATATTCATCAAAACGACGTCGTTTTGAGGTTGATAAATTAAAAAATTAGAATGATAAAGACTATTATAACCCTGAAATAAATTAAAATTATAAAAACACCATGATTTCTCTCACGTCGTTTTAATGAACATTAAATAAAGTTATCTAAAGTAACTTTAGAACAAACAAACCCTTTATAAAATTAGAAATAAAAAGAAAATGGAGGAGAGAGAACGTAAAAACTTACCAAAACGAAGTAGTTTATTAAAAATGGCATAATTTTGTGTCATTTAAGATAACAAAGATTTTTTCCTTTATTTCATATTCAATAATTTAACAAAGAAAATGAAACTAAACTTATAATACCCATCAATTTTGAAAAGAAACATAAGATGTAAATATTTATTATTATATTTTTAAATTGAAAATTTTTATACTTTCCAATGAGATTTATTATGTATCAATTTTTAATTTTTATTAGATCATTTTGACAAAACATTGATATTATAAAATATATAAAATATCGGAACGTGTTAGACACAAACACGACACTTTAATGTCGTGTCATAAGCTATCATAAGTATGGATATTTATGGGTATGGAACTCTAATGTGATATTAGATAATATCAAATGATCTCAACCATTTACAAGTAAATTGAAAGCAGTGTTGTTAAACCCGACCCGGTCGGGGTACTGGGTCACTGGTCGGATCGATTGACCCGGATATATATAGATTTATAAAAATATATATAAATATGAACATATAAATTCAATTATATTCTCCATATCTAAAATGAATTAAACAAGGTTCACTAAATAAACTAAAAAATATGAAGCATAAATAAATAAAAGTGCATGCTATTACAATGTCAATTTAAATTGTAACTCAGAATCTCCATAAATATACCTCTCAATGACATTGAACTCATATTTTTCAAATTCAACTACATTAAAATGACATATGTCACATTCTCTAATTTATTATTTCATAAATTACTTCAGTATTGAAAACTAAGAGGTTATTGTAGAAGAGTATACTAGCAAATAAAATTATAAAAAAAATTAAAATGAATTTTACATTTTTTTTTATAAGGTGAAACAGTTTTGGTTTTTTTTTTTAAATGCATGACCCGACCAGGACGCCGGGTCACCGGGTTTGGCCGAGTTTGTCCGAGTTTTGACCAAGTCGATGCATGACCGGTCTAATGCTTAACCTGAACCGGTCTGATGACCGGTTCACCAGATTCTGGGTCGGGTCGGATTTTACAACAGTGATTGAAAGTGTACATTGAATCTACCAAAAAAAAAAAAGTGTACATTGAGATACAAAATGATTATGTCATATGAACTAATGTCAAAATAATAGGGTATTTTGTTGAATTATATAAATTTTAAGTATTGAATGTTGATTTTTTTTAAATTTAATGCTAAAGTTAATCAAATGCATAATGAGCGGTGCTTGTTGAACAATAGTTTATGAAACAGAAACTACGTAGATCTAATCTATCCATTTCTTGCATTTGTTTTCTCTCTCCTATATTTTCTTCTTTATACCAATGGCTTATATTCCTCATGTGAGGAATCTGTGGTGATAAAAGTATGTACAAATTACCGAGAGAAAAAAATGTGCCTATTTTTTATACGTTTTGAAGCAAGTTATTTTTTTTTTGCTATTAAATATGTGCTAATTTAGTCATAACATTAAAAATAATTAAAGTAAGAAATACTAATGATGCACAAAACAGATATGATAAGACATTTAACTATATCAAATATAATAAGTTTCTTTCTTCAAAAATACATACATTATAATTTCTTGCAAGGAAATTATTTGAGTTTTGCTAACAAATACTTTAAAGAGTAGTATCACAAAATAAAAATAAAAAGTATTAAATGAAAAAAAAAACTATTTCGAAGTAAGTCTATATTTTCTATTCCTTAGCAAATGTTCTTAGGGTGTGCATGACAACCATTCTATTTCCTAGCACTGTTTCTGAAAAGAAACAATTCTTTTCTATTTCTATGCCTAGGAACAGTTTCTGAGAAAAAAAATGTGTTTGATAACATATTCTATTTTTATTCTGAGAATGAGAATTGTGTTTGATAACACAACAAATAATATAATAAAAAATAATTTCTATTAAATATAAATTTTTTTTGGATCATCACTTTCCTTTCTATATGGTGTGGTTGTGGTGGTGGTGGCGGCGGGTGGCATGGTGGTGGCGGCGGCAACGGTACGGTAGTGGTGGTGGCAGTGACGTGGTGAAGATAGTGGTGATGGTTGTGATGGCAGTGGCTGCGACGATGGCGGTGGTAATGGTGGCGGCGACAACGGTAGTGGTGGGGATAGTGGTGGTGGAGGTGACTGCAGTGGCTGCGACAATGGTAGTGCGTATGGTGGTTGGTGGCGGCAACAATGGTAGCCGTGACATGATTGTGGTGGTTGTGAAGGCATCATGGTGGTGGTGGTGACAGTGGCTGCGGCGGTGGTGATGGTGGCGATGGCGTGGTTATTGTAGTAACGAGGGTGGTGTAATGGTGGCGATGGTGGTGGTTATTTGTGACGGTAATGGCTGTGACGATGATGGTGGTGGTTGGCGGCGGCGACAGTGATGACAGTAGTGGTTGCAGCAATGGTAGTGGTGGTAGTGGTGGCAGTGGCGTGTGATGGCAATGGTGGCGGTGACGACAGTGGTTGGGATGATGGTGGTGTTGGTTGATGGCGGTGGTGATGGTTATGGTGACGGTGATAGTGGTGGTGATGGTGGCAGCGGTGGTAGTTGTGGTGGTGGTAACAGTGGCATGGTGGTAGTGATGGGTGGAGGTGGTGGTAACGGTGGCGGTGGCATCGTGGTGGTAACGACGTGGTACGATGACAACGGCGACGATGGTGGCGGCAGTCGTGTCGGGATGATGGTGGTGGTGGTGGTGATGATGGTAGAGGTGGAGAGTGATTGAGAGAGCTAAGAGTTTCTCATTTTGTGTCCGAGAACAAAAAAGCAGAAATTTTCTGATTCTTTTTTCTGTTCTCCAGCACAAAAATTAAACCGGTTCATCCCGGGAACAAAAAAATAAACCGATTTTACCAAACGAGTTTCCTATCCATTTTTGTTCCGGGAACAGAAATTAAATAAGAATTGATTTCGAGAAGGTTGTCATGCACATCCTTAATGATTTACTTAGCGAAACCATTATTTATACAACAACAAAATCCTCCTTTTGTCGTGGATTTGTTTGTATTTGTATAATTTCATTTATATAAATTCAGTCGCAGAACTAGCATAACAACCTAGCCAGAATCAAAAAAAATTTAGTCTGTGTCAAACCTAATTATGGTTATTAAATCATGTCTAAAACATGGCTAATTTTTGAAAATCGACCTGCAAATTAATTATAGTAACTTAACCACGTTTAAAACATTGCTAATTTTCAAAAATTAACCCGGGTCAAGACCCACATTGCCCTAACGTGACTCTGTCACTGTATATATTTAGCGTCTCAAAAATGGATTTGATTAAAATATGGATCATACTTTGTATCAATTAGGGTATAAAATTTAAAGAAATTATTAAAATAAATTATAACCGATTCTAAGACTATAGAATTGGACCCAATTTTTTTTAATGCAAAACTAAAATTTAAGGTTAATTGAATTATACAAGAATTGAGTTACCCACTTAGTAATATTAAGGAAAAATTGTCCCATTTCAAGGACAAGACATACTATAAGGCTTTGTAAAGACTTACAAATGACCTTAAAAACGAATGTCTACCATTAAGAATGGAACAAGTCTTTTTATAAACGTTGTTTAATCCAACCAATTTATATATATATATTTTTTTAAATCACTTTAAAAAATTCTGATCTTGTTATTTAAGTAAATATATAAATATATTCACTATCTGCATAGAAAAATATTATTAATATCTCTTTAGTGAACAAAATACAAAGTCTTGGAGGAAGTGCGTAGCAAATTCTAGACTTATCATTTGCTTGAGTGATCACTAAAAAGTCTCCAAGTTAATCCACACAACAATTATCTTCCCTACAAGTGTGTTGGGATTTTATGCACCAAATACGAGTTAGTAAATGAGACTCACAAGCTACATGATTTCTCCATTGTAGCCTCTGCAAAGTCCCTCGCAAGCAGTTGTTCCTGGAGATCCTTTTTTGGCGCCATCAGTGTTTAGCTTCAATCATCTGTCGTCAGGTCAGGTGGGTGCCCTTGGATGACAATAGAGGCATAAATCTTATTGGCACTTCCTTTAGTTTTTTTCCTCGATAGCAATCTGAGTATTTGAAATCAGTTTGTGAATATTGTGTACAGAGAAACTTGATTGAGTGCCATCCTAATAGCCTTGACAACTAGCATTCCCTCCTAAATATGTAGCAAATATAAATCCAAAATGCTCCGGAATAAAAAGTTGCGTTTCTGTCATGTCACACAATACTTCTTTTTTTGTGTAAAAAAGAAAAGAAAAGAAAAAAAAGCTGTCTTCAGGTAATAAATGCTTAGACTTTATTGAGTTGTAAAATGATTGTGTTGAGTTTATGAAATATTAATCGGGCACTCACCCTTCAGTGTTGGATGCTTATAGATAGGAAAAAGAACATCTTTCTCTTTTTTATCAATATTTAAGATTGCAGGGGAATTTAATGTGTGAACATACATAAAAACAATACCTTGAATAATAGAATAATGATATCACCACTTATATATACCCATTTCCTATTTTTGAATTTTTGTCTTTTGAAATATTTCCCCCGAATAAAACGAGAATTTATGGAAACAGTGTACATATCTTTGATGAATTGATTAAATTTCCAACTTGTATCTGCAATAAGACATTAATTGTTTGATTTTTCTTCGAAAAAACATCTATCATTTTAAATCTTAATCGTTAATTTTCATCTATCAACAATTATAATTTATTGAATCAAACTTAATAGACCAAACTTATTATTAATTAATTAATAATTTTAATCCAATAAATTATAACCGTTGATTGACGAAAATCAACAGTTAAAATCTAAAATGACATATTATATCCTTTAAAAAGATAGATGATTTTCCCTTTTCCTTTATATACATTTTGGATTACACAAATTTACATACTACTGGGAATTTAAGGCCGAATGCAGGAAAAAAATTTCCAGGGAATCTGAATCATCATGCACTTCAATTCAAGGAACTCCAATCCCCGAATAATGGGCATTACATTTATTAGATTAAAACAATAACACCAAATTGATGCCTCTACAAACAGTAAACTTGAAATATATACCTGCAAACGCTGAAATAAGTTTCCGGAACATGAATCCAAAATCAGAAAACGAGAGTGACTCACATTACAAAACTAATGAATAAACAAACCGCTTGTTGACATGCACAGTGAGCCATGGTGCATGCGGTGAGCTCAGTTCATTCAATTTTACCGCGAATGTGTATAACAAACACAATCGTTTGTGCTTTCACGTTGTCTGCTCATGCTGATCAGTAGCTGATTCAGCTTTGTCAGGATTAGCGGGGTCTGGTTTGTCATGATGAAAGCGCACCACAATGCATGTAATGTTATCTGCACTACCACGAGAAAATGCGGCCTCTGTTAACTTGCGAGCAGCTGCCTCGGGCTCCTCTTCTGCGCGGGCAAGAGAAACAGCATCCTGAAAAGATGAGTAATATGTAATATCAAACAAAACAATACAAACAGCTGAACCAAATATCGCACTGGACACCCTGATGAATATAGAAGGGGAGTAAAATAAATATCCCAATATCGCACTGGACACATTTTCTTTGGTACATAAACCAAGCTTTTGCAAACATGAAATAACAATAGTCATTGGTTCAAGAATATAATAAGTATTTCATCTTCATTTATAGTCATGTTTGATGACCAATATCAATTAACTGATAAAGTTACGGATGGAAAGAACCCTAAACTCAATTTACTACGATACCTACGGTTCATAGCTTGCTACTTTCCATGGAGCATAGAAAATAAGGCCATAGGAGTAGTAGAATAAGTCACAAGAAGACAATCCCTCATTAGATTCCCACTACCCAAGCATACCCTTTTTTTTTTCTTTCCCCCCTCAGGCTCCCAACTTATAGGCTATGTTATGGTAGATAATCCTATTCTATTCCATCGAACACTATTCTTGAAGACAGCGGATTTGATTACTGGTCCTGGGAAAGTTGACATCATTTCACCAGCTGAATCAGGCACCTTCATGCTCTTTCTTTTTCTTGTTTCTTTTACCAGCTTTATAAACTATTAAGAATAATCCACTCCTGCCTGATTAGAAATGAATATAGGGCATCACATATGCACATATGAATGCAATACGAAATGCATGACTAAGAAGGAAAACAAAGCTTACGTCATTCTGTACAACATCCCAGAGTCCATCACTTGCAAGAATAAGCAGTTCAATTTGTTCATCCATCTCTTGGTCCTGAAAAAAATGAGAAAATATATTAGATTGTTAACATATTATTACTTATCACTTTAACATGCAATTGTCAATTGCAGCAGAGGTGTGGTGATCTACATCACCAAACAAAAATCTAAAGTAAGGCCCTCCAAAGCATGTGCAGGGTACTATCAACAGAAAATATATAGTCTAGCGCTTTCTTGCTACTATGGGAAACACAAAGCCACAATTTGATACACACATCTCTCACAATTAGGGTAGATGCAGATCTTCTGATGACATGGCTCCCTTAAATTTCTTATTTTTTATTTTTTGAAACTCTCGGTACTTGCATGAAAAACTTTTATACGGCTCCAACAAAATATGTCTAAAAATCACATATTTCAAACAAAATATATGTAGACCTTAACTTTACTAGCCCATACTAATTGCTAAACCTATTAAGAGAACTAGGTTAAAGAAATTGCCCTATACACATGCTTTTAGTGATTTTTTGAACAGTCCATTAACTTCTGACCATTCACTAAAAGGGCAGACAATTAATGGCACCCAGTTAGAATATCTTGGTTAATCTTTAGAAGATATTTTGGAATCAATTAGATATCCTATTGAGGCGACAAGAATTGTTTCCATATTTCATTATCTTTCCAAATTTGTTTCTGATAGGATTTGGAGAAATGTATCAGAGATAGTGCACAAACACCAAGGAAATGACCCAGAATCAATCTGGATTTTCTGTATATTGAACTAAAAAAAGACAATTACAGTGAATACAAAGAAGCAGCAATGGAACAGATGAAAATTACAATGGAAAAGGAAGAAAAACAAAAGATAATTTTAGAGCAATTAGAGAGTGCTCTGGTTCTCTCCCAATCTGGTTTCCCACCCCAAGTCCCAAGTTCCAATCTGGATCCTTCTCACACCTCTCCACCCCTTTTATTCCTTCTAACAACCTTGCCACCTCAGCAATTCTTCTAGAATATACTAACTAACAAACTTGTCATACTCCAATAATCCCCTACTAGCCAACCTACATATATTTACATGACTATATTCCTATCAATACTGCCCCCCTTAAACACTCACCTTGCCCTCAAGGTGAGGTTTAGCCCCTAAGTACCTTCCACCGGGATCCCATTGCTTGAATTGTAGAGATGCACCTGTGCTCAAAGTAAGATGTTGTCCACCAAGATCCCATATTTGTCCAACTTGAATGGCTTTTACCACAACAAACGGGAATAAATTTAGCCCAAGGGCGGGCCTCAAAATGTTTGTCAGAGCAACTGTTGGTAGTGCCGCTTACTTAATCCAAGTAAGGAATTCTCAGATTTGTCAAGAAATAACTCATTGGGTGTAAGGTTTGATTGTGACTGCAGCCCCACTTTCTTTTGAGAATCCTCAGTGATGACTTGTTTCAATTTTTCTTCATATATTGAAGACATTGAATGAGGTTTCAAAGGAAAAGAACGAGAATCTTTTTCTCTTAATGTGGAAGATGTTAGACTAGAATGATTGACATACAGAGAAGGCAACCCTTCAGAAATAGTATTTTGCACCCACCTTGACTCAGAAGAGTCAGAAAAATATTGTTCAAAATCTTCTGTTGCTAAAATGTTGGTTGTTTCAGACTATGATTCAGCCCCATTATACAAATCCACTTGAGGAGCACTACCCAAAGTAATTGACGGAAATCTCTTACAAATCAAGGAAATGTCCAAATCATCTAATGCATCTTTAAGACTCATTTCAGATTTCATTTCCTCACTTCCATTTCCAATTAAGTCAGGAAGGTTATAATCCATAAGGACAAATACCTTGCATCGAAGACTAGGGTTCCACCGTTTTTCACATATAAAGCATACCCCCCTTTTTCGCATGTCTTGGATTTCTGCCTGGGTTAAACGCCTTCCTTCACTCTGCCCATTGTTACTTGCAACGCTTTCTTCCTTCTTCACGAAATGGGAGACTCCACCCTCTTGAACTTGTGTGTTAATGCTCAGTTTCGTGTCAACGCCTGAGATAGGATTAATGGGACGTGTGTTGCTGCCAGAATTGTTGTTAGGTGAACTAATTTGGCTCACGTGCCTTGTACCCACACTAACTAGGTTATTTTTAAGTGATTGGGTTGTGGTTTGAATGTATCTACCTGACCCGGCCCATTTTCCTTTCACACTAGGCCCAACTCCAAACCCATCACCTAAGCAAGCTACATTTGGTTTCTCCCATGTCGTCTCCTTCAACAGATCTTCCAAGCTGGGCATCTCCAATCTGTGCGCGCTCCATTCAGGTGAGCGCACGTTGCTCGGATCTTCTCCAAAATGTTCGGCTATGAGTGGTTGAGTTGTGGGATCGCCACTGCCGTATGTTTTCGTAGCTTCCTCTTCTTCGACGATCTTCAGAAGGTTGAGTGTTGGGATCCTGCAGCAATGGGTTTGACACCCACGCTCGACACCCTCGATTATGTTGGATCTCTCATTCTGCAGCGCTTTGTGATCATGGCCTTCGTCCGCTTCAGATCTGTATTCCGATTCAAAGGAATCTAGATTTCTCTTGCGAGAACAACCACTATGATGATGCTTGTCTCTGTTTCGTCTACCTGCCCTTCCTTGTCGCCGTCGAAGGACCTGCAAGATTTCTGTCAATTTCTGATCAATTATGCGACTCCTCACTTCTGCAATTTCTTCATTCCTCCTCATCCTCTCTACTATGATCTCAAATCGGTTGTCCATGTTGTGCATAAGAACCGTTCAAAGCACCCCTAGGATCGGAGTTCTCTGATACCAATTGTTAGGATATGGAGAAATGTATCAGAGATAGCGCACAAACACCAAGGAAATGGCCCAGAATCAATCTGGATTTTCTGTATATTGAACTAAAAAAAGACAATTACAGTGAATACAAAGAAACAGCAATGGAACAGAAGAAAATTACAATGGAAAAGGAAGAAAAACAAAAGATATTTTCAGAGCAATTAGAGAGTGCTCTGGTTCTCTCCCAATCTGGTTTCCCAGCCCAAGTCCCAAGTTCCAATCTGGATCCTTCTCCACACCTCTCCACCCCTTTTATTCCTTCTAACAACCTTGCCACCTCAACAATTCTTCTAGAATATACTAACTAACAAACTTGTCATACTCCAATAATCCCCTACTAGCCAACCTACATATATTTACATGACTATATTCCTATCAGTTTCCTTATTTACTTAGGTTAGGATTCTTATTGTAATAGTGGGCTCACACTTGTACTAGTAGTGCTACACTAGTGCTTGACCTAACTCTTAGACTCTTAGTATAAATATGTTCAGTGATTTGTATTTTCTATACATCATATCTCTATAATCTTTTTATTCGAAGTATTCCTTTGCTTTCCCTCCTTCCGTACCTAGATCTTTCAATTTCAGCACACCCAGAACTGAACAACCCATACACAGTGGCTTTAGTAGGAATTAACGGGGCATATTTTTTCGTCTCTCACTAGCTGCAGCTGGGTTATTCTCACAGACAGATACATTGGATACATTCTCTCAATTCTTTTAACATGGAACCCTCTCACAACTTCAACCCCACTATAATTATGCATTAAGTATTTTTTTATCTCCTTTCATCTGTAATTTTCTTTTCTCTTATATATATTTTCTTAAATGCTAGCAGTAGAGAGTGAGTCTTGCCATGGTGATTTTGCTGCTTTGTGACCTGATGTTAATGGGTTTTAGTAGCAGAAATAGTATATCCACTCATGGGAGTAAGGCTAGAAGTCCCGTGCAGCGGGCTGTCCTTTTTCCCCCCCACTAAATGTTTACCATCTTTACCATGATTTTATGTTTATATTTGTTAGTAATAAATATGATGAAAAAGTTACAAACAAATGCCTAATTAGTAACTTTTACATAAATAATGTGCTAAAACTTAAATACATATACTTGTAATGAGATTGTGCTAATATTGTGTGGAATAATAAATGAGTTGAGTAATCAGTTTGACCATTTCAAAATTTTAGGACAAGACCCAATGTTCCTTTCAATGGAATGTCCAAAGCTGGAATCTAATGCTATTAATTTTTCTTTACCTTGGTTAATTTCCTTGTAAAAGTAGAAAGTTAGTAATTTCTGTTAGAAACTTTCAAGAGACATTATCTACATTCATTATCAGGATTTGGCGTCCATGCAATGCAAATGCACAAGGCAATCGACGATCACCTGGATCTCAGGTTCCGCAACAACAAACTGCTTCAACATACGATTACCAAAGGCACGAGACATTGCTAGCACCCCTCCTACCCTCCAAGTACCTGACCAATAAAATAAGCATATGTAAATATCACCTCCCCAAACTAATCATTCCATCCTTTGAATGGTTGCCTGTTTTCAAAGTGAAGATATGAAGCATGTTATTCCAATGTAGTATAAGTTGAGAACACGGATACTACTTGCATAATCAATCTAATGCCAATATTGAATAAGTCAACATCTACTAACTTGTGTCAAAACATGGAAAATGCAATACATCTGCACATTTGTCCTGAAGCCCAACAGGTTTCTCCACTTTATCCCCATCCACAAGCCAGTAACACATACTGATTTGATTAATGACTTATAACTCATTCAAGATTTACACAAGAAAATTTAACAGAAGGACTGGGTCAATGAACTTCTATAAATTTCCATGTACTCATATAAGATTACAAGAGAGTTAACAAACATTTTATGGATAAAAGGTGGCAAAATATATGGCATATCCATCAGCTAGAACATAATTCCATGTATATTATTATATGCCAAGTTGCCAACATAACCCCCAATCAAAATGATCCAAGATAGGGGCAGCTTGAACTTCCAATGTCACCATCAAATTACTCCTCTCAATTAAAACATGCAGGAAATCCTCAACCACAAAAAAAATGACCCATCCCCATTGTATGTTGCACTAAATGTACCAGAAGCATACTATCAACAGCAGAACTATTTAAAGAATCTATTTGTATGCTTGAAATATCGTATAAAGAATCTATTTGTATGCTTGAAATATTGTATCTCACCTGCCCACATAACAACACCCCCAGCATTCTCAATTCTCTTCCGCTCATCGCTTCTATTTGGCTTATGATCGTCAGAGAGAGCAATTGCTGCCAAAAAGGAAACAATTAGTTTAAGATTTTGCATTCACATTCTATTTTCCAAAATGTATTCAATGGATGTAAAGGTGAAAATTAATGGTATAGTCATACAATAACTCTTGTTATTAAGATGTGAAAACTTCTTTTGTATAAATAAAAAAAGAAGAAGGAATTTTACTAACACTTTACCAATTATTATATGAGAATTTATAAAGGATATGAGAACTTAAACTTTATCAATAAAAAACCACTCCCCATTCAATCCCGACTAGCGAGGGTAGGGATAAGGGTAATCCTTGTACACAGCCTTACCCTCGCATATTTGCAAAGAAATTGTTTCCTATATTCGAACCTATGACATTTTAATCACAAAGGAGTCACTTTACCATTGCACCAAGCTCGCCCTCTTTTAAACTTTATCAATATTATGAGTTAATAATAGTGACTATAATCTGAAGAAATCATAAAATAGAAGGTCATCAAAATAATACCTTTACCAGCTTTCGATATTATAGTCCTGGAATCTCCAACATTAGCTACATAAAGATGGTTATCAACCAAGACCGCTGTAGAAGCTGTAGAGCCATCATCCCGGAAGTTGTCCTTTTCGGAATCCAGAAAATCAGCATCAGTCTGTTGATATGTTTCACCTGCAAACTTAGTGAAGTTACAATGATTGCGAAAACTGATAATGGAATATCAAATGCATTCCATGCAGGAATCCTCCCCAGATGCCATAAGAAAGCAGAATAAACACATGATAGATCATAGATGTGAACTCAAAAATTTCCAACAATGTTGGAGCACCCGAGAAAGCATTAACAAATGATAAACAACAAATATTACAACACAACATTCAATAAAATAGGAGAGAATGGGAACACACTTATAGCCAATTTGGCATCTGTCAAAAACTTCGGATGTTTAATGAGATTGTCAAAGAGATGTTCCTTCAAATACTCTGCAGCACGAGAACCACCATGACCTGTATGTAATTTAAAAATTTATTAAGATATGTAACCACGACCACAGAGAAGATGATCATGTAAGATCACTAAGACCAAAGAACCATTTTTCTCCCAATGAAGTGATGACACTAAAAAAATCTTACCATCAAATATTCCAAATAAGCATATTGATTGACCACCTATCTTCAATGTTTTAATATCATAAAAATCCTCCATTGTCACTCTCTTCCCCCTAAAACTTGAATACCCACAGCTAAGTCTTCCACCTTCACTGCCAATTAGAAATTCAAAGAAATAAGAACCATCTGATCACAATATAGATAGGCAAAAGCATAAAGCACAAGCGCACAACACCAAATCCAGCCACTAAAGCAAATTAAATTATTTATTAATGCAATTCTTCCGGTGCAAGCCCTAACATAAAAAATTCACGCTTTAGCCACAAAAGTAGTTGATTACCTTCCACAAAAAGAACATGACCTATTTAAGGAGGTTTCCTTAACAGATATGTTGAGGAACTGGGCAGCTTAGCTCCATTGAAGTTTTATTTTTTTATTTCGTATTTTGCTCCCCAGTCCCCACCCAGTGGGAATAAGGCTTTTGTTATTGTTTTATGTTTTGCTCTTATGCTAAGGAGGATCCTTATCCCTCAAACACTTTTAATTTACTCACTTCATCTTAAAGCATTTCTTCCTTTATAAAAAACAAAAAGACTTTCCAAAAAAATATTTTCTCTCATAGCTCCTCTTTTCCTTCAGTCTAAATTTTGTGCCAATACACAAAAGATAAGCCAGCGTATCAACCTAAATAGTTTAAAGAACTCTTAGCAGTGGCCACCCTTCGTGTGCTTTTTCAGATTGCGCTGCACCCTACCAAAATCAGGTCCTCACATAAATTCAATCAGTCACTGACTTTGATATGTTTTGGTGTCATCGTAAATTCCATATGCAAATTTTGCTTCTAACGGCTAAGCTGCTAGTCCATTTGACAAGACCAGCGCAAGGTTATTTTGGCAGTGTGATATAACCTAAACACCCCAACCTTGCAAATGTTCGATTCCAACAGGGATGTTATACCATTGTATCAAAGCAAGAAAGTAAAGGTTCTATGGAGATTACATCTATCGTCATCAGAACAAATATACTTTTCAATATGTCAGTACAACTTGGAATCAAATTCACCTTTTCCACCCTCCACTGGCAAACCGGCCATCATCATCTTTCTCTGGCATCATATCAACAAGGGGTCCGGCCCTCGACATAGAACCCGTATCAACCATCATCCCTATGTTTGTCTTAAATTCACGAATTGGCGAATAAGTAACACTGGGAATTGCCTGAAAACTCCTCCCGATGCCGTTGATTTTCACTCTGTTGCCGAAGGTACCAGCTCGAACAAACAAAAACCTCACGCAACTGCAGCATACCATCTAACCGACAAACCTAGCGATTCACACAAAAATAACAACATCACAAAAATATTCTCAAATCCGAACAATAATTGAACTCAATAATGTTAAACAGAGAGAGATTAAAATGTAATCATAATCATTATTAATCAATATAAATATTCAAATTGGTTACTTCAGAAGCCAAAAAAAGGCAAGCACCACAATCAAAACCTGCTTGAATATTGAACTCTCTAAGCTACTGTAATGTAATCATTAAGGGATCAGGGATCGAATGTTCGAGTATCGGATCGGATAAAAAATACGCAGAAAAAAATAACAGCGGTAACGGCTGAGATCCGAATCCGAAACAGGTAGATGTTGGGAGAAGAATCAAATCAATTAAAGATAGTATATGTTTTTGAGAATCTTAAATGAGAATGAAACCCTAGAGAGAGAGAGAGAGAGAGAGAGAGAGAGAGAGAGAGAGATTTGAAGAGAAGAGTTGCGAGATTTGGCAAAAGCGACGGAAGGAAGAAAGAGAATGAATAGAGCAACGTGGAAGTGTGTGGTAAGTATTCATACCATGTATGATATATACTCTTCTTTTTTTCTCATGAACCCAGTGACTGACACCTACTCTTTAATAAATAACATGTAAATAAATAACATGTACGGTCTCTTTTATATTTAACTTAATATCTAAACTAGTCTCTGCCACCACCTACCTACCTGGGATCCCTTGTTGCTTATCACCTTTTTAACAAAAGTTTGATCAACGGAGAAAAAGAAGTATCGTTTAACAAAAGTTGTGTTTTTTTAATGATTTATATAGAATATGATTGGTTATATTTTATGTAATTTTGAAAAATAATTTTTTTTTTCACTTTATATGTCGATAATAATTTATACTTTGTTAGATAATTTACACGTCAGAACAAAAAATAATTTTTTGAATTTACACAAAGTATAAATCTAAAAGAACACAATTAAGTGACACACACTAAACCCTTGATTAATATACTTTTTTATTTTAATTTTCATTCACAATTTTTTTTATATTTAGCCTTTTTTAGCGCTATTTTATATTTTTAATAATTATGGAATCTATTTTTTTACTCATATTTTCATAATTTTAAATATCTTTATTTAAAATTTATTGACCAAACTTCTGAGTCTCAGTAATTCTTTTTTTGATAACTGATCTTAATTACTTCTTTGAGGCGAGTCAGAACTCCTGATATTCCTACGGGTTCGACTCTTTGAGCTATCTATGAAACTAATCTAGAGTTTGAGTGCGAGTCTCAGTAATTCTTCTATAATATGGTTGGACGAAGAATTTATCATAGAAAATTTAAAATTTTAAATATTTTTATTTAAAATTTATTGACCGAACCTTGTAGGCTCTATAATTCCTTTAGAATGTGTTTTGATCAAAGATTGATAAAGGCAAATAATGGATGGGAAACCTTATGACTAGCTTTTCCCTTATTAGAGTCCTCTAATATATATATATATATATATATATATATATATATATATATATAGTAAACACCATTTTTGGTCCCTAACAAAAAACACGGTCCTCACTTTAGTCTTTTACAAAAATAAATTAGTCAGTTAGTCCCTAACAAATTCAAAGTGGGGACCGTATTTTTGTAAGGGACTAATTAATTTATTTTTGTAAGGGACTAAAGTGGGGACCGTATTTTTTGTTAGGGACCAAAAATGGTATTTACTCATATATATATATATGATTTTATTAATCTCATGTTAAAAGAGATAAGTTATCTCATGTCATAGAGATAAATTTGTGGGCTCCACCATCTGAAGAATAAAAGGAAAAGAAAAGAAAAAAAGGTGGCACAGTTATCGAAGAGTGTGTAGGAGAGAAAGTTATTACATATAACATAAGAGTAGTTTTTTCCATATATATATATATATATATATATATATATATATATATATATAAACATTTGTTCTTTTAAAGGATATAACTTTGTGTCATTTTAGATCGTAACTATTGATTTTTGTGAATCAACGGTTACAGTCTATTGGGTCAAACTTATTAATTAATTATATATTAATTCGCAATAAAACTCAATAAATTTTAATCGTTGATTAATGGAAATCAACAGTTTAGATCTAAAATGATACAAAGTTATATTCTTTAAAAAGACAATCATTTTTACCATATATATATAGGCGCGAGACAACTCTCTTTATAAAATTTTGGCAAAATAGTTTCGTAACTTTGGAAAAAGGATGCCTCCTCATATGTGATATGATTCCGAAAGATAAACCAGATGGTTTAAATAAAATGTTATTCTTGAACAAAAACTTGATATATTTATTGAAGAGAGATCCCATTCACATGCATATGGTGATATAGTAGTTAAAATCTCGATTTAAATTTATGCTTTTACGATTTTACTATTTTTCTTAATCAAAACGATTTCATCAAAATTTTAAACATTTTTATGTTTTTATGATTTTTTATGATTTTTTTTACATTAGAATTTTACGTGTTACAATTTTTTATCCTCCTTCAGATTTTAGATAAAATTTCAATTTTAACTATCATGAGCGTGCATCCGGTAGGAATACATACATACATACATATATATATATATATATATAAGTACATCTCAAACAACTAAAGCCTACTCCACTAAAGAAGACCTTTCATTATGGATTCACCCCAATCAAAATTACGTGGATGAATGCCTGGTTAGTAAGAAAAGAAACGATATGATTGAGAAGAGAAAATGAACATGGAATGACATTTTGGTAGAATTTTTAAGAAGTGTATGATATATTTGGTATCTAAATTGTTTTTTTTTTTTTAATATTCTGATTGATTTATCGTTTCGCGACTAATCCAATTCGGGGCAGATTTCAAGATTAAAACTTTAATCTCTTCCCAAAAATGATACAAAGAAGGATTAAAGATATCACATATGATTTTACCTCCACCTTTTCAGTTTCCCGCTATCTAAATTGTTAAGTTGTATATATAAATATCTGATAGTTATTAAATAATTTTTAATACAATTTTTGCTCTCTATTCTTTCCTCTTTAAATTTTTTTGGTCAATTGGGTTATGAAGCCTTACTATTCTAGGGATCATATATCGAGGAAATTCTTTAATTCGACTTACTTTTAATTGCGGGGTTCAAATTCAAATAATGGATTTCCATCCATCTATAGGTTCAGATCGGAAAACATGGAGACAATCATAGAAGTGAAACATGTTCTTCAAAAAAAAAATAAAAAAAAAATCATAGGAGTAAAACCTTCTTTACTAAATTATTATTTTAGTCCATCTAAATTATTCAGGATTTCTTTTTGGTCGCGAATCTTTTTATTTTTTTGGGTAAAAGTCTCACTTAAGTAGTTCCTTGATTTATTAACATGTTATGGCGTGCAGTCATTGGATATTTCAACTGTTAAACTTTTGCAATTTTTCTTGAAAGTAGATTAATTTGTTATGTAATTTTTTTTTTTTTTTAAATTCAATTATGAAAGTTCAAACTTATGATCTTATATAGACTATTTGTCTTTGATCCCCTAGACCAATCCTAATGATTTTATGTAACTATTTTTTATGTAAATGTTGCGTATTTTTTTTAAAATGACAATTTCTTTATTTGTGAGTCTTGGCATTCATAGTTTTGTTTTACTTTTTTAAGTCCTATCCATATATTTTTTAAATATAAAACCTATCCATAATAGATTATGAAGTAAAATGATTTTGATAAAAAATAAAAAGATCATTTCAAATATTTGTACATTTATAATATAATTACAAAAAAAATTATGTTTAAAGAATGTAATTATAATATTACAAATTCTTAAAATACCCGTAACTTACCAATTTTTTTTTTTTTTTTTGGGTAAGCACTTACCAATTTATTTTCCACATTTTAACAAATATGTGCTGTATCTATATATAAATTCATAGCTAAACTAATTTGGGACAAAAGGGTGAAGTATGAGGTAAAAGGGCTAAGGATATATTAATATTTCTAGAATAAAAGACGTGGCAACAAAAATCACAGAGAGTTCAACATAGCAAATCAATACATATAGAAAATTGGCAAAGAAAAACAATGACACCTAGTTCATAATTTTTCCCCATGTTGTTGGTCTACTTCCCCTAATTACTGTAGGGGTTTTATAATTCTTGTTCAACATGAGAATTGAAATTTTTCTATACGCCCTTCAATTTCTGTGCTGACGTAAGTCCTACACGTAATTTTTTCTAATATATGATTCTCACATATTTTTTTGTCTCTACGACATGAGATTTTAATTCTCATGTAACTTGAGAATTATAAAACCCTTACTATAAAGTCAAAATTGACTAATGAGGGCCTACATCATGCAAACGTGCGGTGCAGCTCACTTCCCACTTCAGAAATGCTGGCAACGCAAATGCTGCTTTGTGCATCTGCAGAAAGAAACATAAGATATTACTTGTGTGTAGGAATTATCAATGAAAGAAATTCTAATGTGATTTGATTCATGTGAAACAATAATAAGACCTTACTAGCATGAATAGCAGCAACACTCATATTAGGGGAGGATTTGGTCCATAGCAATAACATTAAAAACAGAACAGTATTGACAAACCAGCGAATAATACCATTCATGAGAAAAACACAAAACAAAAAGCCACACGCTCTTGCTATTCACTAAAGGCCAAAAATTTAGTCATTGATTTTGCAGAAGAGAAAAGATCATTCAGATCAGCAAAGCAAATATGTGAGTAGAAGCAACACATATCTTTGGACCATATATTTTACCTGTGAGTTATAGAACCTAAGTTCTCTTCTATGCTTAGCAGCACCTTCCACTTTTTCAATAGGGTTGATGGGGTTTACAAAATCGACAGGTGGCCCCTCTGTTGAGCATAGAATAAAACCTATCACACCGCTGCATGACAAGGAAGGAAGAGGACAAAGGAGATGTAATCACTCATTATTAAAGAAAAATCAAAATGTAAAACATGTTTCTTTTAAGGATTCGCTTTTTCTGCGTTACTGCATATAACTTATCTGCAATAAGCCCAATACAACGTCATTTTGGGATGAAAATTATGGTGTTTTTGTAATTTAAATTTATTTCAAGATTATTATAATCTTTATAATTATAATTTTCTAATCTTTCAATTCCAAAATGACGTCGTTTTGGAAGTAAATGCAGATAACTTATCTGCTGTTCTTCTAAATAAAACATGGTCCCTCTGAAATTTTTATAATAAAATTTTAAGAGTAACATGAAATGAACTTAAAAGTAGAAGAGAATACCGTCTTGCCAGCAAATTGGAAAAGTACCTTGGATATGTTGGAACACTTGCCCATGCATAACGTACTGAACCACTGAATGTTTCTTGACAAATGGAGATCATATCCTGAATAAGGTGCGTATGAAGCCACATACTTTCTGCCATATTACACAGTACTCCACCAGGCCTTAACGCCTTAGCTATTGTCTTAAAAAATGGCTTCTCCACAAGTTCCTGAGCAGGACCTAAAGTAACAAAGAGATCCTGTGAGTGTTTGGAAATAATGACCAACAAATGAAGATTCTCAAGCATTTTAATCCTCTAAATTTAATATATTAGTTTAATTATCTTATCTTAGTTGATGAATTAGAGAAATATTTTAGCTTTTACTATAGGAAACTATACTTTTGATGAAATCCAAAGCAGAATTGGTCGCAATGTAGATAGTCAATCATTATATCATGCAACAATTTACAAAAGTTCAGAAAAACCTCATCTAGTTAAGCAATGTTAAAACAAGAAAAAGCACACTTCACCTCAAAGCACTAGCCTACATCACATATCCAGCCATTTATTTTCCATTTCTTACCTTTTTTAAAATAAACTTCCATTTCTTACAATTTAATTACATGTCCAGTGTTCAGCATAATTTTTTTCAATGACAAGCATGCCTTAACGAATATGATAAATTATTATAAAATGTAATAACATACCCACAGGATCTGAGGAATCAACAATTATGGCATCATACTTCCCTTCAGGAGCACATTGAAGAAAGTCAATAGCTGCAAAAATTTGGTGTGAAGAAACAACATTAGATGTTAAAATAACTTTGCAGTTTCCAATCGCGAAAATGTCATTGAAATGGAAACTCAAACATTGATACTAGCATATAACAGAAATGGATACCATCACCAACATGCAGATGTACTCGAGGATCTTCAAATCCAACAGCCAACTCTGGAAAAAACTTCCTAGAAACCTAATGAATAAATGTCAATTAGTTTTTTGTTCAATCAAATCAGTTATATCCATCATTAAAATTTACCTTAACTTACATCAATAACCATCTCATCTATCTCACAAATATCAACATGATTCACGGAACTGTGGCGGCATACTTCCCTTAGAACACCACCATCTCCACCACCAACAACTAAAACCTGGATCAACAACATAAAAATCATTTAGCAGATGGATAAAATAGAAAGAGGGAGGGGGGAGGGGATAAAAGAGAACAGAATCATACAAGTGAGGATTGAGGAATAAATTCAATCAACGTCCAAGTTTCAATATGTGCAAAAAACTTTTCCTCCTTACACATTTAAGGAGCAATGCAAATCAGAACTGATACGAAGATGTCTATATCAATTTGATTGCACTGACAGAAATATAATAAAAGAAAATAAGAAGAAGCAACATTTAAACTGCTAAATAAAAAAAGTACATATCTAACTTGTGCAATATCATTTCCCCTAAGTGATAAGAAACTGTATTTTGAGAATTTACACTGAAGTTACTAGTATTAAGAGATAATATTTTCCCCTCAGATTATTTTTTTTCTCCCTCCTCTCTCCCCCTTGTTTCTTGAAGAAATGGAAAAGAATAATCCTAGGCTCCTGGCTAAAGGTATTTGACACAGGATCTCAAGCACAGGGAAGATTCAAGAGAGAGAGAAAATATCTGTGAGATCTCTCAATGTGAGAGAAATTGATAGAATGAATATTAAATTATAAAGACTATACAAAAGTCTATTTATAGTATATTAGAAAGGAAACTAAACTAGGCTAACTAATTCAGTTACAGACTCAAAACAAACTGAACAGAATTGAAAACTAACTTAACAATTACTAATCCATATATCTTTCCAGAAAAAATAATAATGTGACATAAAGCTCACCAATGAAGTAAAACCTACTTCTGGATTCCTACGTTCATTATGATGCACCCGAGTTAACTGACTAGGATTGAGTTTTTCTATAGTTTAGGGTTTTTCAATAATTGTTAATTATTTCCCCTTTTGTTATTTTTAGATTATGTTTGAGTGTGCATTATTTATCTCCTTTGATTGCGTATGATTATAATTATTTACTTTTTTGTTATTTTATTTTGTCTATTTAAGGCTTGGAAAACTCTATTATTATGAAGTTGTTTTTGGTTAAATAAAACCAAGAAAAAAGAATAGTGTTTTCTCACAATCCTTGTGTTCGTTCTTTTTTTTGTTTAGCCAATTGGTTACTGCTTCGGCATTATTTGGTAATCAGAACTCTGGTTGTCACATAAATGGCTGAACAGAACAATGGTGGTCGAGGTCAAGTTTGAGTTCGTGGACAACGGGGTCAAGGCGATGGCGGCGGTAGAGGGCGTGGTAACACCCTTAACGGCGACGACGAACGACCACACATCTACGCTCAAGACGCCATAATTGTAGTTGCAATGGCCGCTGCAATGGTAGAACAAGATAGACTAATTCAAGAGTTCGAATAATTGCTTGCCCTAACACAGTTGGACGAGTCAGATAAAAGAAGGGAGTCTGAAAGATCATCTCATGTAGAGGAAATGAGCGAAAACCCATTATGGAACCAAGAGAGACAAGGACGAAGTCAACCTGGCGATAAATTCTTTTTTTCTAATATTGGGCTGAAGATTGAGATCTCAGAATTCGAGGGAACCACTCATCTAGATGAGTTTATCGACGGGTTACACACTGTCGAAAGGGGTCTTTGACATTAGATACTTGACAGAAGACCAGAAGGTCCCGATCTGACTGATGCACCTGAGCTGACTGACTAAAAAAGTGTGCATCATCCTCCCCCGCTAGGAAAAAATTCGCCCTCGAATCTGCTTCGTCTTCATTGATATCAATTTCTTCAGGTGGTAATCGAGGTGGCAACTCTTCTGGTACAATATCACCAAATTCCCTAATTAAGATTAGGACTTGTGAATGCAATTCTTTGATATGCTTGATATGTTCATCTGCATTCGTATTAAACTGCTTGGGAACTAGAAGTATTGCGAGTTCTAAGGAAGTAAGTGGACAAAACCCATAAACTATTGCAAAAGGACTATTGCCTGCAGTTTGGTTCAATGATCGCATCTGTGATCCATCATAGGAAAATTCTGTCTGATGTAACAGCAAGTCCCATTCCACCTGACGATCTCCAATTAAACTTCTACTAAAAGCTAAATCTTTATCTCCATGGAGCATGAGGTTGTTATGCCTGTTGTCCCCAAATTCGTAATACTGCTTGCAAACTAAAGACTTCTTAAATGAAGGATCATTTCGCATGATATCTTTGGGTAGAACTTCCTCTTTGTCAGAGATATTAGAATTTCTAATAACTGACTTTCCACCGAAATCACTACAAGAGATTTCTTCCACCTCTAGATTCTCGTCGTCTTGCTCCCAATTATACTTATCACAGATCAGGAACTCGTCATAAACTGGAGATGCTAAAGACCTTTTCAACGGTGTGTAACCCGTCGATAAACTCATTTGGATGAGTGGTACACTCGAATTCCGGGATCTCAATCTTCAGCCCAATATTAGCAAAAAAGGATTTATCGCCAGGTTGACTTCGTACGTGTCGCTCCTGGTTCCATAATGGGTTTTCGCTCCTTTCCTCTACATAAAATGATCTTTCAGACTTTCTTCCTTCATCTGACTCGTCCAACAATGTTAGGGCAAACAGTTGTTCGAGCTCCTGAATTCGTCTATTTTGTTCTACCATTGCAGCGGCCATTGCAGCTACAATTATGACGTCTCGCACGTAGATGTGTGGTCATCCGTCGTCGCCGTTAAGGGTGTTACCACGCCCTCTACCGCCGCTGTCGCCTTGACCCCGTTTTCCACGAGCTCGAGCTCGACCGCCATTGTTCTGCTCAGCCATTTATGTGACAACCAGAGCTCTGATTACCAAATAATGCCGAAGCAGTAACCAATTGGCTAAAGAGAAAGAAGAACGAATACAAGGATTGCGAGAAAATAGTATTTCTTTTTTCTTAATTTTATTTAACCAAAAACAACCTTATAATAATATGGTTCTCCAAGCCTTAAATAAGCAAAATAAAATAACAAAAAAGTAAATAACTATAATCATGCGCAATCAAAGGAGATAACGCACAATCAACGCACACTCAAACATAATCTAAAAATATCAAAAAGGGAAATAATTAACAAGCGAAATATAGTTCTTCTGTCGCTGCAGATGGAAAAAAATGCAGCAACACTTATTTTTATCAGGATACACGTCCGAATCCTGATGTGTTTTTTTTTTTTTTTTAGGTCAGGATACGACCTCGTATTCTAGTGTTAATAATTTGCTGCAACTTTTCTCATCAGCAGCGAAAGGAGAAGCGACGAACCCAATTAACAATTATGATAAAACCCTAAACTATGAATAAATTATAGAAATGCCCAATCCAGGTCAGTCACCTTGGTGCATCACATTACCATTATGACTTCAGAACCTACATGGATTATTACATCAAAGTTGACATATCAACTTCAGCTATACATGAAGTTCAAAACATAATTAATCTACATATCCTTAAATAAAAGAGTTATATAACTTGTTAACATACACCTCACAGCACAAAGTTAGAAAACACTAGTCACAGACTTATCACTCCAAAGACAATAGCTTAGGTAGGAAACAATATAATTAACTGCAATATTGCAATTCCTCAGACTAAAACATTCAATTAACATTGCCGCCAAAATACTAAAGATTGTTCCAACATGGCATCATTGGCATTTTTGGCATATGATCCTAAATTAAATTATTTCCACAGCTTGTTAAATTAAATTATTATCATATGCTGCACAACAACAAAGAGAAAGAAGTTCTACTATTCATTTAAGAGTTGGTCCCATCAAAATATAGACAAATTCATAAGGAAATCACAAGGTGAAGTTATAGGAATATAGAAAAAATGTAGAAGGAAATCAAAAGGTATAGTTATAGAAAGGAAATTTAGTTATGTCTAGAAGTTCTGATTATCTTTTCTTTTGGTGATTAGAGGGAGCAGGGGTTCTTGCCAAGACCTGCATAAGGTCAATAACTGTGCCAATGCAACAATTAGCAGAAACAAAATCTTTCAATATTGCTTGTCAAGAGAAATGGAACAACCATGCAAGCCAATATTCTTTGCCATGCTGCAACTTGTGCAATCAATAGTACAAAAACTTGCAATTTTATATTCAGAAACAAATAAGATAAGTTGAAATCCAATAAAATAATAGTTAAATGTAAAAGAATACGTTGTGTATTGATCTGTGTCAGGGAGTTACAATATATAGAGACCCTAATGGGCTTAAGTGTAAGGCCCAAACCTAATCCAAACATAATCCTAATACAGTCAGACTATTTACGGATAAGACAGAATCCAATCATATCTAATCAAATCTAATCATATCATATCTAATATTCTAACACTCCCCCTCAAGCTGGTGCGTATATATTATGAGCACCAAGCTTGTTACAAATGTATTCAACCCGAGGACCTCTAAGAGCTTTAGTGAAAACATCTGCTAGTTGATTAGACGAGTTGACAAAAGCTGTCTTGATTTCTCCTGACTGAATCTTTTCCCGAATGAAGTGACAATCAATCTCTATATGTTTGGTCCTCTCATGAAAAACAGGATTAGAGGATATATGTAGCGCAGCTTGATTATCACAGATGAGTGTCATGGGTTGTTTCTGTTCACAAAGATGAAGCTCATGAATCAACTGCTTTAACCAGATCAACTCACAGGTAGTATTTGCCATTGCACGATACTCAGCTTCTGCACTAGATCGGGAAATAGGTTGTTTCTTGCTTTTCCATGAGATTAAGTTTCCTCCGAAGAAGACACAATAACCAGAAGTAGAGCGTCTGTCCGAGGGTGATCCTGCCCAATCGGCATCTGAGTAACCACAAATTTATGTATTTCCCTGATCCGAATACAACAAACCTTTTCCTGGTGCTCCTTTGATGTATCGGAGGATCCTCACAGCAGCATCCCAATGTGAACCACAAGGGAAATCAAGGAACTGACTGGCCATACTGACAGCGAAAGAAATATCTGGCCTAGTCACAGTAAGATAATTGAGCTTCCCAATTAGCCTCCGATAACGTCCAGGATCAGATAACGGCTCCCCTTGTCCGGGTAATAACTTGACATTAGGATCCATAGGTGTATCAACTGGTTTACTCCCCAACATACCAGTTTCTTCTAGGATATCCAAGGCATATTTCCTTTGACAGATAGAAATGCCCTGTCTTGATTGCGCCACCTCAATTCCCAAGAAGTAACGCAGCTTCCCAAGGTCCTTTGTTTGAAATGTACTAAACAAATGCTGTTTTAACTGACGAATTCCGTCTTGATCACTTCCGGTGAGAATGATGTCGTCAACATAGACTAACAAATAGATACACTTATCAGGAGATGTAATCCTATAAAACACAGAATGGTCAACTTTACTGCGGATTAAGCCAAACGCCTGAACAGCAGAACTGAAGCGACTGAACCATGCTCGAGGAGACTGCTTGAGACCATATAAGGATTTCCGAAGACGACACACCTTTCTAGACTCCCCCTGAGCAACAAAACCAGGTGGTTGCTCCATGTAAACTTCTTCTTGTAAATCACCATGAAGAAAGGCATTTTTGATGTCAAGTTGAAGGAGTGGTCAGTGACGAACAGCAGCAAGGGCAAGAAAGAGGCGGACTGACGCCATCTTAGCGACCGGAGAAAATGTATCGCTATAATCAGGGCCAAAGATTTGAGTAAAACCCTTGGCAACTAAACGTGCCTTGAGACGATCAATATGGCCATCAGGTCCAACTTTCACAGTAAAAACCCAGCGACAACCAACTATAGACTTCTCTGGAGGAGCAGAAACAAGGTCCCAAGTGCCATTGGAATGAAGTGCAGTCATCTCATCAAGCATTGCTTGGCGCCACCCTGGATGGGAAAGTGCTTCACCTGTGGTCTTAGGAATAGAAATAGAAGAAAGACTAGAAATAAAGGTGAAATGAGGTGAAGAAAGACGGTCATAACTCAAAAAAGTATAAAGAGGATAAGGGTTACGAGTAGTACGTGTACCTTTTCTTTGAGCAATGGGAAGAGTCTCTGATGAAGGATCCGGAGGGGAAGAAGCAACAGCAGTGGGCGATGAGTCAGCAAGAGTCGAGTCGACAGGAGGCACAGTTTTGCGACGCTGATAGGTGAGAAGTGGACGGTCCTCAGGTATAGAAGCAATAGGTTGCTCATCTGGAATAGAAGCACCTGCAGCTGGCAAAGACAAGTCAAGAAAAGGGACAGGAAGTACATGATCAACCTGTGACATCTGAGATGGGATAGAATTAAAGGGTTGTTGATCAAGAAAAGTGACATCAGCGGAAACTAAGTAACGCTTAAGGTCGGGAGAATAACAACGATAACCCTTTTGAAGACGAGAATAACCAAGAAAGATACACTGAAAGGCTTTGGATGTTAACTTATCCTTACCAGGAGTGAGATCATGAACAAAACAAGTACAACCAAAGACATGTGGAGTTAGAGGATAAAGAGGAACATCTGGAAGCAATAGATTATGAGGAATGTCATTGTGGAGCACAGATGAAGGCATGCGATTGATGAGAAAACAAGAGATGAGTACAGCATCTGCCCAGAAGTGAAGAGGAACCTGCATATGAATAAGAAGGGTACGGGCAGTTTCAATGAGATGTCTGTTTTTACGTTCAGCCACCCCATTTTGTTGTGGAGTGTGAGGACAAGTAGTTTGATGTAAAGTACCTTGTGTGGCCAAGAAATTAGAAAAATCAATAGAAACATATTCCTTAGCATTATCACTACGTAGAATACGAATAGAAACACCAAATTGAGTATGGATCTCAGTAGAAAACTTTTTATAAATGGAAAATAACTCAGAACGATTTTTCATTAAATAGGTCCAAGTGCAACGGGAAAAATCATCAATAAAGGTAACGAAATACCGAAAACCTAAGACAGGCAAGGTACGACTTGGACCCCAGATATCTGAATGAACAAGAGAGAAAGGGGCATCAGCTCGTTTATTGACTTGACTGGCAAAAGAGGAGCGTATATGCTTCCCTTGTTGACATGACACACAATCTAAAGACTAAAGACCGGACAAAAGAGGAACCATTTTCTGCAACTTTGAAAGACTTGGATGACCAAGGCGACTGTGGATAAGTTGTGGAGATTCTGTGAGAGAGTATGCTACTGAAGGACGAGGCACATCCAGATAATAAAGCCCCCGTGACTCACGACCCACTCCAATCATTTTCCCCGTACCCGGATCCTGCACAGAAACATAATGGTTAGAGAAAGTAATGGTGCAAGTGAGGGAGTGGATCAACTTACTAATAGAAATTAAGTTATAAGGGATGCCAGGAATGTAATAGACAGATGTCAGGGCCAAGGTAGAGGTCGGACGAGCTTGTCCAATCCCACGAACTGGGGCTTTGGTTCCATCCGCAAGGGTAAAAGACGGTAAATGATCAGAATAAGTAAGAGATGTAAAGAGTCCCTTATTACCACATAGATGATCGGTAGCACCGGAGTCAAATATCCAAGTGCCAAGTGATGTAGAATGAGAAACACAAGCAACGGGATTACCAGTATAAGGCTGAGACTGAGGAGAAGCCTTCCTGATAGGGGTTTGGAGTGCAGCACAGTCCGAACCTGAACCAAATGATGCTTTGTCTGACTGAGCTATATTTGCAACAATAGAAGGAGAGTTAACCTCCGAGAGATCAGGAGATGCTGCTGCCATTTAAAGATAAAATATAAAAGCCGTAAACGAAGGCAAACGATATCCAATCAAGAAGAACCACGCGTCTAAGGTCAGACCCACAGAGAAACAATCACAGATCCAGAAAGGGGAGGAGAAGGCGAGCTTCTCTGTCCAAGACCGGCCGGAAAAAGCCGCCGGAATAGTGCTCACGCGCCGGCAGAAGGTGGCGCGTGAAGCCCACGCGCAGTGAAGACAGGTGGCGCGTGACGGCGCGTGGGAGATGCGTTGCTGACCGGACCACCACAGACCTGGTCGCCGGGAAGAGAGGGTCCTGATCGCGTGAAGTTTGGTCGGAAAAGTCGCCGGAAAAAGTCTCCGGTTGCCTGAACAGTGATTCTGACGGCGGGCGGTGGTTCCGGTGGCCGTCGGAGGTGCTGACGCGTTTGGAAAAATCACTCAGAGGCTGTTTACAGCCCTAGAAGGCTTGCCGGAAGGACGCACGGCAAGAAAGAGGACTCCTAAGCAGTGGGCTTAGGTTTTTAAAGCAAAAAACAAGGTTTCTGAGCGGAAGCGAGGGTTCCTAGAACGAAAGAGCTCTGATACCAAGTTAAATGTAAAAGAATACGTTGTGTATTGATCTGTGTCAGGGAGTTACAATATATAGAGACCCTAATGGGCTTAAGTGTAAGGCCCAAACCTAATCCAAACCTAATCCTAATACAGTCAGAATACAGTCAGACTATTTACGGATAAGACAGAATCCAATCATATCTAATCAAATCTAATCATATCATATATAATATTCTAACAATAATCATCAGATCAAATGACATTACTGTTTTGGGGGACAGAATTGAACAAAGCGGGAGATGAGCTATCATTTCCTGATAAGCACATTCATCCTTATCGGTCAACTGAACAATCCCATCAAGTACAAGCACTTTCCCATATGCTGATGACTGCAAAAACAAAAAGATTCGAATTAATCAATTATAGGAGGAATCTCTAGAACCATTTAAGAGGAAGATGCCAAACCTCAAAAACCAAGACCTCTTGGAACTCAGATTTTTCTTTGTACAAGATTTTTTCTACTTTGATCGAATGCGCTTCTCCTAATGATAGAGGTCAAATCCATCAGCAGTAACAATACACAAAAAATGCAGACTCAGCAATTAACAGTGTTTATAAATGATTGTAAAACGGGGATGGTGGATGAGCATGATTTGATGTTGAGTCAAGAAGGAAGAAAAATGAAAAAATCACTCCTCAAATCCCGACTAAGAGAATAGGGACGAAGACAATCCTTGTACACAACCAAGACTTTTTAGTAGCAAAGAAACAACTTAAGCAAAAGAAAATTATTATTATTTTCATGATATTACTTGTTAGAGAAAGGGGTGTTTCTCTAAAAGGTTTAATAAAAACATCAAACATTAAGGTCAGCCTCCTTAGCCAAAAGTAATTTCCAACTATTCAATCTCATACTTGGATTTCATATTCCCATTCAACCTTCTCTACAAAGGCTCAATGGTCACTTTAGAAAAGATTTGTAAATTTGGTTATCAAACATCAGAAAAAAAAAAAAAAAAAAACTTCTCTCCTCAAGTACCCTAGGAATAGCAAATAAACAAGATCAAGTATTATACAGATGGACGAGTAAACCCCACCTGGCCACATTGGATTGTTGAAAAAAAGACCTTTCCCTGTAATAGAGAATACAAAGAGAAACAGAGCAATGAGTAACAGAATTTTGTGGAGGGGTTACCAAGAATTCAGAAATTAAATAGCAGATTATGACCATGACATTCTGAGAACCATCCAGATACAACAGTGGAATGGCACTTTGCCTCATCCTCAGGAGCTGAAGCATTGGCTTTCAAACAACAAGAAGGAATTTCCTTCTCTACACTATTCCCATTACTTTCCTTCCCAACCTTAGTCTTCTGGCATTCCAAATCTCTTCCTTTACCACCCTTCATGAATTATCTTTCCTCTGTATAGTGATGAATATAACTAACTATCAAAAACAATTTAGCAATGATAATCAGATATTCAGAACACCTAGACCAAAACCTAAATTCAGAAGATATATATCCTAGCAGTTACAAATCACATATACGTTAAAAATCTTTCACATTTGTACTAAAAAAAAAAAACAATCTTTCACATTTAAATTACAAGCAACAGAATCTCCATTTATATGTATCCAAAAAAAAAAAAAGAATCTCCATTTATAAGCAAATCCCGTATTTCAATATTTAAAGCTGAAAAAGATTGACTTTCTTTTTATTTTATTTATTTGATTGTATAAATAAGGTTTTGACTTAATTAGAAAGTAAACTGGGCAAGTATATTGCTTTATAAAATAACGGATTAAGTGATTAAGTAAACAAGTCAAATAATTACAAACATAAAAATACAAAAAATATACATAATATATGCAGAATGAAATTAGATCATTATCCGGCTTGATATCTGTTTCAAAAGACAATAATTGATGCATTAATATCGCAAATTTGGAATTAAAAAATGGATGGATTAAATTAACAAGCAAAATAAGGCGAAAATGAAGAAATATTGTGTGGTCCCAGATTATGAAAAAAAGGGAGAAAAAAAACTCAAAAATAGAGAGAGAGATTTGATTCTTCCTTTTCCAAGATTTTCCTTTTGTTGGTAAGAAATCAAAATTATGACGGTAATTGTCAGAATCAACCTGTGGAAAGTTCAGCATAAACTACGACGAGGTCGTGCTGACCAAGATACTAGTCCTTTCTCCCAACGACAACAATGCCATTCAAACTTAACCAAAATAGCTCCCAAAAAAAAAGCAGTGGTGTCATACATATAAATGAGAAAAACTTCGATTAATCAAAATAATAATAATAAAGTTAAAAAAAGAAATGAAAAAAGACTACTATCAACGAAAAGTCTCTCTCTTTTTTTTGGATAACTAAAAGTCTCTCTTTATACATGACCTTCAACTTCCTAACCACTAACTGTAAAACGCTTGGATTTAAACCCAAAAAAAGAAAAGAAAAGAAAAGAAAACCAAGAAAACTGAAGGGAAATGGAAGGGTAAAAAACGAGGACAGTGAAAGAGTGTTGTCATACATGCACACGTGATTGATGATAGTAATAGAGAATGAGGTGCAGTTGTGTTGCTTGCCTGACACTAATGGCAGTGAGAGTGTAGTTTTTTTGTTGACTGTGTAGTGTCCAAGTGAGGTAGGAAGATGGAAGGTGGTGGGGCTCTCTATTTACTAGCCATCTCTGGCGATGAATCAACAGTTCGAAATGCTTTTCTTACGTATTCTTGATAAACCAGATCCTATCCACATTTTCTCTCACCATTTCTGCTAGATTAATGCTTTGAATGGAAATGACACCTCTAATGGTGAGTGGTGACCCTTATTATATATTTTTGCGTAAATACTCCTTTTAGTCCATGACAATATCCACGAAGTCCTTTTCAGTTCCTAACAATAAAAAAGGGACAAACTGGTCCCTGAAATAACGAAAAAGAGGCCATGTTCATCCTTCCGTTAACTCCCACCTTGTTGTAAATAGTAATTATGTAGTCATTTATTAGTAATTATGTAGTCATTTATTTGTATTTATTTAGTCTGTTACTTGTATATTGGGCCAAGCCCATTAGGTCAAAATTAGGTCAAGAAGTCTCTATAAATAGATACCTCTATGTACAGATTCAATTACGATTCAATAATATTTCAAATACCCTTTTATTTCAAGTTGGTATCAGAGCTCTCGATCCTGAGGGCTCTGCTTCCGTGCCTATTGTCTTTAGAACAAGAACCTTTTATTCTTTTTGTCTCTCGCTGCCATCAGCCACCACCGGATTTTTTTTTCCGGGGACCTCTTGGACCGAGAAGATCTCTGTTATACTGGATCTCTGTTACTGTTCATCGTCTCCATTATTCTTCAGCATAATCAGCATCTGTGTAGACTTCTAAAGATAGATTGTCATCACGTCGGAATAACAACCCTTTACTAGGAGTACCTTTCAGATACTGAAGAATTCTCTCTACTGCCTGCATATGTTTCTCCTTTGGATCGTGCATAAACTGACTGACAACACTAACAGCATAAGCTAAGTCTGGTCTAGTATGGGCCAAATATATCAATTTCCCAACTAGCCGTTGATATTGTCCTCTATCAACTGGAGGACTCTCCTCTTCATAGCACATCTTGTGATTCTGCTCAATAGGAGTATTAGAGGGTTTACACCCGAGTGGTATCAGAGCAGTAGGGTGCAGATAGGTTTATGCCCTGAAATATAATTCTGATGGCACTCTTGAGAGATATAAGGCTCGATTAGTGGCCAAAGGTTACACTCAAACCTATGGCATTGATTATGAAGAAACCTTTGCTCCAGTTGCAAAGATGAATACAGTGAGAATCTTGTTATCCCTTGCTGCCCATTACAATTGGGATATAAATCAATTTGATGTGAAAAATGCTTTCCTCAATGGTGAGTTAGAAGAAGAAGTTTACATAGTATCAGAGCCTCGCTGCCCCCCTCTTTAAAGTGGAAGCACAAAAAGGTAAACCAAAGATTGGGCCTGTTGCATAATCCACGCTTCAAGCCAAGATGGCTCTTGCGTGAGGGGACGTGTTGAGATATATAGTCTCACATTGGTTGTATGTGCAACTAATGTGGAGTTTATAAAGCCTTAGGCACTCCCACCCTTTGAGCTAGCTTTTGGGGTGGTGTATCCCAAGGTTCTTTACATAACGGCCCAACTAACGGTGCACAGTTGGCACGTTAGTTTGCTGACGTGGCGTGGATGTGGGACACCGTGGAAGACGAGACGACGACGTTTTGGTCCCTGTCAAAACCACGAGGGCCATTTTGGTCCCTGTCAAAATGCACGAGGACGTTTTAAGTCTCTGACAAAAAGTACGGGGCCCTTATTGGTCCCTAACCAGAGAAAAATAAGCACATGACTTCATTGCTTTTCTATGCAGTCCAATTTTGCAAAACAGAAGTGCATTACATCAGAAACAGGAGTGCAATCCAATTTTGCAAAACAGGAACATGACATTAAATTGGATTTGTATGCAATCCAATTTGTTAAACCAGAAGACATGGATGTACAAGAACTACAACTACGTATATTAGTTAAAAAACATCAAAAATGGTAAACTTAAACGTTCATCAACCCTGTGAAACATAATGGCTGGAACATGATTTGAGTATCATTATATTTGAAGACATGGATGTACAGTAGTGTATTACAAAATAAAGCCAATTGCCAGAAATTAAAAGAAAGACCTCTAATACAATATGGCCAGTATTTACAAAAAAAACATTGACATAATAAGGCCTCCAAATACATAATGGCCAGAATTTTCAAAAAAAAGTCAGTCACATAATAATAAACCTTTCTCAGTTGGCTTATGCACTACTTCCAGGTCATATACAGCAGCAGGTCATTTTCTTGAGGCAGGCCTTGGTGGCCTAAAACCAGGTGTGCTCATGAAGGCCAATAATCTGCTTCGTGTGCCACTGGTTGCTGCATTCATTGTTTCATTACTCAACAACTTATTTTCCTGTTGTGGATTTGATGGAGGTGGCTGCTTCCTCTCAAGTTGCCTTCATGTGGCTGCGAACTACCAACTGCTGCAGTCCAGTCAACTGCCATGCATTGCAATTATCAACAATCATTTACCTGGCTTTTTCTCTGATTTTTCTCTGTATTTAAATATCAACAATCATGCAATTATCTTTTATAAAAAAATAAATAGTATAATTGTAATGCTACACTACTGAAGATATTGTTCGTAAATCGCATAACGTTATGTCTTATACAAACTAAGAGAATTAAAACAGTTCATAGTATTCTAGGGATCGTAAAAGCTATTTGCAAGAGCCAAGAATCCCTTTTAACAAAGTGGGAAGCTTAATTAGCATTGAAAAAGAAATGAATAATCGTTAATAAGGTCGAAACTTCAGTTAGAAACCTAAACTTCATTGAAATAAAATGCCAAGAAGGAGTATTTTACTTTGTGATGAAATTTAGTTTAATTACTTTGTGATGAACAAATGGATTGCACTCCTGTTTCTGATGTAATGCACTTCTGTTTTGCAAAATTGGACTGCATAGAAAAGCAATGAAGTCATGTGCCTATTTTTCTCTGGTTAGGGACCAATAAGGGACCCGTGCTTTTTGTCAGGGACTAAAAACGTCCTCGTTCATTTTGACAGGGACCAAAATGTCGTCATCTCGTCTTCCATGGTGTCCCACATCCAAGCCACGTCAGCAAACTAACGTGCCAACTGTGCACCGTTAGTTGCCGTTAGGTGGGGGTTAACGGAAGGATGAACGTGGCCTCTTTTTTGTTATTTCAGGGACCAATTTGTCCCTTTTTTTATTTATAGGGACTGAAAAGGACTTCGTGGATATTGCCAGGGACTAAAACGGGTATTTACTCTATATTTTTCATATGGGCATCTAGGCTTTGAAATCTCATACATTAATTTCTTGGGGAAGGAAATTTTTTTAATTTTTTTTATAAATTTTTATAAATTATACTATCTTCTTTCTCACGTGTTCTCCCGCGAGAGAGAAGATAGTGTAGTTTGTAAGAGTATATAAACAAAAAAGTTTGTAAATATAATTTGCCCCTATATATATATATGTATATATATATATATGGGGTAAATAATTCTACAGTCATTTTAGATAAGGTTATCTACAGCTACCCAAAAACTACATCGTTTTGATTAATGATGGGTGTTTATGTAATTTTAGGTGCATTAATGAAGGGTGTTTCAGTAAAATGTATATGATAAAAAAATAAACAAAATTATAGAAACACCCTTCATTAATTCACCTAAAATTACATAAACACCCTTCATTAATCAAAACGATGTAGTTTTTGGGTAGCGATAACCTTATATAAGGTAGCTGTAGAAATATTTATATATATATATGGAGAAAATATTTCTGCAGCCACTTTAGATAAGTTGCCTACAACTACCCTTCTTTAACTAAGTACGACCGATCGTTTATTAAAAGTACATCTTCTCTCTCTGCCACATTAGCCGACAGTGTCTGAGGAGAGAGAAAAAAAGACCAACTTTATTGTTATAACTAAGTACGACCGGTCGTACTTAGTTAAAAAAGGTAGCTGTAGATAACTTTATCTAAAGTGGTTGTATAAATACTTTTCCCATATATATATTGCTTACCAAAAAAAATATTATTAAAAAAGGGAGGTGATGTTATAGTGATGACAATGACGATGATAATGATGCGGTTGATTAGGGTTGGAGTTATGGCAAATTTAAATTTAAAAAAAATTAGAGTTTTTACTTATGTTCTTTTAAAGCAAAAAAATAAAAATAAATCTGATTTGAACTTTTTTTTCTTCTTAAAAGTTGATATCCAATTTATTGTGAGAATTTTTTTTTCTTGAATAAAAATCAACTTAGTGAAAAAAGAAGAAGAAACCATCGATACATTTTTAAGTGCCCGTTTGTTTGCACTTTTAAAAAATGTAACTTTTATTTCTTTCTTATTTTAGAAGTCTTTTTTACAAAAGTTAAAGTTATTTATATTTTTATAAAAATATTTAGATTTTGAAAAAAAAATTTGACTTTTGACTTCTGCTTTTTTTAGAAGTTAAAATTTTTAGCTTCAGAAAAAAGTAAGTTTTTGACTTTTTTTGTGACTTCTGCTTTTTTTAAAAGCAGACATCCATACGAACTAAAAATGAAAAGTGCTTTTTTTCAACAAAAAAAAGCAACTTCTGGAGAAAAAAAAGCTCATCCAAACAGGCCCTAAGTCAAGTCATAGTTTACGGACGAATGTGTAACGATAGCTGCTAGCATTCAACAATGCGAATCATCAGTATATTTTCATTCGGAATGGTTATATTAATGGGAAAAATATTTCTGCAGTTACTGCAGATAAGTTATCTGCATTTATTCTCAAAATGACGTCGTTTTGGTATTGAAATCTTAAAAAATTATATATATAAAGACTATTTATAACTCTGAAATAAATTAAAATTACAAAAACATTATGATTTATCCCCAAAAACGACGTCGTATTAGGCTTACTGCAGATAACTTATCTGCAGTAACTGCAGAAAAAGCGAACCCTATATTAATATATAGATTTCTATTTTTCAAGACTTTATAATTAATTTTTTTATATAGTTTCAAAAAAAAAGTAACTAGATTTCTGAACCTAACATACGGTTAAATTTCTAATTACAAGTTAGATTTAGGGACTTAATTTGAAGTTCTAAAATTATAGAATTTATTTAATAGGATATTTAAGTCTGTTAAAATTAAGGGAAAAATATTTTTTCAGTCACCGGAAATAAAGTTATCTCCCGTGAGTTCAAATTTCAAAACGACGTCGTTTTGGGTTATAAGATAAAAAAATTATAAAGATAAGGACTAATATAACCCTGCAATATATTAGAATTAAAAAAATATTTTGATTTTTACCCTAAAATAACGTCATTTTAGATTCACTGGATATAAATTATTTTTATTGAGTGAAGAAATAATTTACTCGGATTTATAGTAAGATTTAAAACACCAAAATTATGGGCTTCAGGCCCACCAGATTCTAAACCTATGTCCACCCATCATATCCTATACAGTAACTTGCCACACTAGTCAATTAGGTGCAAGCTTAATTAATAAATTGATAAGTGCCCGCTTGATTGTCGTTGGAACTGGGAAGGTTAAAATAAAAAGAAAATCGAAAGACTCATTACTCTATTATTCCCGCAATTTTCATCCACACTCACTCTGTTTAATGTTTGAAGCTGTCACGCATTTTGGTAACCATTTATCCTATTCTTTTCTTTGGTATCTTTCTTCAAATATTGATCATATTAATTCTTGAGCACCGTATACTAATTCTTAGAGAGAGAAAAAACTATTATAACTTATATTTATAACTTTAGAAATTAGGTGAGATCTCCCTCATTATTTTATTTCAACTTGTTAAAGGGATAGGAAATGTACCCCTTGCAGAGTAAAATATTTCAATGTAACAATGACAAATTAAGTGGGATAATAATATGATTTATAGTTCAGCGGAGGTTATTATGAAGGTCTCAGATAAGCAGAGAATTAAGAGAGAGGTGTAAGAGCACGATTATGACTAGTGAGGAGAGATTTCAACGGAGTTAGTAACAACCATGTGACTAATGGTAAAGAAAATGGTTGCTCAATGAAGGAGTGTTGATATACATAGCATGAGAAGGGATTTCTTAGTAATCATTTTCATTCCTATGGATTCCATTGACGTGTAAGATGCGTGATTTCTCACGTGCAAGAGTCACACCTGCATGGCAGTAAGGGGGAAATCAAGGGTAAATTAAGGAACACTTTGTCCTTTGAGTTGAACATGTGGGACAATCAATGAGGAAGCTCAAGCAAGCCCAACTAAACAGTCAAGAACAGTATCCTCTGTCAAATTAAAGTTCTCAAAGATAAATTAGGGTAAAGTTTATTTATCACTTCCTCAATATTTTTTTTTATAAACAAAGGGCGCAAGGTTGAAAAAATAAAAAAACTAATTACTAAGTAACTGGGAGGAATTCCAACCTTTGTTATATTATAAATCACAAGTATATATATTCAGCTCTAGTAAACATGTTTGAATAAATTATATTTTGAAAGGTAAGTCCAATGCATACATATCAAAATTCAGGATAACTTTACCGACACACATGCTTCTCAACTTCTCTTGACTTATTATTTGGCTTTTAACTGTTACGTTATTATGAATTTTGGTTTACATAGACTCTAGATTCAGCGTCATGTCTATTTAATGTAGATTTATGAATCTGTATCAAGAATTTCAGTCCATTATAAAAAAAAGCTTATGTTTAACATTTTTAAAAAATGCTAAAAGTCTGAATTTTATTGTATTATTAAACAAGGTACAGTAACTTCTAAAGTTTTTTTTTTTTTTTTTTCGTTTATTTGATCCACAATTATTATTTAATAATTTTGTTTACCTTCTGCTACGTGATTGCTTCTAAAATAATAAAAGGATCTATAAAGTAAGTATGAGGATCCATACCTTGCTTCCTATAACAATAAAAGGATCTAAGCAATTAAGCATAAATAAGGGGGGCCACAACCAAGTAAAATGCAGGTTTCCAAAATTTGCACTCAACTCAGTGTTTGTTGCTATTAACCTACCAATGGCCACTTCCACACTTTTCTCCCTCTCATCATGCACTCCCCAAAGCAAATTGTTGTCCAATCAGAAGTCACACACGCTATCCCCAACCATGTCATTGTTGTCACCCCAAGTGGGACAAAAACACCTCAACAACCCTCTAACATACAATGTTTCTCCAATTCGCATGAATCCTAAGAGAATTCATATTGGTGGTTTAGTGAAGGCATCAATGAATAACAAGAACGTGGATGTGTTCACCAAGGAGCATCTTGCTGTGTCTTTGGCCAAATATGTTGCTGACCTCTCCAATAAATTCATCAAAGAGAGAGGGTGTTTCACTGTTGTTCTGTCTGGTGGGTCTGTCAAGTACCTCAGGTAGAATTTCCTTTTTTTCCAATCACCTTACTCTTGCATGAGGGTTGAGTTAATAATTGATTGGAAACAGATCACTTTTTCCTTATTAATTGCCAAACAATATGGGGGTAATTATAGATAATAATAATAAAGTATAAGTATGAGGATTTTTAATGTTTGTTATTTTGGAAAGTATGGCAATAAATTATTGATGCTACAATTTCAGGAAGCTGGTGGAACCTCCATATTATAACTCTATCGATTGGTCTAAATGGCATATATTTTGGGTGGATGAGAGAGTTGTGCCTAAGACTCACGTAGATAGCAACTACAAGCTTGCTTATGATGGATTTATCTCCAGGGTATGTTTATTTAATTATGATTTAATTAAACTGACTACAACAATGTCACATTTGGGATATTATTTATTTTTCCAAACTTGAATTTATTTATTGAAACTTGCTTTAATTGTTCTCTTTGGTAGGTTCCAATTCCTCCTCTCAATGTCAACACTATTGATGATGCATTACCAGCTGATGGAGCAGCTGATGTTTATGAAACAACACTCAGACGCTTGGTTGCAAGCAATGTGATAGCTAAATCATCAGTCACTGGATTACCAAAATTTGATCTTGTGATGTTGGATATGGGCCCTGATGGCCATGTAGCTTCTCTGTTCCCAGGGCATTCTGCAGTGAAAGAGACTAAAAAGTGGGTTACCTACCTCAAGAATGCACCCAAACCACCACCTGAGAGGATTACATTTACCATGCCAGTGATTAATTCTTCTTCAAACATAGCAATGGTTGTCACTGGTGCTGGTAAAGCAGATGCAGTCTACTCTGCATTGGAGAAAGCTCCTGGTGATGATAAGCTCCCTATTCAATTGGTTTCTCCTGAAGGAGAGTTGAAATGGTTCTTAGACAAGGGTGCTGCTTCAAGGTTGTATACATAGAAATCCAAGTAATTTGGTGAAAATTTTATATATTCTAACTGTTGCAAAGAAAATAAGGCAAAGATGGGACTGCTAGCCATGATTCAAAAGTAATGTAATTTCTATATGAAGTTGTATACTGTCTGGTTCACAAGACACTACTAAGAAGTATAGAATAATGGGCATTTCTTTTTTTCTCTTTGATTGTAAATGGATACTATTTAAGTATCCTAAAAGATATATATCTTTTTGGGTGCAAAAAAAATATGTTTGAATACAATAATCATATTTACTTAACATTCTTTATGTTGGATTATTTAATGTTTTGTTTTTATTAATTTTTACGTGACATTTTCAACAGAAAGATGGACAACAAAAACATAACTAAACTCAATGAAGACTTACGAAGAGATTTAATCAAGTCACCTATAAAAATGACACATGCCCCAAGATTGAATAGTAACATTATAAATGGTATTTTTCCCATATATTTAGCAAATGTGAAATTAAAATGATTGAGCCCAACAACATTTAGCTCATGGAAAGAGGATTAATCAAACATTATAAACGACACTTTTCCCATATATTTAGTAAATTTGGAAATCTTAACATGGGAAACTATAAGACCTATGATAACTGGCAAGGGGTTAACATGAATTAAACAACTCATATCAGGATCACAAGATGATAGTCAACAAAACAAACAGTTCATAGAAGAGAAAGTGAGAGAGATTAAATAGGAGGAATTCATAACATTCAAGAACTATGAAAATATCAAAATGTACCGTTGAATTTAAAGTTTCTATGATATAGTTCATGTTTATAGAATATCATATTGATCCAAATTATTTATCAGAATCACATTGTTGTTTAATTTGATCATATTCCTTTTGATCATATGATCCAAAATATCATATTTGTCCAATATATATATTCTTATATAAATAAAGGGTTTGCTTTTTATGCAGTTACTGCAGATAAGTTATCTGCAGTAAGCCCAATACGACGTCGTTTTGGGACGGAAATCATGGTGTATTTGTAATTTTAATTTATTTCAGGGTTATAATAGTCTTTATATTTATAATTTTTTAAGATTTCAATATCAAAACGACGTCGTTTTGGGAATAAATGCAGATAACTTATCTGCATTAACTGCAGAAACATTTTTCTCATAAATAAAAGAAAAAAATATTTGTCATTTTAAATGACACAACTTTATGTTATTTTTAAAGAAACTACGTCGTTTTAGTGTGTTTTTACATTCTCTCTCCCCTGTTTTCTTTTTCTTCCTAATTAAAAAAATATAAAAAATACCAAAAACAAAGCAAAACGATGTATTTTTATTAAAAATGATACAAAATTATGTCATTTAAAATGGTAAATACTTTTTCCTATGTGAAAATAAGAATCATTTGATCATATTCCTATTGTTGTTTAGTTTTTACGAGGTTCTAAACAAATAATCAAGCTAATAGATACTTACAAAAATCACATTTTATATAAAATTATTAAATGGTATAAGAATATCATGTCTTATATACCTATACACATTATTCTCCTCTCTCTCTCTATATATATATATATATATAATCAATTTTGAGTAATATTTTTACAAATATTAAAGCTATACATAACTTTTTTACTAGTATCATGATAGAAACTAAGAAAAATTAATGTTTTTTTTTTTAAGATGAAAATAGTAGCATATTTACATGTTCAAACCCCTTATATTTAGACAAAGGAACAAGAAGGAAAAAGTAAAATAATTATTCGGTAAAAACTGTAGATATAAAATAAATGCACATGTAAGTGTGTGGAACTGTGGATAACATTATTTAGAATCAAAAGCAGTAATGTGTTTATCACTAGTGTTTGATTCGTGCCTTGTACTGACAAAAGGATCCATAGCATTTGCTTTGCTTCTATTAACATAAGAAGAATCGAATGTGAAGCGTAAATACCAAAAAGATCAAAGCAAACTGTATATATAAACGTGAGTAACAATATTCAAAAACTAAAGCAGTAATCTGTTTATCACGTGTACTTGAATATTCTTGCCGTGTGCTAACAAAAGTATACATACGATTTGCTTTACTTCAAACACCGGTAAAAGAATCTAATATCAACCATAAATATTGTAAGCCCGAACAACAAAATGAAACACAGGTTTTGTTGCATGATCAAATCTCAAGACACCATAGATGGCATTCTCAACAGGTTTCTCTACTTCATACACTCTCCAAAGTAGCTTATTGTGTGCACAAAAATCAAATCCACTATCCCTAAAGGCCTCCTTATTCCCACACCAAGTTGGGAAGAAACTCGTCTACCAACCTCTAAGGTATAAAGGGTTTTCTCCCAAAAGAAGTGTTGGGGAAGTGAAGGCATCAATTAAGTGGGAGAAGGGCTATAAGAGCGTTGAGGTGTTCACTAAGGAGCATCTTGCTGTGTCATTGGCTTATGATGTTGCTCAACTCTCTAACAAATTCACCAGAGAGAGAGGCGCTTTCACTGTCGTTTTGTCTGGTGGGTCACTCGTCAAGTACCTCAGGTCAGTATTATCAATTGCATTGTAAACAAGACTATCTAATTTGTACACTAAAAATAAAATAAATAAAGTCATTGAAAAACTTTCCTTAGTTATGAAAAATGGAGTACGAGAACACATAAGGGCAATGAGGCAGGGATGGTGATTTGGTTAAAATGCCAACATCTTTTATACTCGATGTCATTTTACAAAAAAATAAATAAATAAATTAACCACAAATTTCACATGGCATAAACTAGACATGACAATGTTGAAATAATTTGATATGTGATTTTTTTTTGAATAATTTAATAATGTTAGATATACAACTAATATTACCGACATGAAAACGACTTTGCCACCTTATTTTGTAGTCTGTAGTATATATAAGCGAATCTTTATCATTTTTTTATGCTTGGATTTCAGGAAATTGGTTGAACCACCCTATGTTGATTCCATAGAGTGGTCAAAGTGGCATGTATTTTGGGTGGATGAGAGAGTCGTGCCAAAGGATCACTTAGAAAGTAATTACAAGCTTGCCTATGATGGATTTCTCTCCAAGGTAAGTTGACTTTCATGTGCCATAGATTATTTAGCTTGAAGAAGAATAATGAGAATGGTATTAAGCCTTTACTATTTTTATTTTGATGCTCAAATCTTTTTCGTTGTATTATAATTTTCTGGAGAGTGGATCATCTCAGGTGAAAAAGTTGTCATGTGGTCATGTTATTTGATCACAACTACTCATTTAAAAATTATACACTTTTCTCTTTATTTTATCTCATTATCAATGAGTGGTTGTGATCAAATAACATGACTACATGACCATTTTTTCACATGAAATGATCCATTCCCAATTTTCCGGTACACTACTTTTAGTATAATTGGTGTTACCCTAAGAAATTAAGATTCCAACGTGACACTTTTGGTTATGTAATAATCAATTTTTTTTTTCCCATTGTACTTTTGGAAGGTGCCAATACCTGCTGTGAATGTTAATGCCATAGATGATGCCTTACCAGCTGATGGAGCAGCTGATGTTTATGAAACAACTCTAAGAAGGTTGGTTAAGAGTGATGTGATAGCAACATCAGCTAGTGGGTTTCCAAAATTTGATCTCATGTTGTTGGGTATGGGTCCAGATGGGCATGTGGCTTCTTTATTCCCAGGGCATCCTATTCTGAAGGAGGATCAGAAATGGGTTACCTTCATCAATGACTCACCAAAACCACCATCAGATAGAATCACTTTTACCTTTCCAGTTATCAATTCATCTTCAAACATAGCAATGGTAGTGACTGGCGCAGGTAAAGCAAACTCAGTTTATCATGCACTAGAGGATGATCAGAAAACTGATAAGTTGCCTGTTGAATTGGTTTCACCTGAAGGGGAGTTGAAATGGTACTTAGACAAAGGTGCTGCTTCAAAGCTGTTTAAGGAGTAGATGCATGTGATATCCGAGTGATATATATAACATTATTTATATATAAAGCTGCATTTTGAACCAATGTGGTTGTTTTCTTTATTTATTTTTTTAAAAGTAAATATAGATGTTCTATATCTTTAAAAAAATTAATGAATGCATTTTGAACAAATCTTATAATCATTCTATTATTGGCCAACTCCTCTCATTAAGGGAATTGCAGTGGCTTAAGCGAAAATTTGATATCTCATATGCATGACCCAGGAGAGTGAAGACATGTCATTAGTCTAACACGTATCATATCAGTCTTAATGATCAAGTCATGCACTTAATATCGTATAACTTAATTTATAATTTTTAAGACTAAAGTCTTAAAAAAAACATCAAAATAAATAAAATACCTTGTGACTCCAAAGTCGCTGGCTGTCTCTAGCTGTAGGCACCGGACAACCCATGTGACTATGTGAGCGAATTCAAAAAGCATAAATACCACGCGAATTTCTGCTTCCAAAAGCAAGCCGCTTCTAGAACCTAGATCGTTCGTTCTTTCAACTCAACGACAAACCTTTTGATACACAATGAATAAGTTTTTTTTTTTTTTTTTTTTAAATGTGAATAAGTTATTTCTAGTTAAATAGTTAATCATATAAAAAGATGGGTTTGTTTTTTTTCATAGAATTAATATAAATAAATTATATACATTGAATTTAAATGATTTCGTTTTAAGACCGAAATCAAAATATTTTTATAATAATAATTTATTTCAAGATTATAACAATCTTTTTTATTATAATTTTTTAATCTTTCAATCCACATCGTTTGAAAATAAATATAAATAACTTATCTATATTTACTATAAAAGCCTAAAAAGATAATACTAAAGACACAATTTTTTTAACATTAAAATGAGATAAGTTATTCTACCTATCATTTAGAGTGATAGACAAAGGTAGGCAGAAAAAGTAATAGGTAGAATAACTTATCCCCATTAAAATATATGGACAAAGCTCTTTTTGGTGAATAAGTATGTTGATAAAAACGTCATAACTCGGAACATTTTTAAAGGTGAATCTAATGATATAAACACATGCTATAAAATTATTATAACAATAGCTACTAGCTTCTCTTTGTAGCAGCAAAAGAAAAAAGAAAATAAAATTGCATAGCAGTATATATGAATTAGAATGCTCAAAACAAGACTTCGTGCCTTCCATGAGAGATAAAAAGCTACATTGTTAGTTTTACAGAAGATGGTTTCAAATCTCAATTTTTTGACTCAACAACTCCCGTATCAATTATTATATGATACATAATCTCTCATGGTATTAAGCGAGCACCACCTCAACGGAATAAAAGAAATCAGAAAAAATTAGTAGTAAATGAAAAAATAAAATACATGCCTCTGCTGCTCTGCAAACATAGAAGAAGAATAAGGCTTCAACTAGATGTTGTTGTTCCTCTTAGCTCGACTACAATGACACTGGTGTTATCTCTGCTTCCCTTTGCCAATGCTATCTCTGCCAAGAGGGCTGCAGCCTCCGCAGCACGGGTTTGATTCCCAACCCCGTGGCAAACTCTCCTAATCTGGCCGTTGAGGCATTTCCTTACAACCTGGCACGCAGCTTCACTTGATATTACATCCCACAAACCATCACTTGCTAGGATAAGAAATTCATCCTTGCTGGTTCGCTTGGTCACTGTGACTTCTGGTTTCGATATTACATACGGTCGAAGGTAGTGATCTCCTGCATCAAATTAATTACACAGTCAGAATAGATAGTAAATGGTGCAGTACTGTTATGATTTTATGAAATTTAAGTATAGCTAGAAGAAACCATGGTAAAAACAGATTATTTATCTTCTAGCACAAAAACCAGGCATACAGGTTGCTGAATAACGCATCTTTGGGAAATGGGAATTCATTTGAAACAATATTCAAATACAGTCAAGTCTTTCTAAATATGATGATTTCTGTTTGTCCTTTCTAGATCTGTTTCGCAAAACCACATGCAAAATCAGTTTTTACGTTTCATTAAGAATAAATAAATCATTGATTTAAGTTTTATATTCAAGTTGGACTGTTTAAGCATGTGAGGATTAGAGTGCTCCATGCAACTTAATATATCAGGATTCTTATATTTAGAGATCAACCTTATCCATAAGGTAATATTCTTTCCATTCAACAGTGGAGAGTTCCGCGTGCTTGACCATAACCACACACGAGAAGCAATTGTAAGGGTGTAGATTAAGCATGTGAAGATTGGGGCCAATTATCCAGAATATTTAAATTATTACCTTATGGTCCTATCTTCAAGACTTACCGACAAATTTTAAATTAAAAAGCACTTCTCAGATATGCACAAGTTCATACCAACAACTGAGCCAAACTCGTTATTGGAGGATCTAACAGCGTGTCATGTTGATTAATTAAATCATTAATATATCCTCACCCAACACCTTAAATTTTTTAGTTGAATTAATTATATACATAATTTCAGAACCTTGGTATTACGGATTCAATCTTCACTACCTACATTCTATTCATAAAAATAATTAAATATTGTGAAGCTCCTTAGCACAGGTAGATTAGGCTGATACATCATTCACTCTTTTAAGTCCAATAAATTTTTGTGTGATAGGACATGTTAAAATATATAAAACTATTAATGTAGCATCGTCTAATATAACTTAAACTTTTGGGTTAAATTGATTCTTTACGCAGTAGTTGTAAAATATCAAATGTTAAAGTGAGAGGTGCCCACAATAATAATACTCATGTTTTGTCAAAGTTCCTCTGCTACTCTAAAATGACAGAGGGTATCGAGATTATTCTGCTTTTTCAGGGCTGAGCAGAGAAAAACAGTCTGTTAATCGCCAAAACGGGAGCACATGCATATTACAAAGCAGCAATGTCATTTAAAAGGGCTTAATTAACAAATGCTGTGATCAATTAAGATTAGCAACCTGCATATTTCTGAAGATTTGAAAGTTCAAACTAACCTATAGAACGCGAAGTGGAAAGAACACCCAGAACGCGATGGCCATTCCAGTTTATGACCCTTCCACCAGCCTCTTCGATTCGCATCAACTCATCAGGCCTGTCGGGCTGTGCACATAGAGAAATGAACAATTACGCCATTATCTTACAATAAATTGCTTTGGGATGAAAAAAGAAAAAAAAGTGAGGCATATTAATTAATTATTATAGAAGCATTGATGCACCGCATTATACTAAAGATCTCAAATCTCAAAATAATAATCAACTATATTGACTCCAACATACGACAAAAAAGACATGATTTTCTTTACATTCGTGTATGGACATTACGCATTTACACTCGAGACTTTCACTCGTCAGCAACAGTTTTAGCTATGTAAAAAAGTTTAACATCAAATTGAAGAGTGCTGCCTCACAGATCACATATATAGATAGAAAATTTTAAAATAATGTCAAATTTGTTAATCTGTGCCAGCTTTTAACGTAGAAGTTGTAGCAGCTAATTTTAAAATAGAACAATATATAAGCAAACAAAAATTAGAAAAATACTGACAAATTATATATATATATATATATATATAGGATTTTATTAGTGTTATGTTATATGATTTAAGTGTTATTTCCAACACACACAAAGATGGAGAGAAAAAATATAATGATGAAAGATAAAGAAAAACATGGGAATCTCACTTGTTTAATGCGTGTGTAAAAAAATGATGTTATATCATATTATATGATAAACATAAAACCCATATATATAACTTACTTAATAGTAAAAAATTTCTTTCCCTTTAATGAATTAAGACTATGTAATATGAATAATATATAATTATAATTTATGTATTAACATTATAATTTTTTTTATCTCTCCTCAAATGTTATCGGGGACAAAAGAAAAAAATTAATTTTAATATTATAAATATGTAATATAATTATAATTTATGTATTAACATTATAATTCTTTTTATCTGTTGTCAGAGAAAAGAAAAATTAACTTTAATATTATAAATATGTAATACCAGAATTTAAAATAAAATAAAATAATAATTAAATATTAAGAATATACAACAAATATACCTTATGATCATTAGACAAGTTCACGGCCTCACCTCCTCTTCCCATCACCGCCCGACAATCACCGCAATTAGCCACGACCACCTCTTCCATCGTCACAACGGCCACAACCGCCGTGGAACCCACCGTCTTCGCCGCCGCATAATCCGCTACCTCTCTGTCCATTTTAACAAAACACCCTTCCATCACTCCCTCCCAGTCCCATTTCACCTCATTCCCACTCCTTACCCCGCACCTCTCCACCTCCTCCGCCACCATCCGGTGCAACCGCTCCCGGCACGCCTTCGCCACCTGAGCTCCGCCGTGACCGTCGTAAACCGCGAAGAAGTCACACTTCGCTCTATCCTTCGCCGCAAACCCTATCTCCACGCTCACCGCATCCTCCATCTCCTTCCTGCTCCCCATCATCGACACTGAACCGTACGATAACACCGCGTCGTTTCGGGCAGATGACCGATCCTCCTCCTCCGATGACGGCGAAGACATCGCCAACGACAGCGATATCTCCACGGACTCGTGAATCTCTCTTTTCTCATTCTCCCAATCGACGACCTTTGTCGCCTCCGGTGGATGAGTTCCGCCGGCGGAGCCATTTCCGACGTGGATCCTCGCCTGGCAAGTATACTTCATTCGACGGAATTCGAGCCTTCTCCGGCGAGCATTCTTGAGTCTCGTTATGGTCTCGACGGAATCAGAAGCTACTCGTCGCTGAGCTGCGGCCTGCGGCGAGTGGCGTTTTGAGTTCTTCATTGTCGTTTTTGCATGTAACGAACAAAAAAAAAAAACGAACCAAAATAATAAAAGAAATAAACGCAAAAGCCGGACGTAGAGCGGAACGAGGAAATATAAAGTGGGAGATTGCGAGATCTGAGAGGCGTGGAATCTGAGCCGTTGGTTTGAAAGGAAGGGTCATGCGGGTAACAGGTGGATTTTTATAGACCAGAGAGTTGGATTTTTGTGAAGGAGACGTGGACGGTTGAGATGAAAAGTTGGGTACGTGGAGGGTCGATGTCGTGGGAAATGATACGGTTGGGTAAAACATATGGTTTCGGTGGGGTCAAGTTAGTAAAGAAGAATAGAGAAAGAGAGAGATGTTGCTTTCCGTAAATTATGCTTTTGTTGAGTTGCGTGAGGTTGGAGTCCACGTGTTGAATGGAGGTGGCTTGCGTGTCACCTTTGGGCCCTAGAAACAAGATACCGTTGCCCCTTCTCAACTACTATACAGTACGCAAACACACACACACGACACATCACCTCTCTCTTTCTCTTTCTTTGTCAATGCTGATATTTCGTTGGGCCAGCCATGCTAGTTGTGCACCTCGTTTTCTCTCTGCTCTGTTTATTATTCTCTTGACCAATCATGTCAGCCAAGATATTGAATATTTTTTATATTATTATTAATTATTCGATATTTTAATTTTTTAATCTTATGCATTTGATTTTAATGGTCATTTATGTAATATTGTTTTTTGGGACAATTGTTTATATCATTATTTCAATACATAGCATGGATGGTGAATTTTTATTTATTTATTTGTTTATTTGATTTTTGATACATTCCATTTGGTGAATTACAGTTGGAGACTTGCAGGGCGAAGGTATACGAAAATATCTGATAGGGCCAGCTGCTATGTTATGTCGATGGGGCGCCGAGTTTCCGTCGAAAAGACATACGTAACTGGCAACTACTGACTCCCTTAAATTCTTTCATTTGACACGTGTGATTAAATTTCTTGTCGTCGGGTGACTAACAATTTTTTTTTTTTTTTTGGTTTATAATAAGGGGTTTACTTCCGTCCTATTACTCGGTTAATTTTGAGATTCTTGCAGATACAATTTTTACATGGAACCCGCTATTTTAAGAAGAAAAAAAAAACAAAAAGTGTGACCGGTTTTTCAAAGGGTCAGTAGGATGTAGTTTTATCTTTCATGCAACATAATTGTTGCATTTTCCTTATAAGAATCTTTCTAATCTCTCAAATTTCTCGATATAGTTAGAAGTGACAAAGTGGATAGCCCAATCCATCCCACTTCATAGGGGTGTTAATCAACCGATCCAACCGATTCAAATCGCGGTGACCGGACCGAAAAATCGAAAACCAAATAAACTTAAAAACGAAAAATCGAAAAAACCTGCAAATTTTAATTGGATTGGATCGGATTTTGGATTGATTGATGAAAACCGATCCAATCCAAACCGATCCAATATATTTTCCCTCTACCTACTTGAGTCTTTCTCCGATCATAGTCCAAAAATTTCTAAACTCAACCCCTATTAATCCATCAACTAAACCCAAGAAAAGCGTAGTCATATCTAATCAATCAAATTTTATTTGTGCAGAGCTTCACATCTCATTGTAAAAAAAAACTATATTATCATTTAATGATGCTTTTATATATAAAAGATATTATTTGCACAATAATCATGAAACAAAATTTTAGAATTTTTAAAAATTGAAAAACGATCCAATCCAAACCGAAAAAAATTGGATTGGATCGGATCGGATTTGGAAAAAAATTCAAACCGAATGGATGATTACGTGATCAAATCGAAGGGATTGGATCAGATGATTTTTGCTTCCAAAACTGATCCAATCCAAACCGCGAACACCCCTACCACTTCACTTCATTATCAACCTGCAAAAAATTGAGCCTGCCCCACTTTTGAAATTGGGCAGAAAAACTTTGTCCATCACGTCCCGTTTAACGGATTAGCCCACTAGTCCGAGTTTATTTTAAACTAACCCACCTCGGCTTATCTATGTCTATTATCAACCCATCAAAAAATGTGTCCATCCTGCCCGACTCTTGAGATATGTTGAAAAACTCAACCCGCCTTATCCTTATTTAACTCATGAATAAATTGACCCATCGAACAGAATCTATTTTACCAGCTCTAAATACACCTATGTGCCCTCTTGCTGGTAGCACGTATCATGCCCAATAGGAATTTAACGGTCATTGTTTTGTGTCTCGTAGCGAGTAGCTCTGAGTTAAGCTAGAATGGGTGATGTGATGGTCGTCCAACATGATAAGGGGCATGGAAATGGGGTAAAGTAAGGAGGTAGAGTCAGGGGATGATAGTTAGGGTTAGGGTCCATGAAACGGGACATTATTTTTTATTTATTTTGGAAACGGGACATTATTAAGCCGGCTTGGCTGACAATATCATATTATTAGTTAAAAATTTATATTAATTTCATTAATAAAGATAGTATCTAATTTGTTTAATTAATTAACAACATTAAATTTTATCTAATTATAAATAGTATGTTAAAAAGAGACCGTGGAAAAATATATGACTAATATATGTGTAGGATAATTTTTTTTCAAATATAATATAAAGAGGGATATGTTTTTATCTCGTTACAAGAGAAAATATATTCTTCTTGTAGATATATTAAAAGTTGTGCTAACTTTATTTTTTTTATTTTTTTTAAATGGTAGGTTCCTCATTTGTTGGAGACTTGTATCCCTAATATAAACGCTAGTGTTCATTAGTTGGGAATATTATTTAATCATGCTTTAAAAGCTAAAATGCACAACGTTTTTTGTATAAAAAGGAAGAGTAAAACAACAAGACACAAAGATAAAACTACAAATGAGTGGTGAATCTGATAGTTGGGTTGGGGGCACCTAGCAATGAGGAATCCCCACAGTTCAACTAGCAAAGACTTGGGGCCACCTCCTAAATTCTTTGGAAAAGCCGTCAACCAGCGTCCAGCTTGCGAATCCAAACGTACTTGATTAAGATAAGATTTTACCAAGTGAACCAGTTTTCTAACTTCACTTAGTTGAGATTATAATTATCAAAGGTCAACCCCTAAAGCCCAATTAAGCATAGCCTAAAATGAATCTGATAGCTGTACCCAAAAAAACAAAAAAAGAATGTAATAGGTTAAAATTGCTCATATCCAAATTGCTTCGGCCCGCCACTATTACAAATTGGATTTGGACTTTGTGTTGTGATGTTGAAAGCTTATAACGAGCCATATAAGCACAATGCGCAGTAAACGAATCAGCGCCTTTCAAAGGTTTTTGGGTCTCTTTTGAGTTTATATATCTAAAATTAGTTATTAGAATCATGTTTAGACTTATATAAAAGCTCATTTAATAAAGAAGACTTAGGCTTTAATTCAAAAGCTCGGCCTTAGAGCTTTTCAGGCTAGTTTAATATATTAAGTTTTATTTTTATTTTATTTTTTATAGTATTTGTAATAGCCCCTCTCTCTTCTCAATCCATTTCACTCTATTTTATTGGTTAAACAGATTTTTTGAATAATTTTATTCTATATTATGTTGTTTGAATATATATTGAATTTATAAATATTTATGGAATTACTAATGCTGTTAATTGTATATTTTGTTTATATAAACTTTTGTTGTCTTATTTTTTTAAACAGACTAAACCAAGCTTTTATTTTTTTGTAAATAAATCAGGCTACGAGCCGATAATTATATTAATAACAAGTAACAAGCTTGGTCAGACTGACACATTTAAACACATGTTTAATCTTTTAAGACCAAAGCTCGACTCGGCTGGACGCGTTAACACCCCTATGCACTACGGTAGGTATTACAAATATTACAATTTTTTTGTATTCAACTACGTACATCCTTAACTCTAGCAAGTTCATTCAAGAGCAACGACACTTGCAAACATTTTATTCTCACAAAGTTTTCACAAACTTAAATTAAGATGAAAAGTTATAATAAGACTAATATGTTATCTAATAATTTACACGAGAGTCTCTAAAGAATTTGTTGTGATAATTTGTGAGCCTATCATTTTCTTTATTTAATGGAATAAATGGGTCAAGCATGACGCATACCACTATAATTATGAACTATGACATCTTTGCTGAATCTCCTGCTCCTACGGAAAGTGTTAGAGAAGATATTCTAAAATGAATTTGCTTGCAAGGATTATTGAAATATACGCCAAGTTAAAAACTTTGTATGGAATAAATTTGAAGCATCTGATAATTGTTCATGTAAAACTTTTTTTTTTCATTTGCTTCTAGATTTAGTGCTGCTTTACAGTTATATATATATTCTACATTTTTCGTTAATGAAGTACTTAATAAAAAAAAGAACATGGATTAACATATATGCAAAGCATGCAAACAACAACTTTGGTACTAAATAGCTTAATGTCGATTCAGAACAAAGGTTAATGAATTAGTAGAATCCCCGTGTGGCAACCAAGGTAGATTTCTGAATTGTCCCATACCTTCTACTGGCATTCCTTTTGGAGTTTGAAATGGTTTTGGAGGCATTTCTAAGGACTCAACATCTCCTTCAAGCAACTCAACCACTTTGCTCATTGAAGGTCGATCACTAGGTTTCATTTGTATGCACCACAATGCAACAATTATCATCTTCTTCAATATTTTCTCATCCTCCTCGGTAGTACTATTCTCTATTTCTATTTCCTTCCCTTCACTGAATTGGTCATAAACCCAAGAAGGGAAATAAACTTGGCTTGGATTGTCAACAAATTCATTCACATTCTTTCTCCTACTTGCCATTTCCATTAACAACATTCCAAAGCTATAAACATCTGCTTTGTACGAAATGCCTCCAATGTTCTTATAGAACATCTCTGGTGCCATGTAACCCATGGTTCCTCTTGCAGCAGTTAGGGACACAATGCTGTAATCAGTTGGATACAACTTTGCAAGCCCAAAATCTGAAACCTTTGGAGAGAAGTTCACATCAAGAAGAATATTATGAGGCTTTATGTCAAAATGCAAAATCCTCATGTCACACCCACGATGAAGATATTCAATACCACGAGCCACACCAAGTGCAATCTCAAAAGTTTTCTCCCAACTCAAAGGGATCTTTCCTTCTCTAGAGAAAATATGCTTGTCAAGGGAACCATTAGGCATGAACTCATACACAAGAGCTCTTTTTGATTTCTCAACACAGAAGCCAAAAAGGTGCACAACGTTAACATGGTGGATTGTTCCAATGGTAGCAACTTCATTGATGAATTCTTGTCCATTAGTTTTGGACCTGCCACCTAGCATCTTGACTGCAACTAGACGTCCATTTCGAAGTTTTCCTTTGTAAACAGAGCCATAACCACCCTCACCAAGTTTATCCTTAAACCCTTTAGTCATCTTTTTGAGGTCTGAGTAGGAGTATCTTATTGGCATGAGATTGTTGTTGTTTTTAAGGAACTCTTCAACTGAGTCATACGCAGATAAATGCCTCCTTCGCCATCTATATCCCAGATACATAGTGAGAAGCACCCCAACTATGATTCTTGTGAGAAGAATTACTCCTGTTTTGAAAAAGTAAAAGTTGATGTTAAGAACATCCCTCAAAACAAAAAGTGTCAAGCATGAGTTGTTGCTCTTTTATTTTAATCAGGATTAGCAATGAATTTGAGCTGCACAATTTAACTATAATTATTAATTTTTTTATCATATAATTATAAGTTCTAAAATGTGAGTTTAGAGCAGTAGTTGGTAAGGTTGGTTAAGAAGATTTTTCTCACCCATATCTCAAGTTGGGATTTCATGAAGAGTTTTTTTTTTTTTTATATATATATATTTTAAAATAATTATAACCTCCAAGACCACATATACATAGTAGTTAATTATTTATGCAACATACCAACGATAACGACGAAGGAAACGAGCATGTAGCGACAACCTGTAAAAAAAGGAAATATATAAGTACAACAAACAAAGAAACATTTTTTATGCTATTAAAGGAAATAAAACATGGGGCAAGTTATATTTACAAACTTTTTGGTTTACAAACTCTTACAAACTACACTATGTAGGACCGGTCCTACATTAATCACACAGTGTATGACTGGTCCTATATTAGTGTAATTGCAAAAAAAGTTTGTAAACGGATCCTGTCCCATAAAACATATATACAAATATGTAACTGAGCCTTAATGAGATATCATGTTCATAAGTAGGAACACTTCTTTTATCTTCTGCATGTGATTCATCAACAAATCATTGATCTGACAACTGTCTTTTGAAATCAGATTTACTTGTTAAATCAGAGAAAGCAATGATTTCCTTGGATTCACAGCTTATCTTTCTATGATCTTTTATGCATGAGTATATTGGTTAGCTAAGGAGGGAAACGTCACCTTTAGCCAAGTCTTCGATTGCATGGATCCAAAGGAGTAAAATATTTCATCATACAATTAAAGGAAAAATAAATTTTCTCCATACAATTCTAAAAGTATTTTGTTACTATACATTGAAATTTTAGTAAATCAATCAGAAAGCTTTTGCTCGGTACTTAGTTTTACTGGATGGAACAAATGAAAGAAATTTTTTTAAATCAATACTAGAATATAATCATGAAAACAGTTTTGACTTAATCTATCTCATCACATGGCATGCATGACTGCAAAGAGAACAAGACATGCTGGTTTAACTAACTGTTATTTTGGCCTGGGAAGAAGGGGACATAGTATATATTACAGGTTTTGACATGGGAACTCCAAAAAGAATAAAAAAAAGATAGTAAAGTGAAGGAAAGAGATACTGACTACTTATCAAAGAAAATATATTATTGGTTTTACGCTTGTGGTAGCAGCTCCAAGAAAGCTCCACCCCATAAACCAGTTGCTGGTGGATATTCCCATATGAAAGGTCCTGGTCACCACTGTCAATATTTGAAGTCATAGCCATGACAATTATGCTGCATGAGTCCTTCAACTCTGATATCGTCAAGTCACCTAGTACAGCATAAGTGTACTTCGTGGAAGAAATTAAAGAAGAATTGGAAGAGTTGAACCCTTTGATACAAGATGCAGTATCCATGTAAATAGGAGAAATAACTTCGGCTGTACAGCTCATAAATGCTATGACATCTGGGTTACTGCCAGACAACAAGCTATAAGGTTGTCCAATATTGGTGAAGTTGTGATATGTTAAAGTATATTGAGGAATGGAAGAGCAATCGTCTTTTATGACACCAGAATCTGTGACCCTTATTGTGGACTTATTGTAGTTGATGGCCTGTACAATGTATTTTCCATTGTATAGATTTAGTATTGTTTGATTGTTCACACAGTGCAGTTGATATTCAGGTTCTCCACAGTTTTGAGGATCACTTTCTAGCCAAAAAGGGTGGCTGATATTTAGAATATTGCCACAAGATGAAGGGGCACGTACGTCATATGCTTCTGTTAGGCAAGGTAGGAATAGGAGGATCACAAGAAGTGGAAGATGAAGGAGAAACCTTCTCCAAGACATGAGGAGAGAGAGATAAATCTAAGATGAACTTTTTGATTCACTGGGGAGTCTGGTTAACTAATTAAGGAACAAGCTTTGATTAGTGGAAAGGCCTGAAGGCCTTGGGTAGAGCCTAGAAGCCAAGAACAAAGCATGACTCTGACTGGGAGTATATACAATTAGAATTTGGAAAATGGGAAGGAACTATGGCTTTTTGATCAGGTTGATCCAAATCTGTTAAATTTTTATCTGAATGAATCTTATATGCTGGTATCAAAGGTTTGGTAGTTTGAAAATGCCTTCTACTCTTTCTCTCTCTCTCCCTTCCCAAGAGTGAAAAGGCTAGTAGATTTTCTTTTCTTAACTTTGACATTTGCGTTGCAATCTTCGTTATGTTTCATGTTATACAAACCGAAAGTTGAGACAAAGAAGAGATTCCTGAGGGTGTTGTTGACCTTCACTGCCATAATGCCATTAATATGCGAATATGCTGCAGGCAAGGATTTATATAAAGTTTTATTCAAGAGACAATTGGATTGAGTAGTGGTTAATCTGTCCTAATAAAAGTTGAACTTAGTTTTTTATTGGTGTAAATGCCTCCTAATGTCCAAGTGTTCATAATTTATTCATCATATTCATACATAAGCAGGCACGCTTTGCCACTTAGATCTTGTTAGAATATATTAAATATGATTAGATATGATCAGATATGATTAGTCTGTAATTATGCTGATTAGTTTGTAATTATGCTGATTGTATTAGTCTGTTATTATGATGATTGTAATTAGGTCTGGGCCTTTCACTTAAAGCCTATTAGAGTCTCTATATATTGTAACTCTTTGAATTAGATCAATTCACACAGAATATTATTTCAAATGTTCCTCTCTTCTCTCTCACTCTCTCGGTATTTAACATGGTATCAGAGCCTCGTCGTCTCCCACTTTCTCTTGTGGAGTTTCTTAGCACAGGTAGGCTGGGCCTGTTGCATCATCCACTCCCACCCTTCGTACTTTTCGTAGTGATAATGCATGTGAGTACTTATCTCATCAATTTCAACAATTCTTTTCATCTCATGGCATTCTTCATCAAACATCTTGCCTTCATACACCTCAACAAAATGGTGTAGCCGAGCGCAAGAATCGCCATCTGGTTGAAACCACTCGTGCCTTGTTAATTGATGGCAATGTTCCATACACATTCTGGGGTGATGCTATACTTACTGCATGCTATCTCATTAATCGCATGTTATCATCTGTTCTCAATCATAAGGTACCTCACTCTATTTTATTTCTCCATCAAGCTTTATATCCTTTAACTCCACATGTGTTTGGTTCTACGTGTTTTGTTCATCATCTTGGTCCAGGTTTGGATAAATTAGCTCCCAAGTCTCATAAATATGTTTTTCTGGGTTATCCTCGGTCTCAGAAGGGTTACTGTTGCTACTCTCCCACTTTATGTCGATACTTTATCTCGGCGGATGTCTCCTTTTTTGAATCAGTTCCCTTTTTTGGATCCTCTACTACTCATGTGGATACTGATTCTGTACAGTCATCCCTCCCAGGTGACATTCTTTACCTTCCGTCTTTACCCGTCCATGTTTCTGACTCTCCTTCTATCACCTCTTCTGCTGATGAGATCGAGCATAGTTCGTCAGATGTCTCTGTGGACTCACATTCAACTGCATCTCCTCCCACGGCTTCGGTCCCACCTTCGGATAGTGACCTTCCCATTGCTCTTCGTAAGGGTACTCGTGATACTCGCCCTCCGGCCAAGTATGCAGTCAATATTAGTTACCATCGTCTTTCTCCATCATACTTTGCTTGCCTTTCCTCTTTGTCCTCTGTATCTGTTCCTAAGACTACAGGTGATGCACTTTCACATTCGGGATGGAGACAAGCTATGATTGATGAAATGAGTGCTCTTCATCATAATGGCACGTGGGATCTGGTGCCTCTTCCTTCTGGAAAATCTGTGGTTGGTTGCAGATGAATTTATGCTGTTAAGGTTGGACCTGATGGTCAAGTGGATCGTCTTAAAGCTCGCTTGGTGGCGAAGGGTTTCACTCAAGTCTTTGGCTTGGATTTTATTGATACTTTTTCTCCTGTGGCGAAAATGTCTACTGTTCGCCTTTTTATTGCCATGGCTGCTATTCGCCATTGGCCTCTCTACCAACTGGATATCAAGAATGCTTTTCTTCATGGTGATCTTGAGGAAGAAATTTATATGGAGCAACCTCCTGGATTTGTTGCTCAGGGGGAGTCAGGTCTTGTTTGTCGTCTCCGTAAGTCTCTCTATGGCCTTAAACAATCTCCACGAGCTTGGTTTGGTAAATTTAGCAGTGTTGTTCAACTTTTTGGCATGACTCGGAGTGCAGCTGATCATTCTCTCTTTTATCGTCATTCTGCTTCTGGATCTATTTATCTGGTGGTATATGTGGATGATATTGTCATCACAGGCAGTGATCGTCATGGGATCACTCGATTGAAACAACATTTATGTCATCATTTTCAGACTAAGGATCTTGGGAAACTTCGATACTTCTTGGGAATCGAGGTGGCCCAATCTAAAACTGGTGTTGTGATATCTCAGAGAAAATATGCTTTGGATATCCTTGAAGAAACTGCTCTGTTGAATTCAAAGTCTGTTGATACTCCTATGGATCCAAGTATCAAGCTTCTACCAAATCAGGGGGAGCCCTTTTCAGATCCTGAACAGTATAGAAGATTGGTTGGAAAATTGAACTACCTCACAGTCACTCGGCCTGATATTTCCTTTGCAGTGAGTGTTGTCAGTCAATTTCTCAATTCTCCATGTCAAGAACATTGGAATGCAGTCATTCGTATTCTTAAGTACATCAAGGCATCTCCAGGAAAATGCCTTGAATATGAAGATAAAGGTCATGATAAAGTTGTTGGGTACTGTGATGCTGATTGGGCTGGTTGTCCAGCTGATAGGAGATCTACTTCTGGGTATTGTGTCTTTGTTGGAGGCAACTTGATTTCCTGGAAAAGTAAGAAACAAAGCGTGGTTGCCAGATCAAGTGCTGAAGCAGAATACCGCTCCATGGCGACTACTACTTGCGAGCTCATCTGGCTTAAACAGCTTCTCAGAGAGCTTAAGATTGGAGACACTGGACATACAACTCTTATTTGTGATAATCAAGCAGCTCTGCACATTTTATCAAATCCAGTGTTTCATGAAAGAACCAAGCATATAGAAATAGATTGTCACTTTGTTCGAGAAAAGATTCTTGCTGGTGAAATTAAAACTAGTTTTGTACCCTCTAATGAGCAATTAGCAGATGTGTTTACAAAATCTTTGAAGGGTCCTCGAATAGAGTTTATATGTAACAAGCTTGGTGCTTATGACCTATACGCTCCAGCTTGAGGGAGAGTGTTAGAATATATTAGATATGATTAGTCTGTAATTATGCTGATTAGTCTGTAATTATGCTGATTGTATTAGTCTGTTATTATGATGATTGTAATTAGGTCTGGGCCTTTCACTTAAAGCCTATTAGAGTCTCTATATATTGTAACTCTCTGAATTAGATCAATTCACACAAAATATTATTTCAAATGTTCCTCTCTTCTGTCTCACTCTCTCGGTATTTAAGAGATCTCTTTTTCAATTTTGATTCTGTATTTTATAATTGTATCCGATCGTTTTGACTTAGCTTCTGATTAAGTTTTTGTTTTTGCATTACTAAATTGTATGCATTTGAAATTCAACGGTTGTAATTTTGTTTCCGTGAAAGAGATTTAACAGCTAAATTAATACATTAGCTATGTTTACCAAAAAAAAAAATACATTAGCTATCATTCAAGTTAGGATTCTCGTTATTCATTGGATGGTACTACGTTGACATCTTGAATGTTTTTATCTTTTACATGATTTTCCTATAAACTAAATTAATTGATATATCAGTATTTAGGGATGTAAGTCAGTCGGATCAGAGTTTATTCTAAATAGGTTACAGTTATATATAGTATTTCAAGTCTGGTTTGGTTTATTAGTCTAATACAAGGTAAATTATAGATTTATGACTTTTAGTCTAAATATGTTAGACTTATATATAATATTTTAAATCTGGTTTGGTTTATTAGTATGATACAAATTAAATTATTGATTTGACATGACCTAATCAAGCTTTATAAACTTTAACAAATGACCTACTGCATTATGTAAATTATAGGTTTTAATCACTTTATTTATTTATTTTTATATTTAAGTTGATCAAAAGAACGAGTACAATATCTGAAACCATAATCTCAAATATTGACAATTTAATTATATTGATAAAAAAATTGAATTGATTATTTCTTATTATAAAATTAAATTTTGTTTTAATTTAAAGTGAATTGAAAATTTATACACGCGCATAGATACACACAATAACAATAATAATAATTTAACAAAGAAAATTTTATAATATCTATGTTTATTTAATTTTTTATTATACTTGAAAAATGTAATTTAATTTTTATTCTTATATTAAATATATATCATACAAGTGATAATTGATTTATATTAATATTTAAAAGTCAAATTTATATTATAGTGTGTTTTATAAAATTATTTGAATTCATATTTATTATATTTTAATAAATTAATTTAAATGTACATTTAATAAATTTTAAGAAAATTATATTTATATATTAAAAATATTTAATCATTTGTATCGTAGTATTTTTATTTATATTATTTTATTAATAAAATATAAATCAGGCCTAAAGGTCATGCCTTTTAGAATAAGTCTGTGACCTGAATTCTAAAATGATCTCTTAGGGGGCGTTTGGTTGAGGAATTTTTTTTGAAATAGTAGGAAAATGTAATAGATAGAGAAATGTTTGGAAAGATAGATAAAGTGAGATAGGTAGAAAAATGTAAAAAAAAGTTGTTTGGTGGAAAAAAAATTTACTGGAAAAATTAGGTAACTTTATGAAATCAACAGTGCATTAAAATCCAGATAACCGATTTTCTGAAAAATCCCACCTTCAAATTGGGTTTCTAAACAGTGCGGATATCTATGTTTCTCATAAATCCAGACAAATTGGATAGATGGGTTTTTGGTGAAAATACGTTGAAACAAATATGGTGTTTCTAAAAGCCATCTTCAGAAACATAGATATCCGCTGAAAAGCTCCCAACCAAACACCACCTTAAAGTCTTAATATATAAAAAATATGTATTATTTTTAAAATGGATTATGCTAATACAGAAAAAAATAGTTTAGTTGACCATTTACAACCCTATCAATATTCCTGTTTATTATTCTTAATACCGTGACGATTGCCTTGTGGTAGCCTGGTAGGGTTATGAAATGGTCAAAATCGATGCATTTTCAAGAATTGCTCCTGAATGATTTTGTAAAGAACCACTTCAATTCAAAATTTTAAAATGATAGGTGATAATTTTTTTAATACTTCATATTTTATTATCTAACACACTCTCTCACGCAAGAGTTTCCTTGAGAGCTTGAAACGTGGATATGGCACAAGTCTATTTTTTTTTTGCCTGCTTTGTGCTTTTCTTAATTTTACCTGAAAGTGAGGGCGGTGATGATCGAATTCGCAACCTCGCAGTCACTAAAGCTTTAATACCATGTAAAGAATCACTTCAACCCAAAATATTAAGGTGATAAATAATAACCTTTTTAATACTTTTATATTATTCTCTAACGGATTTATATTATAAGAAGATTAGCAAATCTTAACAATTGATAGATTGTGCAAATCGTTTCGTTCAACAATTCTATGTTTTAAGTTTTCCAAACAGAGTTAATGCCCACGCTGCATGCATTGAATTTGGCCTAATGCCCGGTGCTACTTCATGCCTCCATGAAATAAAAATACATTTTGACCATAAAATATGAAAAAATAAAAATAAAAAATTCATTGACCTCTCAACAAAGTTGATGATATCATTAGACAGAGATTTATTGCCTTATTTGACATTTTTGGGTTAAATTATTTGATTTATTAACAATAAAAATGTATCACCAATCTGATTAGCTAGCTGCCAATCAAATTATGTCTAGGCTAATACTTCTCTAAATGTTGCAGGCTGCACACCCTGCTACCATGACATAGTTATTTTAATGGGTTTTATTAATCTCATGTTAAAGGAGATAGTTATCTTATGTTATAGAGATAAATTTGTGGGCTCCACCACCTAAAAGAAAAGAAAAAAAAAAGGTGGCACAATTATCGAAAGGTGTGTAGGAGAGAAAATGTATCTTATATGCAATATAAGAATAGTTTTTCCCTATTTTAATACAGTTAAACCTTGCGATCATCATTTGATAGTAAATAACTTACTTAAAAAGTTGACAATTGCCAGGTTCAGTGGTTGACATTCAGAAAGCAAGCAATTATTATAGGGGAACAAGAAGAGCCTACCCCATTGAATCTCATAAGTCTAGAACATAGCATAGCTCAAACTTTAGATCAGAATGTGGGGCAATTACTGTAGACTAGTTTGGCCATTCTTTTGCTTCCTTTTGGCTGTAAACTGTTGCACTAAGCTTGCTTCAGCTCAGAATTTATGCAGTGAAACAAGGTGCGGTCCTAATGCTCCTGTTATTCAGCCACCTTTCCGACTTAAAGACACACAACCACAAAAGTGTGGTCTAATTGGGTTTGATCTTTCATGCAACCAGAGCAACCAAACCTTTCTAGAATTGCCTCTTTCAGTAAAACTTCTTGTGAACACAATTAATTACACTTCCCAGAAGATTAATGTCACTGACCCGGATGGGTGCCTTCCAAGACTTTTGTCAAATCTCAATATATCTGCCTCTCCTTTCCACTACCTTGAAAATTTAAATGCTAACTACACCTTATTCAATTGTTCATCCATGAACACTGATTTACTATCTTATGCTTCTAGTTCTATCCCATGCCTTTCGGCTCCTGGATACCAAGTTTATGCCTTGGACTCTACACTTCGCATCAAGGATGTTACCTTGTCGTATTGTACTAAGTTGTATGACATATCATCATCGGTTCCAAATTATGTTTTTGACCAGACGGATGATCTTATTTTAAGCTGGGATAACTCAAGATATGTCTATATGACAGAAACTGAAGGTATTTCCTTTTTCAAATATTCTTTTTGTTTGTTGGTTTTTAAGAAACATGTAAAAAAGATAAGAATGTAAAATGAAACATCTTAGACATGGGTGTACTAATGAAGAAATGCAATAGAATTTCTCCCCAAAGGTTAACTAGTCCTTGATTTTTACAGGTTCAGGGATATCAGTGATATCAGTGAAGCTTCTAGGTGATACTAACTCCCAAACCCCAAACTCTTTTATTATTATTTATGATTATTTCTTGTAGGTAGAAGGTTTAATTGTTTCTTGTGTTTTGTGCAGCACCAGCACTATCAATTGTTCTGATTGCGGTAGTGGTCATTGTGTTATATCATGTGCACCGCACAAGGCAAAAAGAAAAAGAATATCACACAAGAATTGAGAAATTCTTGGAGGATTATAGAGCACTTAAACCCACGAGGTATTCCCATGCAGATGTGAAGAGGATAACAAACAATTTCAAGACTGAATTGGGGCAGGGAGCATATGGAACTGTGTATAAAGGCATACTATCTGGTGAGATTTCAGTTGCTGTTAAGCTTCTCAAAAGTTCCACAGGGAATGGACCAGAGTTCATCAATGAAGTGGGAACAATGGGTCAAATTCACCATGTCAACGTGGTTCGCTTAGTTGGTTTCTGTGCAGATGGACATACAAGAGCTCTAGTTTATGAATATTTGCCAAATGGCTCATTACAGAAGTTCATATCTACCACAGACTTTAGAAACCATTGCCTTAGCTGGAAAAAGCTGCAAGAAATTGCTCTTGGAATAGCCAAAGGGATTGAGTATCTTCACCAAGGATGTGATCAGAGGATCCTACACTTTGATATCAAACCCCACAACATCTTGCTTGACCAGCACTTCACTCCCAAGATATCTGATTTTGGTTTGGCTAAGTTATGTTCCAAGGATCAAAGTGCAGTTTCCATGACTGCAGCAAGGGGAACTATAGGCTATATAGCACCTGAAGTTTTCTCTAGGAACTTTGGGAATGTATCATATAAATCTGATGTCTATAGTTTTGGAATGTTATTACTTGAGATGGTTGGAGGAAAACAGAATGACGAAGTTATGGAAAACGAAACTGGTCTAGGCTACTTCCCAGAATGGATTTACAATCTGTTAGAGCAAGGAGATGACCTAAGAGAGCATATTGAGGAAGAGAAATATGCTAAAATAGCTAAGAAGCTTGCAATTGTGGGACTCTGGTGCATCCAGTGGCACCCAGTTGATCGTCCTTCTATGCAATTTGTGGTTCATATGTTGGAAGGAGATGGAGACAATTTAAGTATGCCACCAAATCCATTTGCTTCTGCAGATCCAATTATAATGAATATGAGTATGCTTGGAAGGCAGCTTCACAAGGACTAATCCACGTTCTCAGATTATGAATAAGGACTATACCAAACTATCTGTAGTGCTTGTGCAGAAGTGTAGTTGTTTTCTGGGTATATTTAGCAAAAAAATTTAGCTCATGTACGGTAGATACTGGACTATCTTAAAAAAAAAATTATTACTTCGGAAATGCATAATATATTTGTTACAGATTTCACATATAATAAGAAATTTTATCCAAAATAACAACTTTATATGTTACAATTATGGAAATATTATTTGGCCATAAGACGTAAATAATACAATTGTAGAGCAATTATTGATAAACCTTTAGTTTATCATGTTTTAAGAACTAAAGTTGCATGAATTATATAGCCAAATGCATGAGAATTAGGGTTTATTAATGGAAAATAATGAACTATTGAGATATGAACTAAATAATTGAATTTTGTTTGTTTTTCAAGAAAAATAAGTATAAATGAAAGCAAACATAAGTTCAAAGACTTGAAGCTCATAGTTGAAGACCGTAGAAACTATCAAGTGAAAAGTGGAAGATTTTACAATATTTGAAGAGGCCGCTTAAGCCCCTCCAAGGGGGCTTAAGCTTCCAAATTGCGCAGAAAGACAAAAACCTTCGGTAGAAGTGCCCTAAGCCCTCTCCAAGGGAGCTGAAGCACCCAAATGATGCAGAAAGACAAAAACCTTTGATCAGAGCGCACTTAAGCCTCCTTGTAGGAAGCTTAAGCGCACAACATGAAAAATTCATTAGCAAGGAGCGCGAATAAGCATCCTTGGAGAGGGCTTAAGCGCCCATTACGGTCCAATTAAAGCCCATTATGGTCCAATTAAAGCCCATTGCATTGTTTCCATTTAGGGCACGGATTCTTCAACCATAAAAAGGAAGATTGAAGCAAAAATCAGGATAATCTGATCAACCTTGGAGAGCTGAAGCGAGGAGGACTAAAGTTCATGTTCTTGAGCGTCAGGAACAGATCAGGATTAAGTTTGCACTGAAAACCTTGAAGATTCACCACACTACTATGGAGTTTAGGGGAGATTTCTTGTTTTCTTTCTTTCTTGATTCGATTATGTCAGGCTAAGTTTTTATAGTAGTTAAGGTTAGATGAAACTCAATTTATCTTTTGTCTTTAATAAATTCTTGTTGTTAATTTTTCATTTTATCTTGAATGAAATTATCTCTTCTTAATGCTGTCTATGAGCTTGAATCTTGTAGACTGATCTTAGGTAAGTACATGGCAATGGGAATGTTGTATACGATCCATACATGATAATTTCATCGTAATCTTTATGATTCTAGGGATAGCATAGAGTTTTACGCAATCTTATGATTCTTGAACGTAAAGCTTATTTTCTTGAGGAATATCAGGGGAACTAGGGTTCTTGCAAGATTATAAAGAATTAGATTATCAAGGAATTGAATCCTAATTACATTAAAAGAATCGATTGGATTGATATTAAGGACGATTAATCTAAAAGAGTGAACCCAAACATAAAAGAGAAGTTGAAACCCTAGCTACATTTCTTTTTTTTCAAGTAATTCAAAACTTTTACGTTATTGTTCTTGTTTTATATTATTTTTAATATTATGAATATCAACCAAACTGAATTTTCAAATTGATTTTGATTGTCCAACTTAAGCGGAAGTAGTGAATTAGTGATTGAAACTATAATCCTCTTAGGAACGATTCTGTATTTGTACATTTTATTACTTGCGCGACCGGTGCACTTGGCCGAATCCGCAACAATTATCAAACTGAATGCATTAAAGGAGTGGTAGCAGTAGCACTTTCCTCAAGATAACTAGTAGAGCCAGTATCTGATACAGTTTGGTTTGAGTTGGTTTCGAGATCCTCTTGAATCGTTTCATGTGGATACAGGGAAGGCTTTGGAGGCATTTCAATACTCTCAACTTCTCCTTCAAGCATCTCTGCTACTTTGTTCATTGAAGGACGATCACTAGGCTTTAACTGTATACACCATAGTGCAACTATGAACATTTTCTTTACCACATCATCTCTTTCCTCCTTAATAACATCTTCCATTTCTATCTCCCTATTTTCACCCAATTGATCATAAATCCAAAAGGGAAAGTAAAGTTGGCTTGAACGCTCTACACGTGGATTCAAATTTTTTCTCATGCTTGCCATTTCCATCAAAAGCATTCCAAAGCTATAGACATCAGCCTTGTAGGATACTCCCCCAATATTTTGGTAGAACAATTCTGGAGCCATGTAACCAATTGTTCCTCTTGCTGCTGTCAAAGTAACAATGCTATTGTCAGTAGGATAAAGCTTTGCAAGGCCAAAGTCCGAAACCTTAGGGATGAAGTTTTCATCAAGAAGGATGTTATGGGGCTTTATATCGAAATGCAGAATCTGCATATCACAACCTTGATGCAGATAAGAAATACCACGAGCCACACCAAGAGAGATCTCATATATCTTCTTGTAAGATAAAGACACACTTCCCTCTTTTGAGAAAATATATTTATCAAGAGAGCCATTAGGCATGAATTCATAGACAAGAGCACGTTTTGATCCTTCAACACAAAAGCCAATAAGTCGAACCACATTAGAATGGTGTATTCTTCCAATAGTTGCGACTTCATTGATGAAATCTTGGCCATTATTAGCCTTTGATTTACTCAACATCTTTATGGCTACAAATGGTCCACTACGTAGCTTTCCTTTATAGACATAGCCATACCCTCCTTCACCCAATTTGTCCTTAAAACCTTTAGTCATCTGCTTTATCTCTTTGTATGAATACCTTATTGGCATGAGGGTATTACCTTGCAGAAAATCTTCGATATTTCCATATATTGATCTATGTCTTCTTAGGCATGTGTAGATCAACAGCACAATGAAAATTGTGACACCCAATAGAAATCTAACTGTAATGTATGGCAGGATGTACCTTCCTGTGACCCTTCCACTGTAAGAATAAATTGATATTCGAGTGTCTCCAACTCCAATAGTCATGCCTGACATTTGAAGTAGTCCTGGGAGATATATATCACAAAATTGGTCATGATGATTAAATATATTTACTAATAATTAATGGCTAAACAATTCATATTTTCTACGTTTTAGGTGTTGCTCCTTTGAAGGTAATCAGATTCAATATTTGATACATGAGTAAAGCGTTGTACAGTTGTTGTGACTTCCTAGACTCAAGCATACAAACTTTGAATTTCTTTAATAATCTAATAAGCTATTTTGAGCATGGAGAATTTAAGATAGAGTTTTGTAGCTTAATTAAATAGTTTTGCAATTTAAATTAATAAATGAAAAAAATTGATGATATATCCTCATTAATTGCCTCACCGACGCATGCCCTAAATTGCAACTCACCACTCGATCGGATATCCATCGGCGTCCCCAAATTGTAATTAGAAAGTCTTTAGATGGATTTATAAAATTCAATTAAGTCTTATCCCACTCTTAATTCAATATTATTTTAGTCTAAAGACTAGTTTGATTGATAAACTTGTATAAAATATTGTAATAAAAAAAAGGAAGGCATCAATTTTATTTCTTTCCCAATTGCATGTAAGGTTTATTGGGTGAGAGAAAACGAGAAAGATAGAAAGAGAGAGAAAGAACATGAGAGAAAGTGAGGGAATAATGTACAAATTGCACTAAGGAAATGTAAATGTATGAACATACCTGTATAAATGCCCCAGCCATACGCTGCAAGAAATTATAGTGAAGTTAATGAACTGAGCACTGAAATGGAATATAAAATGCTAACAAAATATTCGACGAGAAAGATAGAGTAACAGCAAATAATTTGAATTTTCATGAAAATAAAATTGTCTTCATTTCTTATTTAGGTACTGAGATTATCGAAGATGTTTTGAATAAATATCCGTTGAACTTAAGAGTTTGAATCACGCGAAAAAGTTTAGTAGTACAAGGATAACATATAGGATAAATAAATATTTCACCACAAAAAGCATAAATAAATATTAAAGAAAATATGGAATAAAACTAAATCTTAAGATAAGATACGTTACTATACTTTCTTCTATCGGCTATCATCGTATGACTACAATTTTTTTTTGGTAGGTGTGACTACATTTTTTAGTACGCGAGCACACAAATTGAAGTAAAAAAAGTTTTTTTTACTTACTGAAAAATTGAGATAAAACAAAATATTATCTAAGAAAGTTTCTTGGCCCACTTTAATTTTTTTTTCTAATTTGTAGAGTTTGTTTCATGTAATTTTTTTAGCTTAAAAGTTAGTTTTAAGTTAAATAAAAAAAGTAAGAATAAAGTTTAAAACTGCTTGATAATTATATAAAATTTTAATATTATTCTTAAATTTTGAAGAGTGACATGAAATGATTCGTTATTAAGGTAAATTATTATCATAAAAAATAAATAAAATAAGGATAAAATTAGAAAATAAAATGAGAATTCCAAAAAACTAACATATATATTAACAAAAAGCCCTCTTAGAAATTTTTAGTGTAAAAACATAAAGCACAAATTATTTATTTGTCGAATTCTAAAATCAAATGAAATTTCAAAGTTCCATGCATTTGTTTAACTTGTAGTATGATTAGTGAAATTAGATTGGAAATTTTGGGTGTTAAATAACAAACTTAACTAATTAATTAAATGGAGGGGGAAAAAAGGAAAATTTTAAAGAACAGGTTGGTTTATTAAAAGGGAAAGCTTTTGGCTGGCTGCTCAAATCAAGCATCATAGTGAAGAATGCAAAAAGGTTAAAGAATTTGTTCTACATACAAAATGCTTTATTTGATTGTATTGAGTTCAAAATCTTGAATTGTGAAGCTCGAAAGTAAGCTTTGGATTCACTCAGGAAATAGCTCATACTTCGCATTCATCTATAGAGACTTGATATTGTTATGGGTTTTGAGTTTATTAGATATATATATATATATATATATATATATATATATATATATATATATATATATATATATTATAATTTGAGCTTGGACTCATGAATAGATATTGTTTTTAGAATTTAGAGTTTAGGGTTTCTAAACCTATTTATATTTGTGAATATAGTGCTTGTTAACAAGTGGTGTAAGGAGAATATAGTCGATATTATTGGACATAACCCACGTTAAAAGGGTAAATATAAAAACTCACCCCATTAAGTCAAGAGTACAAGAAATCAAGTGAATATGAGAATGTGCTACAGCAGGTAAATAGACGCTATAGCAGTTCTGCAAAAACCTACATTTTTAAGTGATTACGAATTTACGGGGATTAATGATAAGTAAATCAGGGAATCAATATGATAACAAGAACAAGGACTAACTTGGTGATATGAATGGCAAAATTTAATTAAGCATGTGATTTGGAGTATTTAGACATTTTTTGAGAAAAAAAATGTGAATAGTAAATTTTATCGGGTAAAACATTCTTGTGAAATTTATCGAAAAAATTGAGAAATGTATAATTATATGATAATATTTGAGAGTCCAATTATGCCAAACAAGTCATGTAAGTACAAAATATTATTATGTAAATTATTGAGTTAAATTAATCAGGGGATATTATGATAAATAAAATAATGTCATAATAATAATTAAAATATGTTTGTGGGGGTTATGTTTTAAGTGGATTAATTTATAAAGATTAAGAAGAAATAAATTGGGAAGAAATTAGGTTTTAAGTGAGTAAAATTTAGTGTTTACCTTTACCATGCTTGTTCTTAAAGAGTTTTATTTATCTCATTTTACATGAGATAAGCTAACTTTCTTACACACATAGAAAGAGATTGGGTCTCATTACTCTCTTTTTTCTCTCTTTTTACTTGTTGGTCCCACTTATAATTTTATTTCTAAATCATGAGATAACTTTTTTCCTACAACATAAGAAAAATATTTTCCTTTCTTAAGGGGGTGTTTGGTTGAAGAGATATTCTTTTTACTGGAGAAACATAATTAATGGGGAAATGGTAGGAAAGTGAGTTTGATGAAAAAGTTAAAAAAAAAATGTTTGGTTCACCGAAATATTACAGAAAAATTTATGTAAATTTGCAAAGTCTATGTTTGGTTGAATGTAAAATAGGGATGAGAAAATTAGTTGAATTGACCAAAACACCCCATTATCAATATTTTTTAAACAAATCACTACCTAAAAAATGAGAGTCCAACATCAATAACTTGATTTCCTTAAATACCACTTCTCTACCTATCCTAAAATATCACACCCAAAGTGATATTTGTGAATAGTTAGTTTGAGCAAAAAAACAATACAAATTTAATTGACTAGGCTTCCTATTTAACTAATTTTTTTTTTTTCAAAACTTGAACCACATATGATCTTTTCAATACTTATTCACATTTTTCCATCGGGGGGTATTTGGTAGATGAGAAATTTTTTTTTTGTCCGAGAATCTTGATTTTAAAAAATATAATTTTTATATTCAGTTTACGATAATATTCGAAAATTTAAAATTTAGAAAAATTCAGTTCCCGAAAATGCGGCCAAAATCTTTATAGCAAACGGCCCCTCAAAGTCAAATAAAAATCTAAACCAAACACACTCTAAAAGTGTAAAAGCCAAAATCCATCCCTTTTCCCCTGATTAAGGGCAAATAAACCACTATTCACTTGCCTTCTTCTTTACCCCTTGCTGCAGACCCGGCGCCCATCCCTTTTGGTGTGCAATTTTTCAATTTTTTTTTTTTTTTTCATTCTAGCCATCAAAATACCTTGCACCCAACATGAAACTTGAAGCCTAGGCCATTGTCAACAAAATCCATAAGCCATTTAACCTTGGAAATCTTGGGATCAAGAGGTTTTCTCATCTCTCCCTTCGTGGTACTGTTCATGTGCGAAAATGAATAGTGATTTTTGAGTGTTTCCAAGCTTGGATGTTGGTTTTGTGGATGCTTGGAGCTTAGTGGAGGTAAGGAACTCTATTATTGTTGATTGAATCATTGATTTCTAAGGCTAGGGTTCATGAACATATTTGTGGGAAATGTGAAATTTGAAATATATGAATGATGGTATGTTAGATATTGATTTCTTTATGTTATTTGGTTTAGAATTGAAAACTGGCATGAGTGGAGGAAGAAAGTTTGAAATGGATGACCTATGTTTATAATACAATTTAGCCATACATGGAAAAAGATGTGTAGACCGAGTGTTTGATAAAATGCGAATATGAAAACAAGTTTATTTGTGTTTAGAAGTTGAAAGTGGTTTGAAAAACCCTATATGGATTTTTGGGCTATCATAGGCAATTGAGGGTTTTATGTATTAAATTCATATGAATGGTACCCTAGGCCTTTAGTATGTTATGGAAATTAATTGAATTGGTTAAATCAAGGTACTTTTGCATGAAAATTGAAGAAAATCCTCCTTGGCTTGTCTAGGTGAGCTTGTGGCCTTGTGAAGAAAATAAAAGGCATTGGAATTGTGATAGGGTTTGTTGGTTACTTGAGAGGACAATTGGTATAATTCCTTGTGATTCTAGGGTTAGTTACTTGATCAATTAAAGAAAAATCCCTTGATATGCATATATAAGCATTTTCGACCTTATGGCTAATTTTTGATGAAAATGTGACCTTGATCATTGATGATGATTATGAGGATTTCTATTGACAATGTGATATATGAATAGGTTGTTTAATGTGTTGGTTGGTCATGAGATGCTTAGATGGTGCCTTATACCTATAATGTTAATTCTAGGCCTTTTATGTGAAAAATTGGGACTTGAGTTGATTGATGGTGATAATGAGTAATGCTAGGTGTTAAATGCTATATGAATTGAGGAAACCAGTCATCATCTTGGTATTGGGTTGCTGAATAAAGCACATGGAGTCACAAAATAACAGAGAAAAATTAGAAGTTTGTAATAGTTTGGCAACTGAAACAAATTCACATGAAAGTGTGGCACATAAAGGGCATCTAATAGGGTAAGTTTAGAGGTAAGATAGACTGTACCAGAATGTGAGGCAGTAACACTGTTACCATTTGGTAACACAATGGACACATGTTTGATTTTCTTAAGGGAAGAGAAAAGATTAGATGAGTGTGATATGTGGTCTGTCGCACCTGTATCAAGAACCACTAATTGGCTAATTTACCTGGTTGGTTCGAGGTAGCATCAGTGTTGGAGGCATCAGCGTTGAAGGCTGTAACTTGAGCCATATATGAACTATGTTGGACAGGTACAGATTCTTCCACCATAGATTGCTGCATAAGATTTAAGAGTTCCACATATTGGTCCTTTGTAAAAGAATTCAACATATTGGTCCTTTGTAAAGGAGAAGCAATTGTCTGATTCTTCATAGAACCCTTCTTGATTAGGTTCTTTATACGAATTTTCAAGGGCACATTATTGGCTGAACGTGTATTCTTGGTTTTGTACCCAAGAGGGAAACCATGAATGAAGTAACATGTATCCACTGTATGATTTTCCTTTCCACAATTGGTACTGTTTTCCGTCCAAGATTTTGATTTCTACTATAGCTTGTGCATCCACGTCCTCTGCTTAAGCCACCTCTGCCTGGAGATATTGAAGACGTAAATGAAGTCACTAAGGCGTGGGAATCACTGGTTCCATCAGTACAGTTGTCATAGTGGAATTGCCTTTCTTGCTGAGTCACCCTTGAGAATGTTGTGCTCACATCAGGCAAGGGATTCAAAAGCATAATTTTGGGAATGTACCTGAGCATATTGCTCGTTCAAGCCTTTGAGAAAGCATATATTATAATATCGATCTCTGTATTCTTAATGTATATTGAGACTACATTAGTAGGATCGGAAGGTTTTGGACAAGGTAATTAACCATCGATGAATCCTAGCTTGTTTTTGGAAAGCAATGCCATGGACATGGCTCTGGCACACGTGTGGTAATTTCTGCCATTGAGTTGCTGTGGAACTAGAATCTGGGAGGGAGATTCATTTGGATGGTCAAAGTATGGGTTGGCTGGGTTTGTAAAGAAATCTGGGATAGAGCTCTGGTTTGCCATGAAAGATTGAATTTCTGAAAATCTTTGATTAATCTTGCAATAGAAAGAAACTGAGAGTAATGAGGGTAATATTTGATGAATCTTGCAGCGGAAGGATTTGGTAGTAAATGATACCAGAGCTCTTAGAGCCCTGATACCATCTTGGTATCTGATGTATTGAAGTGAATTAACAAGAGTAACCCAGTCGAAGGATACAATCCTTTATATATATAAAGGGGCCAGAGTATATGAAAGGTATATAAAAGGAAAAGCTCCTATAGCTGCTATACAATATTACTACTTAAGCGTGCAAACTAACAACAATTAGTTACAACTAAGTAACTAAAATGGCTTTAGCAATAGGAGTATCAGTTACTGCTTTTTCATCAGCTGATACTTTGTTGTGTGGTAATAACAAGCATTGAGTTTATACATTTATATTCGTGAGCTAATGCCTAGTTTCCAAAAGAAAAGAAAGAAGAGAAGCGTACCTTCAATATGAATAAGCCAACCTGAAGCATAAAATTAAAGAAAAAATTAGTTTGCAGATGCTCGAAATCAAAATAAAGATATATATAAATGACAAACATTTTTCCTATATATATATATATATATATATATATATATATATATATATATATATATTAAAATTAATGCAAGAATGACAAATTTAATTCAATTTAAAATAGAAAAGGAAAATTTTTACACACAATCTTAGTTGTTAATTAAATTTGTGCCGAAGAGCTGAGGGATGTTATATGTTAGTAGAATTAACTATTAAAATTGAGTGTAATAATAACAAATATCTATCTGTGCTGTCATTTGAGATTTGAGACTTACTGTTCCGGCCATCCTCGTAACACTGAACCTTTCCAGCGGTGGCGTTGAGGTAGCAATATCCTGGTCCACAAGGACAACAAAATTGTAACCACGAAACCTCAAATCCATACTGTAGCGCCCTGTGAATGTCAATGTACGAAACGTTATCCACGTGTCTGTTAGCATTTGCATATTCCGTATCCCAGAAGGATGTGAGGGTAACCAGCTTCACACGGCACTGAGGCTTCAATCTTCCTAATTCCAGATCTCCAACGATTGCGTATATGTGTTGATTGAGGCAGGATGCGGTATCCACATAATACGCATCGTCACTAGGTGGATTCGTACAGTACATGTAAATTACTTGCTTAAATATTAACCCACCGAACTCCGTGGGGCCGAATTGATACGGATAAACGTCTAGATTTTGCAAGCTCCTCGAGATTGAATAGCCATAATAATCAGAGAAATTGGAAGGGTATAAGAAGTAGCGAGGGAGGGAGGAACAATTGGTGGGTTCAATGTTGGGATCAACAAGTCGAATAGTGTAGTTGTTGTAATTGATTGACTCAACATAGTATTCTCCAGAATACAGTTTCACTACAGTTACGTTGTTCACACAATCCAACTCGTACCTCTTGACGCCACACTCTTCTGGATCGCCTTTCACTCGGAATGGATAAGTTATGTTGGCAATTTTGCCGCACGAAGCAAAACAAGATTGGGGCACCTTCTCGGGACAGGTTTGGTGTGGCAGAACAACAATTAACACCACCACTATCCAACATCCGTAAATCAAGGATGAAACCATTTTTCACTCCCGAAGATTAATAATGCTGCTCAAGATAATTACGTACTCGCAAATATCTAATTTTGGTGTCGCACGAGTCCGGTTTTTAAGCAACTGCAGTTGGATGCTGCTAGGTAAACAGAGAGGTCCTTAGCTAAAAGTCTGGAAATCCCTTGGGGGAGAGGCGATGTTAGCATCTGGTGTGCACATGTGTTGCCGTCTCAATGCGTTGAACTTCTAGCCAGTCTGCACATGTGTTGCCGTCTCAATGTGTTGACCTTGTATCTCCCACTTTGTGCAGAGTCCGGTTTTATTAGATGGAAATATTTTTTGGAGAAATATTTTACATGGTTCAGGACTACTGAATCTTTTGATGTTCTCTCTTATAACATTAATTTTTCTTTTCCTTTTTATTTTTGTTATGTTATCTCATTTCTAATTTTATTCTCTTATTTACACTAAGAGACCACATAAAAAATGGTGGTCGCTGTTGAGTGTTGACAATAAATAATATCATTTTTTGGGGGCATACAAGTTTTTTTCTTCATACAGTTTTCTATACGTGCGCGCGTGCTAGGTGGAATAAGGTTGTTCCATTAAGGTCAAAATTTATAGTCAAATGCTTTCCAAAAAAGAAAATATTATAGTCAAATTCATCAACCCAAACGACAAATCATAGTGTGCTTTGTGAATTTTGTAACAAAAATGTTGGATCTAATTCCCGTTTTATATAGCTAATAAAAGGGGAATTTGGTCTCTGCTATTAGGAAGACAATATTTCCGCTATTCTTACGAAAATTGTATTCGAGTTTGAGTGACCATAACAACTAAAATGATAACCTATTCCCACTTTCTGGTGGTGATGTTGCTCATCCAGGTTTCCAACATGGGGATGTGTGAGATTAATGCGTGTAGGGGGGATTTGAGGTGCGGACGTCACGGCCCTGAGATCCGATTCCCCTTCCGAATCAAAGACAGCGAGGCAGATGAATGTAGCCATAGTAGTGGGTTTGATCTAACTTGCTCAGATAAAAGGGAGACGCTGCTTGAGCTGCCTCCAATCAAACTCAAAGTCAGAAGCATAGATTATACACAACAGCTTTTATACGTATCTGACCCCGAAAATTGTCTTCCAAAACAGTTATTGAAGCTCTATCAATCATCAATTTCTCCTTTTCATCAATTCGAGACATTCGGAGGTATGACTGATAACATCACTTTCCTCAACTGTGATTCAGTTAATGCTGACTATCTACAAGTCACGTTTTCGTGTCCGATTTATGCTGCTGACTCCACCGACAAACTCCTTGGATCAGACCTATTTTCCTGCACCAAGATGTACGACGTGTCTTCAAACATAGACCCATACGAACTGCAAGCAAATAAGTTGGGATTGACATGGTCGAAACCAGATTGTAGCAAGTGTGAAACACAAGGCAAGATGTGTACACTCAAGAACAACGGCACTCGAGACGACATCGAATGTTTTGACCGTTATCACAAACCAATAAAGAAGATAGTTTTAGATGCCACAGGTTAGACAACACAAATTCACTGTTAGTCCTTTGTTTTTCCTATACAAAAATTTCAGATGGATTTTCCTGAAACTGATTAATGTTCTATATGCAGCTGTGTTCGTTGGCTCAATTCTGGTGATGCTGATTTTCATAGCGTGTTTGCGTGTCTATTGTTATTTTAAAGCGAAAGGCGAAGATCAGGCTCGAATTGAAAAGTTCTTAGAGGATTATAGAGCTCTTAACCCTGCAAGATTTTCTTATGCTGCTATAAAGAGGATTACAAATAATTTTAGGGACAAGTTAGGTGAAGGAGCTCATGGAGCAGTTTTCAAAGGTAAACTCTCAAATGAAATTCTGGTGGCTGTGAAGATGCTCAACAACACAGAGGGAGATGGGAAAGAGTTCATCAATGAAGTGGAAGCTATGGGCAAAATCCACCACATCAATGTGGTTCGCTTGCTTGGATTCTGTGCTGATGGATTCTATCGTGCTCTTGTTTACAATTTCTTTCCAAATGGGTCATTACAGAACTTCATAATTCCATTTAATAACATTGACAAGGACCGTTTCCTTGATTGGGAGAAGCTGCAACAAATTGCTCTCGGCATAGCTAAAGGGATTGATTATCTTCATCAGGGTTGTGATCATCGAATTCTTCACTTTGACATTAATCCTCACAATGTGTTATTAGATGACAAGTTTGTTCCAAAAATTTCGGATTTTGGTTTGGCAAAGTTGTGTTCTAAGAATCAAAGTATAGTGTCAGTAACTGCTGCCAGGGGGACCTTAGGTTACATTGCACCTGAAGTTTTTTCGAGAAACTTTGGAAATGTGTCTTATAAATCTGACATATATAGTTATGGTATGTTATTGCTTGAAATGGTTGGGGGGAGACAGAATATAGGCAAGTCATCTGATGAAACTTTACAAGTTCTGTATCCAGAATGGATTCATAATCTGCTTGAAGGACGAGATATACTTGTAGAAATTGAGGGAGCTAAAGATCTTAAAATTGTAAAGAAACTTGCATTTGTAGGACTTTGGTGCATTCAATGGCACCCAATGAACCGTCCATCCGTGAAAACTGTGATGCAAATGTTGGAGGGTCAAGATGAAGGAAATTTAATGGTGCCCCCAAGTCCTTTTGACTCGACAACTTCCATTGGTACTACAATTTCGGCAAGATATTCAAGCTTGGAGTTGGAAGTTACACAAGAATAAGAGCAGGTAGGTCATTGTAAAAAGAATCTAAATGAAATATGTATTTCAGACGATTTTTTTTGCGGAATATTAGTGTCATGTTACATGAGAGTAGTTCTTTCATGTTATAGAGAGAATTCAAGTGGGGTCTACTATTAAAAAGAAAAAAAAAAGATGTGATTTTCGAAGTGAGAAAAAATGAGATAAATATCTCATGTAAAATAAGAGTAATATTTCCCATTTTTTTTTTATCAATTCTAATGAAATGTAATTTTTTTTTTTTCTTATATATTCAGATTTTTGTTTAATTATTTATATTTGTCGTAAACTATTTATATATTTCATCCATTAATTAGGTCATTTGAAAGTGATGATCTTGTATGGAAACGTAGTCATCGGTTATTAGTTATTACTAGTGGATCACATTCGTTATAGTTTTTTCCCTTTGGCTTGATTTTTTTATAAAGTTTATTTTTTTTAAAAGGTACAATACAACTTAATTAACTATAAGTTGGGTGTACATAGTATACAGTATCGCAAGGGGCTACATATAGACTATTGGCCAAGAAAAAATTGTCTGGTGTTTAATAACAAGAGACGAGAGGAACATTGAAATAAATTTGTATTTTTGAATTGATTTAGGAGAGTACAGTATATAAAGAAACACTAATGGCTTAACCCAGACCTAACCTAAATCCTAATGAAATAAGGAAATAGATCTTTACAAATAATAAAGATATCCTAAAGATATTCTTTCCAACACTCCCCTCAAGCTGGAGCATATAGATCATAAGCAACAAGCTTGAATAAGAAAGACTATGAAACATAATCTCAAAATAAATGAGTGGGGGTTGTAACAACTCTACAACTCACCCTAAAGAAAAATAACAAAAATAATAAACTTAAATAAAATATTATCTATATCTCGAATATTCCCCCCTCAAGATGAAGGAACACTTCATCTTGGGAAGAAAGAAAACTAAAATGATGCTTCACGGAATATAAGTCAGAGAAATCGACAACAAATCAACTGGAATGACCATCAGTTTGAAGAATGGTGAAGAGACATCAGCCAAAAGGGCAGGGAAAGACATTGTTGCAACTGGGATATAAGCCGACAGAGCCACTTTAACTAGAAAAATCTGCGAATCAGGCAACAACTGAGAAAGACGTCAGCCAAAAAGGCTGAGAAAGACATTGTTGCAACTGGGATACAAGCCGACGGAGCCACTTTAACTAGAAAAATTCGCGGACCAGGCAACAACTGAGAAAGACATCAGTCAAAAGGGCTGGGAAAGCCATTTCTGCAACTGGAATACAAGCCAACGGAGCCACTGCAAAATAAAAAGAGACGAGAGGAATATTGGAATAAATCTATATATTGAATTGATTCAGGAGAGTACAATATATAAAGAAACACTAATGGGCTTAGCATATACATAACCTAAATTAGTAAATCCTTATGAAATAAGGAAATAGATCTTTACAAATAATAAAGATATTCTTTTCAATAGATTAGTTTAAGAGAATGTTATATTTACAAAAATTTTGTTTATAAATTTAATTATGTACTACAGGTAGTACATAAATTAGTTTATGTACTATTCCTAATATATCGTGTAACTGAATTTATACTTTTACAATTTCTAATATGAATTGGTCAAGGTTGTCTAACATATATCCTTTATGGGCAAAATACCAGTGTCACTTTTACTAGCGTTAATGCCGAGAAGGGGGGAACATTGACCAATGTACAACACATTGGTCACTTTTTTACCAGTATACCGTGCAAACAATAATATTTGCCAAAATGCCACGTGTTCGAGTTTGCTACAACAGGTAGCGAACTCGGTTTACTGATGTGGCGTGTTTCTGGTGGCCATCTAGTTCGCTACTGGATGTAGCGAACTAGGTGACAATTAATACCCTTCTGCTCTTACAAAAGCAGAATACGTGGCAGTTCCACATAAGTTTGCTAGGGGTGATAGCGAAACTAAGTAAAATTAGTCGTTGAAATTTGTGTCTGACACACATAAGTTCGCTACACTAAGCAGCAAACTACATGCAACCTGTAAAAATATTTACTTTTAATAACCTACAAAGGACCTTCTGTCAAGTTGCTTTTGCAGAGTTGCTGCTAAAGAGAAAGGATGCCCCTATATCTTCACACACTAACCCCTACTCATCAAAAAGTGCATATACCTTGCAAGTTTCCAACACTTCACACTAACCCCTAGTCATCCTCTATGCTTCAAAGGTTGGTGCCAGAATTAAAAATATGGAATATGAAAGTGTTTGGCAATATTGAGAATGAGAAGAATAATGTTATCAGGAGAATTGCAAACATCCAAAGATGCCATGAACAAAATGACATTGCATTTTTGAAGTGCACAGAGGAGAATTGCCAAAAGCTTTTGTTGGAGGTGCTTCGAGAAGAGGAGTTGTTCTGGTGGGCTATTTGGCCCTTCAGATTACTAAAAAAAAAAACATTGTCATCCTTAATTTTTCCTGGCATCTTTTTGTTTTTTCTACCTCTGTCCAAACAAAAAAATGAAAAGGATGATGTTATTATGCTGATATGCGGCTACATGGTGATTATGTAGACATGGGAGGCTTTATTATGTTTGAGTGACGAGGTTGTGTCTTTCTAATAGAGGTGGCTTGTAACGCCCGACCACTTCAAGAATCAATGACTATCCCCACATACTAACACGAGACTTTTCAGTGTACTTTTTCCTCACTCGCACACTTCCTGAGAAAACTTTCCAAGAGGTCACCCATCCCAGAATTGCTCCAGTCAAGCACGCTTAACTATGAAGTTCTTCCTTTATGGGCTACCGAAAAGTATATGCATCTTGTTAGTATATGTAGTACCAATTAATTCCTATAAGTTATTCCCAACTGTGTCGTCCCATACCAGCACAGTCTTTGGACTCCCTCTCTTTCGGGTGTTGATTCGATTCATTCATGTACCCCCGTCGCTGGAAGCCTGCAAGGAGTCGCTCCTTGTTTGTGCCCTTTCTCACCATACAATCACTCCCCGCCTTCGTCAGCGCCCGGGATGTTACATGCCCACCAGCTTCCGCCTGGTTCGTCCTCGAACCACATCGTACTAGAAGAGAAGCTCTGCTCTGATACCACTTGTAACGCCTGACAGCTTCAAGGATCAACGACTATCCCCACACACTAACACGAGACTTTTCAACGTGCTTTCTCCTCACTTGCACAATTTTCGGAAAAACTTCACTGGAGGTCACCCATCCCAGAATTGCTCCAAGTCAAGCACGCTTAACTATAGAGTTCTTCCGTTACGGGTTACCGAAAAGTAGATGCATCTTGTTAGTATAGGTAGTACAAATTAATTCTTATAAGTTATTCCCAACTGTACAGTCTCATACCAGCACATTCTCTGGAATCCCTCTCTTTCGGGTTTTGATTCGATTCATTCATGTACCCCCGTCGCTGGAAGCCTGCCAGGAGCCGCTCCTTGTTTGTGTCTTTTCGCACCATGCCCTTTCGCACCGGCGATCACTCCCCGCCCACATCAGCGCCCAGGATGTTACATGGCTCACGAAAAAAGAAAATAGTCATTATTAATGATTTGCCATTATAAATTATGATTGATTAAGATCATTTTCATAAGAAATAATTATACCAAGATAAAAAATGAGATAATTCTTTCCTATACTTTGTGTGTATATTTTTTTTTAAATTACTTTTATTAAAAAATTATCAAAAATTATGAAAATAATTATTTTAAAAATTGATTCAAATACATAGTTGCTCAAAATTCAGTTGATGGGAAGGATTTTTGGATGAGTGTTCAGAAAAGTCCAAACAGTAAATTAGCACAGGAAAGAGAAAAGTCCAAACAATATAATAACATCATCCTTGTTAGTTTACTCAGCAGCAACTCTGCAAAATCAATATGGCAGAAGGTCCTTTATAGGTTATTAGAAGCAAATATTTTTACAGGTTGCACATAGTTCGCTACTTAGTGTAGCGAACTTGTGTGTCAGACAGATATTTCAACGGCTAATTTTGCTTAGTTCGCTATCACCCCTAGCGAACTTCTGTGACACTGCCATGTGTTTTGCTTTTTTCATAGTAGATGGGTATTAATTTTTACCTAGTTCGCTACACCAGTAGCGAACTAGATGGCCACCAAAAACACGTCACATCAGCAAACTAAGTTCGTTGTCTGCTGTAGCAAACTCGGGCAAGTGGCATTTCGGCAAATATTATTATTCGAGTGGCATATTGGTAAAAAAAATAACCAATGTGTGATACATTGGTCACTATTCCGAGAAGGGGTGACATTTACCGTATTATTACCTTTTTCAAAATAAACATTTACCATTATGCCATGGTGGTAAATTTTTTTGTCAAAAGTCGATTTCAAATGCCACGAGATATCAAATTTTAGGTTACCGAATTTACTATCAGTGATGGAATAAATTTTCAGTGTGTCAAATTTATTGATCAGTGTATTTGCTCTTTTCTTTTGTAATATGTTGGCAACAGATAATGTGATATTTTTATTCAGATATCACAAATTAATTGGACAGATACACTAAATTTTCGATACATTTAATACACTAAAAATTAATTCTCAATAATAATATTTTTTGTGGTCAAATACGGCAGCATTAGAGAAACTTGCTACGAGAGGCAGAGACTTTTGGAGAGAAAAAATGGACATAGCACAAAAAATGAGCAGACAAACAGAGAGAAAATGTGAATAGAGAAGACAGGGAAAGAATGGGAAATTTCTACAATATTACATATGCACCCATTTTTTATATACTTCCCTCCAATCAAAACTAAATAACAAACACCAATGCTGACATGTAATAAAGAAAAATGAGATCTTAAATTTATATGTTAGATTTTTAATAGAAGTAGTATGTACTACTGATATACCAAATGCAAAATGGTCAAATAGATTTTTTTTTTTTAATTCTAACATCTAACCCATTTTTTTAGTTAGAAGTGATTTTCACGTACAATTTTAAATGCAAAATAAATTTATTTTTTTAAATAAATATTTCTAAAAAATTCAAAAGTATAAAATAAAAATTTCTTTTTCAAAAGCCGACCCAGGCTTTGATGAAATGAAATTTTGTACGAAAAGTAT